AAATAAAATAGATATAAGAAAGAAACATTAAAAAATGAATATAGAGAATGAGATAAAGGAATGAGAAGAGAGAGAATTCTCAGAATCCTTAAATTTATGCTCTGAAAAATCTGTTCTGCAGAGCCAAAATATTTACATAATTAAAATTATGGCTCTGAACTTATAAAATGAAAAGCTTGATTGGTTTAACACTAGTGCTCTATAAAAAATTATTGCTCCAGAGCACTCAGAGCACTTACTAATGAAGAATCATTTAATTGCAATCGACTTCAACACAATTGGATCTTCAATTCTAGATCCAAGTGGAGGTCACATTAGATTAAATGTGGATTGTTTAATCTGAATTATGATTTCAGATCCATCTGTTTTGTTTCAAACTGTTTTTTTAAATTATGGGAAATCCATCACTCGTTAGATAATCGTAAGAACAATTTGGATTTATTGCAGCGACATATGGTGGTTTAATATTTCAGATTTTTGTATAATCTTTATTAATGGCAAAACTGCCATCCTTTCTTCATCGATTCTTTGTTCTGCAACTTCCGTGACATCTTTGTTGTTGATCTCGATTCTCAACGTAGACATTATGTTTGTTGATCACTGCGTTTACCAAGAAACATTATTACAACCGCTTCGAGCAAAATGAGATTTATAATCGCAATTCCAATAATGATCAAAATTTCCGGAATCCTATTGATCGTGGATGGATACAATGACAGTAACAGAAAATAAGAGTGGAATAAGAAGTCTTGAATGTTATTTGGACTTTGTTAATTCATCTCATCTAATGAAGAATCATTTAATTGCAATCGAATTCAACACCATTGGATCTTCAATTCAATGATTCAAGTGGTGGTCACATTGGATTATATGTGGATAGTTTAATCCAAATTATTATTTTAGATCCATCTGTTTTGTTTCAAACTTGTTTTTTAAATCTGAAAAATCAATCACTCGTTAGATCAATTGTAAGATCAATTTGGATTTATTGCAGCGGTATATGGTGGTTTAACATTTCAGATTTTTGTATAATATGTATCAATGGCAAAACTGCCCTTCTTTCTTCATCGATTCTTTGTTCTGCACCTTCCGTGACATATTTGTTGTTGATCTCTATTCTCAACATAGACATAAATTATGTTTGTTGATCGCTGCGTTTACCAAGAAACATTATTACAACCGCTTATAGTAAAATGAGATCTAATCACAATTCAGTAATGATTAAAATTCACCGAATCCTATTGATTGTGGATGGATACGATGACAATAATAGAAAATAAGAGTGGAATAAGAAGTGTTGAATGTTATATGTTAATTCATCTCATCTGATGAAGAATTATTTAATTGCAATCGAATTCAACATCATTGGATCTTCAATTCAACGATCCAAATAGTGGTCACATTGGATTATATGTGGATAGTTTAATCTGAATTATGATTTTAGATCCATCTGTTTTGTTTCAAACTTTTTTTTTAGATCTGGGAAATCAATCACTCGTTCGATCAATCGAACGAACAATTTGGATTTATTCCACCGACATATGTTGGTTTAACATTTCAGATCTGTAAAGTACAATCATTGCCTTGTGAGGCCGACGTCATAGTTTGAAAGAAACGGTCTTAATTTGTTCTTCTACACCAGATATATGTTTTACTTTGAACTCATAGAATTTCAAATGTTCTTAGGTGATGCATCATGTATGTACTAACTATAACAAATCTTTTAAGGAAGTTATGAATCACGGCATAAGAGATTTAAAAGTAATATATTGCGAGCAATTAATAATAATTAGTGATCCATAAATGAGCTATGCTGGATCAAAATTGAAATAGAAGTCCCTACTGTCTAGACATGTTGCCATGTTGAAATTGAAAAGGATTTGTCTCCACAGCTTCAAGATCTATTAGTGGTTATTTGGTAAATTCTATAACAGTATTATCATCATACATGGACAAATAAAAAGTTAAGAGAGATCTTACTTAAATGTCAAATTGTTCTTGGTTAAACAACAAAATTTACATAAAATATTTAATGTTGACTTTTACATTGTGCATATCAGATGTTTTATTAGAATAACACGGGCCTGATGATAAGTCACAAGTCAAGAGACAAAACTTTCACAAAAAATGTCCCCAAAGAGAAAGTGGTTTTGACCAATTTGTTAATTAATCTCATCTGATGAAGAATCATTTAATTGCAATCGAATTCAACACCATTGGATCTTCAATTCAAAGATCCAAATGGTGGTCACATTGGATTATATAGGGATAGTTTAATCTAAATTATGGTTTCAGATCCATCTGTTTTGTTTCAAACTTGTTTTTTTACACTTGGGAAATCAATCACTCGTTAGATCAATCGTAAGAAAAATTTGGATTTATTGCAGTGACATATGGTGGTTTAACATTTCAGATTTTTTATAATATGTATTAATGGCAAAACTTGCATTCTTTCTTCATCGATTATTTGTTCTGCAACTTCCGTGACATCTTTGTTGTTGATCTCGATTCTCAACGTAGACATTATGTCCGTTGATCACTGCGTTTACCAAGAAACATTATTACAACCGCTTCTAGCAAAATGAGATCTATAATCGCAATTGCAGTGATGATAAAAATTCGCCGAATCCTATTGATTGTTGATGGATACGATGACAGTAACAGAAAATAAGAGTGGAATAAGAAGTCTTGAATGTTATTTGGACTTTGTTAATTCATCTCATCTAATGAAGAATCATTTAATTGCAATCGAATTCAACACCATTTGATCTTCAATTCAACGATTCAAGTGGTGGTCACATTGGATTATATGTGGATAGTTTAATATGAATTACGATTTTAGATCTATTTGTTTTGTTTCAAACTTGTTTTTTAAATCTGGGAAATCAATTACTCTTTCAATCAATCGTAAGAACAAATTGGATTTATTGCAGTGACATATGGTGGTTTAACATTTCATATCCCCCCCCCAATATTGTTATTAAGCTATTTCTCCATTTTTGTTTTGTTTTATTTGTGAAGTACAATCATCGCCTTGTGAGGCCGACGTCAGGGTTTGAAAGAAAGGGTTTGTTCTTTCACACCAGATATATGTTTTACTTTGAACTCATAAAATTTCAAATGTTCTTAGATAATGCATCATGCATGTACTAACTATAACAAATCTTTTAAGGAAGTTACGAATCACGACATAAGAGATTTAAAAGTAATATATAGCCAGCAATTAATAATAATTAGTGATCCAGAAATGAGCTATGCTGGATCAAAATTGAAATAGAACTCATTACTGTCTAGACATGTTGCTATGTTGAAATTGAAAAGCATTTCTGTCTTCACATCTTCAAGATCTATTAGTGGTCATTTGGTATTTGTAACAGTATTATCATATATGGACAAATAAAAAGTTAAGAGAGATCTTACTAGAATGTCAAATTGTTCTTGGTCAAACAACAAAATATACATAAAATGTCTAACGTTAACGTTTACATTGTATATATCGGATGTTCTGTTAGAATAACACGAGCCTGATGATAAGTCATATATCAAGAGACAAAACTTTCACAAAAAATGTTCCCAAAGAGAAAGTGGTTTTGACTGGGATTTGAGGTCTTGAAGCAATTCTCTCCGCCTCCATCATTCTCATTAGGATATGAAGTGTTATGTTTTGCATTCTACATAAAGTCGCATTATTGGAAACAAAGGATATGTGAGAAATGAGAATCATCGTGTAGTGCAATAAACAGTTCATTGACAATGGTTTGTGAAGCGATTGGTTTGTGAAGAGATTTTTTCTTTCAAGAATTTATGTTTCTCATTTTTTTGGACATGTGCTTAAGTCTTTGTGGTGTTTATTTGTTTATTAGGTTGATAATGTCATGTTGTTGTTTATCAGTTACCTAAATTCAAAATTTATAAGCAATTTCCAATATATATTTCCATAATTGGGGATTCTCTGTTAAAATACGAAATATTTTCTCTTGAATACAATTTTTTTTTATATAAAGTTCAATTTTTAAAATGAAAATTGAACTAAGCTATAAAAGGAATCATACAAATTGAGTACGCGTCTATAAAAAGAAGCGATGCAACCTAGGTTAATCTGCGTCTACAAGGAGGTCCTCATTTGTATAAGGAACTCCAGTAGTAAGCTATGCTTGTTCACTTCCTCATGTCATAGAAGTAATACAAATTGATTTCTCATAAGTGTAGTGAATGGGCCTCCAGTCTAACCATAAGAATATATGATTGATGATTCCTTGTCGGCTAATCTTTTTAGACACTGATTCACGTTTCTAATACCCATAGATGCGCTTAATAGGCCCTATTATTTAATCCAAAAGCATGGGCATAACAAGGCAGATTACTACCATTTTACAATGACTAGGTTTATACCATCATTGTTCTCAGAGCCTTGCCTAGGATTTATAATGCCATAAGCAAATTATAAGGGAATATAGTAGTTTTATTAATTGTCTTTAACAAAAATACAATTTTTACTTTGTGAATAATATACACAAGTTTATACAAAATCATATCATACAAAATGAGGTTTTGTTTCTAGTAATTTATATAAAATTTGAAAAAATGTCAATGTGGTAAAAAACGAAAATGAAAATATGAGCCTGAAAAATAAAAAAAGAAGATTTAAAAATGTCTTAGTTGTAGATTTTTTTAAATTTCCAAGTCATTTTTAAATATCCTTCATTTTCTCCCATGTTCAACTTTTCCATTAAACCAAGCCTTCTTTACTCTATAACTATGTGACGGTGACAGACTCTTTCTATTGCACATGTAGACATGCTTCCTGCTGAACTTCAACCACACATACTGTATGTGTTTTTTCCCACACAATGGACATGCCATTTTAGTATTTTACCCTTTACTATGCAGCCTGTGAGATTCCCATAGGCAGGGAAATCACTGATCGTCCAAAGCAGAATTGCTTTAAGATTGAAAGTAGAAGGCATCATATGTTAGCTCTCCATTCTTCCATAGATGGTCTAGATCCTCATTAGAGGTTCTAAGTAGACATCAAGACTGTTACCAGGCTGTTTCGGTCCAGGAATTAAAAACGTAAGCATGATGTTCTCCATTTTCATGCATAAGTCAGGCGGCAAATTATAGTTCACTAACAAAACTGGCCAACAACTATACCTAGTATTTTTTATGTTGAATGGATTAAATCCATCCGTAGACAGTCCAAGCCGAACGTTTCTTTCTTCAGCTGCAAAGGCAGGATATTTATCGTTCATCTGATTCCATGTGACTGAGTCGACATGGTGACGTAGTTTACCATCGTCGCTCATGTTACTGTAGTGCCACCTTAAATCCTTAGCCATTTCCTCAGTCCTAAACATTCTCTTCAGTCTTGGGATTATTGGAAAATACCGTAACACTTTCTGTGGGACACCTTTCTTCTCCTCACCATCGTGCATGTTAGTCTTCCATCTAGAAGCCTTACACTTAGGACATTTCTCTAGCTTCTTATACTTCTTTCTAAATAGGCAACAATCATTGATACATGCATGTATCTTCTCATAACCCATGTCAAAGGATTTCAGAAATTTCTTCACCTCGTAAAATAAAGTATGTAGCACATTATCTTCCGGTAACATCTTTGGCAATGTCTCTAGCAGATCGGTGAAGCTTTTGTCAGACCAGTCATTCTGTGTCTTGAGTCCAAACAGTAGTACAATAGCCGACAGCTTACTATGGCTCACACAACTTAGATACAATGGTGTTTCAGCATCTGCAAGCTTTTCGAGGAACTCATCTTCTTTCCTGTCCTCACCCTCTGCAATTTCACGCAAGTCAGCCTTAGTAGCAAATTCTTCATATATAAACTCAGCAGTTTGAAATAACCCATAGATCTCATCATTCCATTGACTCGGTTTCATTTCATCTTCAACCCATGATTTCAATTCTCCATGATGATACCAATCAGACTTCATCTTATAAGCCTCATCCATTTCTCTTGTAACAAAATGATCAATTACAACACTTCCTGAGCGACGATCTATATTACGACAGTCAATGAAAAAACATATTATCATGTGAATGTCTCCAAATGTCGCAGCCACTTGTACAAAATTCTAAGCCCCTCTCTCATACGCATGATCAGTTCTTCATTGCAGATTTAACAGGAATAAATCAAGTAAACCTTCCAAACCTCTACTTAGACCTAACCGATTTAGTAAAATTTCTTATCTGGAAAGATGCACTTAATCCTTCTCCACCATTATAAGTTCTAACTGTAATCTAAACCTTAAGTACCATAAGCATCATATAAGAGTTATTGATAAAATATTTCACATCACAAAATCATCAAACATTTATACCAATAAACAAATAACTCCATTTGCAGATCATATATCAATACAAATATAATATACAATGTCTATTTCAGCAATCTCAGAGTAGATCAGTAAACTATGTATCATGAAACCCAGAAAACTAACTTATATAAATCTATCCACACAAGATCAATACACTAATGGAAACACATATCAAGAACTTTTAAAAACAATCCAACTGCACTAGTAAACAATAAACACAGTAATATAGTTGTTCAATGAATCATGATAAGAGCCGGCTATAAGGTAAAAATAAACACAGTAATATACCTGTTTATGAAGTGACGTGTATAACGTTACAATGTGTATAACCGGCTATTAGTGGTACGAAGCAAAGAAAACCTTTAATCTCCAAATTTCCCACTGTTTCACTCAGCAACACCTGCAAAAGAAAATTACAGAGAAAGTATAACGTTATGCATCAACGTGTATCAAATTAAAATATAACAGAAAACTATGTGACAAACATTGTCTACAGAGAAACTTTAAAAGGTCTACCAACGATTTTATATATCGTCATGTCTCATGTATACCGATTTCACATGTAAAAAATATGAGTTTATAGGAGTTGAATTTGATAATAATTATACTATATACAATGAAACTGACTAATATTTCCCAATATATAAATTCATTTGCACCTTATACGTGCTAGAGAATATGGAGCAGAACTACCATTAATGTGAGACAGTGGATGAGGAAGAGTTCAAGCCAAGCATGTAGTTATTATCAAGAAATTTGGGATTGGATGTTGGGGCTGGCATTGGAGAAGAGAAGATTTCAAGCCAAGCATGTAGTTATGGTCAAATCTCTAGTAATTAAAGTGAAGCAGAAATGAGCTATGTTGGATCAAAATTCAAGTAGAAGTCCCTAATGTCTAGACATGTTCCCATGTTGAAATTGAAAAGTATTTCTATTTCTCTCTCCATAGCTTCAAGATCCATTTCTTATAATCTATGTACAAATAAAAGTTTATAGAGATAGGAGAATGTCCATCATTCTTGGTCAAACCGTAAATTTATATGGGCTTCTTTCACTTCTAGTACAAGATTTGGGGTCAAATACAAAAGTAGTCTCCATTGTAAAATGTGTTTTTTTCTTCCTTTCTATCCTCACCATATTCACATAATAACGAAAAATGCCATTACTTTTTCACTCGAAGTCTAACTGTGAAGTCTAATTAAAAAAAAATGTCCAAAGAAACCTCATCTTCTTCAATTAATCACGAAAATGCCATCACCATCAATTCATCCAACAACCATTCTCAACCAAAATGAAGCTTTGAATGCAAGATTTATTCTTCAAACATATCTACCAACTCATTCTATCATCTCATAAACTTAGTTTTTCATCTTTCATCTCCATTTTCACCCCAAAAACTTAGTTTTTCATCTTTTCAAAATAAGGTTCTTAGATCTTGCCATTTTCGGTGTCTGAGCTCATTCTAACGGTTGGGGAAGTTTGCTGAAACTCTAAATCGAAGCTCTAGGCTCAACATAACTTAAGATCACGGCAAGGTAAAGTTCTGTAGATCTGAGTGATTTTCATATTTTGCTGCGAATTAGACTTCACAATGAAGTCTATCGGTCAACTCACAGACTAGTTTTGCAATTGACTTTTCAAAAAATTTGGAGAGTAGACTTCACAATGAAGTCTACCCCATACTCCTTTGAAAACAAAAAAAACGAGTGAAGTCTATCCGTGAAGTCTAACTCGAAACATATTAGTTTTGCAATTGGCCGATTCAAATTTTTTAAGCTAAGTCTAACCGTGAAGTCTGCTTAAAAAAAAAGACTAGTTTTGCAATTGACCATGCACGACTTTTTTGTGAAGTCTATTTATGAAGTCTATTTAGGCTGTATTAGACCTCACAATTAAGTCTACTCGCGAGTAGACTTCATCGCGAAGTCTAATAGTCAACGTTTTTTGAAATAGACTTCCTCGTGAAGTCTACTTACCGAAACTTAAAATTTGGACAATTGCAAAACTAACCCATATGAAGTCTAACTCTGTCCGTAGACTTTACCGTAGACTTTATTATGAAGTTAGACTTCAAATTGAAGTCTAGTACATTGATGAAGTCTATTCTGAGAAGTCAACGTTAGGTCAATTGCAAAACTAATCATTTTTGAAAAGGTAGACTTCACGGCTAGACTTACCCAAAAAGAATTTTGTTTCGTTAATTGCAGAACTAGTCTATTAGACTTCACTGCGAAGTCTAATAGTTAGACTTTTCCGTGAAGTCTAATATTTAACGTTTTTTTTTAAAACGAATTTTTAGAAAATGTATATCGAAATTTATAATTTTTTTTAAACAGTTAGTTGTATTAGTCTATTTAGTTGCTTTTGTGTGGGTTTTATATGCTTATTCGTTATATACTAAGTTTAAACGGTTTTCTTATTTAATTAGCACTTTAGACATTAGTAAATAGACTTCATGAAGAAGTCTATATTTGAAGTCTACGGACAAAGTCTACTTTATGATGTATTTTTTTAAAACGCATTTTTAGAAATTGTATAATAAAATATTTTGATTTTATTGAACAATTAGTTGTATTAGTCTGTTTATGTGCTCTTGTGTTAGTTTGATATGTTTATATGTTATATACCAAGTAAAAATGGTTTTCTTGTTTGATTAGCATTTTAGATATTTGCAAGTAGACTTCATAGTACAGTCTATCTGTAAAGTCAACTTCAGAAGTCTATTATGTGATGTTTATTTTAAAACGCATTTTTGAAAAATGTATAACGAAATTTTAAGATTTTCTTGAACAATTAGTTGTGTTAGTTTGTTAAGTTGCTTGTGTGTTAGTTTGATATGCTTATTCGTTTTATACAAAATGAAAACGATTTTCTTATTTCAATAGCACATTAAACATTACCAAATAGATTTCTCTGTGAAGTCTAAGTCTAATACTGAAGTTTATGCAAAAAGTCTAACTATCTGATTGAATTTGGTCTGTTTAGCCAAGTCAAATACATCAAAAATGCTTGCTTGAATATGAGTTTTTATCACAAATATCTGAAGTCTAATGAATAGAGAGCAAGAAGATTGTAAGAGTAAGCTTTTGATTGTATCTTTTGATTTTGATTGTATCTTTGTTTTTCAAGTATCAAGACACTTGATTTGTGCTTCTATGTATGAACTTCGTTCGAAAATGAAATTAGAGATATTGTCAATGGATGGTTTATAAATTATTAAAGTTGATTGTAAAGACCTTGCATTGACAAATGCGTTTCTTTGCATTGACAAATGCGTTTACATGACACTTTCAGAACCTAAAAGACCTTGAAACCGAAATGTAAACATATAATAAGAGTTTTAGGCACTGGCTGACTGCAGGAAGTTTATCTTCATCTTGCTTGACCAATGTTTTAGCATCTGAAAAGTGTCTCGATGGTGTTGTCAAAATCTTGTCGATACTTCTTGAAGGCATCTGGATCTCCTGTCTCTATTATATCCATTGCCCATCTTGTCTAGTGTCTCGATAGAGTTGTGTATGGGACCATGGTCGTGATCATAATGCATGTAACTGAACCTATAACCAAAAAACAACATAAAAGAGGCAATAAGGTCACTGGAAAGTGGATACAGCTATGCAAGGACCTCATAATAATTTGGTTATGCAGTTAAAGCAAATAGCAGAAAGAGATAAACAGAACAGTTAAACATTTCTCAAGCAAATGTCCATCAAAGTCAAGTGTAATCACAAGCTAAGAGAGCAATCTCAATATCAAATCTCTGAACCATTGAGAAGAAGAGATGGTAGTAGAGCATATACAGAAGAAAAAAAAGGTTCAAAGACAACTGAATATGAGCAAAGCTGATGTTTGGCGTTAAAAAACAGTCTACAAGACAAAAAATCAACTTGACATAAACAAGGACAATCTCGCAACTTAGCTACAGATCCTAACTAGAGAAAATGCTCAAATTTGCAGGCAAACACAAATCTAGTACTAGCAAAGAACTCAAATCGAGCTACAATTAAAAGATAAACTGAAAAACAAAAACCGCATAAGAAAAGCTAGTCATAGAAATGTTGCAGAAAGAATAACAGAGAACAAACAACAACAACAAAAGAGCTTACGAGAAGAGAGAAAACCTGCGCTAGGAGTCCGAGAAGCTCGTCGAGGAGGATAATGCATATCTGAAACTTTTTTGGAACAAGTAGGATGGGATTAATAAAAATTAAGTGAAAACACAAGCAAACTACAACACAATTTAAAGAAACATAACATCATAACTATATATAAGCAAGAAAGACAAAATTATGACATAAAACGTCAAACGAAGGAAGCTCTTATACACACACATACACACTTACAAGAATATGATCTAATGAGCTGCAATAAGATATTACAGAGGAAAATAAGAACAACTACAATAAGCATTGAAAATTCATGTCCAAGCATTGAAAATTCTACAATCTCCAGCATGAAAACTGAAAGAGCAAAGAGAGGAGGAGAGAGATCGAGCACCTGATAATCAAAGCTGCTTCGTTAGATGAAGGAAGAAGAAGACCAATTCAGCTCAATACAAATACACACCCTGCAACACCATTAACAAGCTTTAACCCAAAATTTTGTCTTTTTTAACTCTATAGAAACAATCATGAATCAAAAAGCTAACCTATTTCTCCAAATAAGCTGAATCAGGTGGATCTTAGAGGAACCAGATTCGGCAGCGTTACCAATCTCTCAGTCATCGGCGAAGACAGAGCTGGTGAACACCAAAGCAATAACAAGTAACATACACGGTGATGGAGCAGAGAGAGCCGCCATTCGCTCAGGCGAGAAGAAGCGGCGAAGTTGACGGCGAGTGGCTTTTCTCAGGCGAGAAGAAGAAGAAGCGGCGTAGATCAATTGGAGCATAGAGAGAAGCCATTCGCTCCGGCGAGAAGAAGTGGCGAAGATTTGACGGAGAGATGATGAAAGAGAGAGAGGGAGAGAGAGACGTGTGAGCTGAGTTTCTGATTTTTTTTCCACAAAATTAGGTTATTTCTTTATATATCAGGGTCAATTTTTCGGTTAGATGAAAAAAAAATCGGTTAAATTCGGTTAAATAGACTTCATCATGAACTTTACAAGAGAAGTCTATTTCTAAAGTCTACCCGACCGACTTCATTGTATCAGAAATTTGTTCCAATATATTTCCGGTTCCCGCTAATTTCCGCCCAAAATATTTGGTTTCCCACTCGCTTTTTTTAGTTACAGACTTCGTGGAGAAGTCTAACAGTGAAGTCTACCTATGAAAACAGACTTACCCTAAACCCTAAAACGAATTTTTAAAATCAAGACTATAAAAAATATTAATTATGTATACATAATCACAATTTACATTATAGACTACGAATTAGTAAGCTTTAAATCGTTAAACGAACTGTTAAAATGTTTTTTTTGTCAAAACTTCAAAACTATCTAAACCCTAACAATGACAATCATAAACCCTATACAATATACCTCAAACACTAAACTTGGTGATTGGCTTACTCATGAAACTTATAAATTGATTCATTTTCATGAAATTTTATTTTACATAGATAGGACTTGTCCTTATTTAAATAATGTATAACTTTTTTTATCAAAATTATTTTTTTTAGATTTTAAACTTTAAATTTAAGATTGTATTATTTAGTAGACTTCTTCAGTAGACTTTACACAACTTTTTTTGGATTATAACATAATTTGTCTTACTATATTTAAATTGATTAATTTATATGAAACTTTATTTTTCATGGATAGTAATTGTTTGTGTTAAAGTTATGTGTAAACTTCTTTACCAAAATATTTTTAATAAATTTTAAAATTTTAGTTTTAGATTTTACTATATATTAGACTTTTCGAGTAGACTTCACACAGTTTAGAGGTTACAAACATAATTAATCTTATTTGACTTAAATGGATTCATTTTTATGCAATTTTATTTTTAATGGATGCTTAATGTGTTAATCTTATTTATGTATAATTTTTTTTATTCAAATTAATTTTATTTAAATTTATAATTTAAATCTAAGTTGTAATCTATTACTAATAAAAGTTGAGCCTATATGCATTAGAGGCTGTCCACCTAGGATTTAAAAGGTTGAATTTGATTGGTCCATGTCATTATTTTTAATTAATTTATGTAAATTTTCTATTTTACATATTATTTATTAATTAGTTTTCAGTAAAGATAATTTCTCTGATTTTACAATTTTCGAGAACTGAATTATAAGTTTCCTATTCATAGATTATCTAAATTTACATATATTATTAGTATTAGTTTCTTTTTTAGTGGAAAATTTACACATGTTTTAAGTAATTATAGAAATAAATTTCCTATTCAGCCAAAAAGATGCTATGGTGTAGCGGTTATCACAATTGTCCTAAACGCAACAGGTATTGAGTTCGATCCTTTGCAGTCCCCTGTTTTTTTTTAAACCGTTTCAAAAATAATTATATGGACATTGCCATTAGGTTACCACAAAAAAAAAAAAAAAATCAGACATCGGCATCTCCAAAACGGGATCTGCTACATCTTCTTCCCCTTTTTTCTACAAACCCTAAAACTGCATCTCACAAAACTCTCTCTCTCTCTCCACCGTCAAACAACAAAAATTCATTCTTCATTTCCAGATTTCGTAAATCGAATTGGATTTATTTTGCCCTAAACTCCCTATTTCGCATTGTTGCAAGTTTGAAGCTTCAGTACAACTTCAGTTGAGGGAGTATTAGACCAAAAATGGAGAAATTCGGAATCTATTACTAAGATAAGTCTTGTGATTTGACTGTACAATTCGGCTGCTTTAATTTCTGGCGAATATAAGATTGCTTCTTGGCATTTTTTTCTTATTTCTTCTTCCAAATTTATTTCTTGGTTTCATTATTTCGTTTTAGTCTAGAAGATTCTTGAAAAACAAATTGGATATTGTTTGATAAAGATTAGGATTTGGATAGTTCCTATTTTTGTAATTATCACTTCTCTAATTTCCTTATTGTACAATGACATTGATATACATTGATTCCTTTTTCCATTAGGAATAAGATGATCTTAAATCCTATATATACGTGGTCTTATTGCCACATGAAACCAAGTTCATAATATACATTCACATCTCTCAATCGATTTTTATAAGCCATGGCAAATTCATGCTCTTCTGTTTCTAATCAGTTAAGCCATACTTTGGTTTTCGATGATCTAAAAAAAGGTTTCAAAATAATGATTTGCTTGTCAGAGTCATCCACTTTTGGGAGGCACGAAACGTTAGAAAAGGCGGATTACTCATGGGTGTAGAACTCCTTCTCATGGATCAGAAGGTACTTAATCAAAGGATTTTAAAGAAAAAAATTGAACCTGAAGGCTAAGGACGTTTGATCTCTGTAAAAACAAGAAAACCAAACAAAAAAGGGGTAAAGTCAATGAGAAGAGATTTCAAATATTATTAAAAACGACCAGTGAAAGGAGAAAACGCTCTAAAACTCGACAGCTATAAGTCTCAGGAACTTGCCAAAGCAATTGCCACCACCTAGAGTTATACATTTATCACCAATTCGCATCCGGACAATTAGATTACAAACAAAATACACCATTTGGACATCAGCAAAAAAAGATTGAAAATACGGAAAATCATAACCTTCATCGAAGCCATTAGCTGAGAATCAGGAGAAGAAAGAAGCATCGAAACTCAGGGAAGGGGATGATGAGATGCCAAGAACAGTGATTTCGATGACTTTAAAACGAAGTCGTTGACTTTAAAACGAAGTCTTGACTAAAGCCATTGAAGAAAAGTTGTGCTCCATATGAACTGAAAACAAAACCAACGAGATATTTCAAATATCAAATTGATAGCTAAACCGAACCGAAACAAACATAGACTGATTAAACATCAACAAAACTAGCAAACACCGAGAAAACCCAAAATTTAACTCGGTGACGTTATCGAAAATCATTTGACCAAAAAATCAAACCATCAATCGGCGATAAAGGGGAAATTCGAGATTGGTACCTAAGTTAATTGAGAAATTCAGAGCGAGAGTCGAAGGAGATCGAAAAGAAGAAGAAGCGTGAGCTCTCCCCTGGTAATAACAAGATTAGCAACAAAGAAGAGGGATCTAGATGATGAGATGGTTCCGGTGGGAATAAGGAAGAAGAAATATTGTTCGATTGTGGTCGGCAAATGAAAGAAAAAGAAACGAAGCATTTCTAATTTCTATGAGATAGGAAAATCGAACCGTAACAAACCAAAAGAATTTAACCGGGAATTGGAAAAACAATTAAAAGATGATGACCACGGGAAGAAGAAGAAGCCATATGATATGGAAAAAGTGGGAATACATTTAACACGATTATATCATATGAAACAATTAAAAAAAAATTATTTTTTACTCCTGATCTTTCTGATTCCTTTCTTCCCGTCCTTAATGATCTGTAAAATACATTTATATTTTATTTTATTTTCTAGATATAAGACTTTTAAATACAAAAACAGTGATTTAAAAATAAAGAGATGAATTTATTGAATGGAATTAAATGCAACATAATTAAAATTACAAAAAAAATTAAGTATAAATCATAAATTCATAGCTGGAAAAGCTAAACAAATAAATAAAATTAAAAAATAAATTAAGAACTAAAATATGTATTAGACTAATATTGGATAAGTTTGCCAGATAACCTTTATTGGATATAAAAAAAATTGTCTAATGAATAGTAAAATTAAGGGATTAGTTTAAGAAATTTGAGGATTGGGCTGTTGTATGTTTTTATGACAAAAAAGATTTTTAAAAGGTATCTTACTTATTATGACTACTTATAAAAATAATTAAATTGGTTAGGTAAAAAAAATTAAAAGTATATTACAAAAAAAGTTTATTAAAAAAAATTATAAACAAAAATTGAAAAATAGTGAAGCATTTTAAAAATCTTTTTTTAATAAATGAAACTATTATTTTCATCTCTTATCAAAGAAACAAAAAAAATTGATGACTCGAACTTGATATACAAATATTCTTAATTGAATCATACATTTTCTTAATATTATTGAATAAAATTAAAATAAAGAGGACATAAGATTTATTTACAAATATTAAAACGGAACCCGCGCGTGCGCGGGTAAAACACCTAGTTATGAAGTAGACTTTATGGTGAATTCTAATTTAGAGTAGATTTTATGAGTAGACTTTAACTAGGGTAAAATAGACATTATGGCTCTCGTTTTTTTGTTTGTTCATAAGGGTGTGGTTTGTAATTTGACATGTCCAGAAGACTAGTTTTAACATAAGTGCAATAAGAGGTCTACTTTTGCATTTCAAACCAAATTGTGTACTATTGAGCAATTCCCCCAATTTACATAGAATGTCTAGTGTCAACTTTTACATTGACTATATAAGGATTCAAATTTTCTTTATACAAAGCGCAGCAGCAAGTCTAGAAGATAATAAACCGATGCCGTTTTGGTGTGCAATCAAGCAAAGTTGAAATGTGAAGATTCCAACGCCTTGGCTCTCTTACCTGCAATTACAACAGCTTCTGTCTTGCCTTCCATGGCGTAACTCTTCTCCTGCCACACACACAAAAAAAACGTACAATCAAAATATTGCATCTCTCTATCCTTAATCAACAATTGTGCTCATATAAAATGACTTGAACAATTACCAGCAAACGCCACAAGAAAGGAGCACCATCTCTCTGCTTTATCCTCCTCTCCAACACTTCAATCGCTGCAAAATCCGGTGTTTAGTACGCAGTTGAGTAAAAAAGAAGAAGAACAGTGGCTTTGGGAGTGTACCAGTGGAAGATTGGCCGGTGAGTAAAAGCATTTTGTACCACATTTCATTGAAAACATCAATCTGTAAATCCGATGCTCCAATCATCTATATGAGCACAAGAGAGAGGCTGAGATTATTTCTTAACAAAAGTTTTGATTCGACATATATATTTATCTTACTGGTGGATGAACATGCATTACCTTATAGTCAGCAGCGTCAAAGTCTGGACCGAGCAGTTCCAGAGCTTGTTTGTAGTTGCCTTTTCCGTATTCATAAACAGCTTCTGCAAGCTGATTTGAAAATGAAAAGAAGACAAAATTAAGAAAGATGGATCTTATCTTATGATATGATAAAGAATTCAAAATTCAAGATCAACAAAGAACAGACCCGAATCGGTCTCTGCATAAGTTGTTGTTTCTTCTCGCTCATAAGGAATGTTCTGTTAAAGAATTTCATAAGTCAAGTGACAAAAACTTTCATGAAAAAAAATGTCACAAAAGAGAAAGTGGTACTGACCGGGACTTGAGGCCATGGAGCAGTACATGTCCTTGTGAAGTGTTTCCAACTTTACTCAGTGCCCATATTGCTGTAATATCGAAAAGCCACTCTTGATACCACATTGCCTAAACATTGAAGATACGCAAAAAAGTTTTAAAAGAAGAGCAATGTAAATGCATATGAATGCAAGACAAACAGGATTCATTACTTACTTGATCAGTCAAAAAATTTGCAAGAATCTTGAGTCTGTCGACAAACTGATCTAGTTGATCTCGTGTGTCCAAGCGTAACAACAAACCAAGAGCATCCATATAAACCTGAAAATTTAATATTACAAGCATAAGATGCTAGTGGAAATTTCAAAACTCCATTTTAGAAAAGGTAAGAAAAATGCAAAAGAGAACTACGTCTGTTGCAACAGCATCGTCCTTCTCGAGCTCTTTACACATCTGGTGATCATATATTTCTTGTACTTTACTTAAGGGAGAACCTCCTTCCAAGTAACAAACAGCTACATGCCACCAATTATGCGAGTACCTAATTTTAAATGTTCCAAAATGTTTCATTTTAACTGGTGATTCCAGTGATGGCCAGAAGAGAGGTTTAAAATTTGTTGCAGAAATGCATTTATACCTCAAGGAAGAGCAAGAATCCCAAGAATCTGAGCAACCTTCCATGAACTCTACTGCTTCCTTGAAACGACATTGTGTTTGAAGAACATGACACAACTGCCTCAAAAAAACAGATGAGAAATGAAAACTTGCATACGTATAACAGGACATATTAGCAAGTTAAATAAAAGATGGAAACTCACGCAGTGATGAGCCCAAGAGTCGTTTCTGTTGATCTCATAGCCTTTCCTGGCAGCTCTCTCAGCTTCTCCCAAATGTCCAAGCTCCATTAAGGGGAATGCAAGCATACCATAAACATAGTCTTGTTCTCGATTCTCCGGTAGAATCTGCCAACACAGTTTACATGGGCAGTGAAGTAAATTAAAGACGGTGACAGTAAGGTTTTAGATCATTACTTTGATCACCATTTGAGGGTACCTTGTCAAGAAGAGGCAAAGAGAGATCGGGTCGACCCATGTAGAAACACAGGATCTCTACTCTCTTCCAAGCTAGCAAATCTTTAGGGAACTTTATCAAGAGCTGCAAGATTACATCAATTGTTGATTAGCCGCTATGAAGGAAAGATATATTGAGCCAAACAGAATTAAGCCAAGAAACAATCCTAACCTTAGAGTGTAACTGCAAAGCCACATGGTCGTCCATATTCTCAGAGATCAAGTAATTAACAGCCTCGAAAACTGCCTTCTCATACGCCGTGGCTTTCCCCTAAAACAGATGAATTTTAAAGCTCACCAATATAGCTGATTAAGGAGATGTGATAGCTACGGAGCATCACTTTTGTAACTAATAAAGAATCAGCGATACTGAAGGAGAAAACAACAAAATTGTGCTTACAAGATTTGATTGTGCAGCACGAGCATAGGACTTGGCTCTGGCAGAGTCAGTAGAGCTAAGGTAATGGGCAGCCAAAATGTTGCCCAAAACACAATCTTCATCATACAATGGAGCTTCTAGAATCACCTTCCTCTCTCTTCCATACCCAAGAACCTATCACCAGACAATGTCAAAAACCCAAAACGTAACTTTAACCATGATAACACACAGCAATCAATCCTCTAGTTTAAAGTCTAAAGTTTGAATCTTTTTTCAGCAAAACAAATCCAATCAATGACGGAAAAGCCTCAAATCAACACAACAAACAGCCAATCCTCTAATTACTCTATTGGTGTTCAAAATGAGACGTATTTACGAAACCCAGAACCTCGAATCGTCGAAAGGATCAAACGATAGAGAGAAATCGTCGAAAAGGTAGAACGAACCTGATGAGAATAGGAGTTGATGGCGGCGACGCAATCATCTGAAGCGGTTTTGACCTCATAACCCCACCAAACAAATCTGCTTCCTTTTCTCTTCTTCTGAATCTGACTTCCGTCTTCTTTCTGGGCAACCAGAGTTACGAAGCAGAGTCAATACCAAATAGAAGAGTGGCAATTATGTAAATAACTCATAATTATGCGCCAAGTCAACGATTTATATGTTTTTTTTTTTAACGATTTTAGTTGTTTTGAAGTTGCTGTGACTAGCGATAATATTCAACAACGACATTTTGAGTCGTTGATTTCAAATTTTCAACGATATTTTATTATAAACTTTTTATCCATTTTATTATAAGTTGTAAACGTTATAAATTCCCTGGCAAAAAAATTATAAACATTTATATATTTTGTTAACGAACAATCGCCGTCGTCGACAAAGACCACAACACACAAACGTGAAATGAATATGGTTTAGTTGTTGGTCGTTTAATCGTTGCCGTTAACAACTACAAAACAAGCCAAAAAACAAACTGGGATATAGGAATGGACACAAACTATATATATTTACCTAAACTTTCAACGGGAAAACGTAAACAATAACTAGTTACATAAGATTAATAAACCAAACAAATCACCTAGACTATTGCACATATATTTTTTTCTTCATAGAAATCGGTGGCCTAAATAAAGCAAGGGCCGATCATGCTCATGCATGCACATGTTATTTTCATATAACGAAGGTTAAAAGAATATAAATGAAATTAGCCAGAAGACATGAACTTAAAATCCCGACCGAAGGAAGATCACTTACCATGCATTTCAAAGACATGGACACGTCCTGAGTAACAACACAACATAAATCCTTCATTTGATCAATCGCAGGAACACAAAAACAAAAAAAATGGATTTGACAGAAACTTGAGAAAACCCGTGGCGGACGTATGTTATAACGGACTGTGCCATGTGCCACATACTCTTTCCAACTGTTGTTTATAATGTACTTTCTAATTTTATTTGACTTTGTTAAGAGAAATCAAGGTTTTAATTACTTATTTTAATATTGTTCTCGAAACCTAAATAGTATTTGCATATTCAAAGTTTTATTTTGATACATATTCTATGAGTGAAATATATATTATCTTTATTAGTTTGTTACATATTTTGTTGAAAATAAATTGTTCCATTTTTTTCTAAATTGTTAGTATAATTATTTTTTAATGTCTATCTATGAATAAAAAAAACATATTAAAAGCACGTGTATCAGAAAAATATTTAAAATAAAAGAAATATTTGCTCATCTTGCTAAATTATGTCTAAACTAAGCATTTCAAATCCCGACCGAAGGGAGATCACTTACCATACATTTTAAATTTGTAAAGAAATCAATTAGCGAGAAGACATGAGCTTAAAATCCCGACCGAAGGAAGATCACTTACCATGCATTTCAAAGACATGGACACGTCCTGAGTAACAACACAACATAAATCCTTCATTTGATCAATCGCAGGAACACAAAAACAAAAAATGGATTTGACAGAAACTTGAGAAGACCCGTTAAGTATTTATTGACTTAGAATGGACAGAGAAAGGTGGCAATGGCATAACTTGTGGATATATACGAAGGGATCAATTCAAAATGTATTTCTTTACAAATTTCCCTAAGTATTGGAAAAATATACTTTTATATTAAAAACGTAGGAATAAGGAGGACTATTACAAAAAAGCAATTACTTGCGAAACAAAACAATGAATCCGTACATTATCCAAACTCCAAAGCAACCCCATCTCCAACACAGCTTACCGGAATCCATATCCCTTTAGAACCAGGGAATTATTCATTTTATATCATTACTTTTATATCAAGTAAATATTTTTCTTGAAATTTTGGGTTTTAATTTTTTTTTAGATATTATATACAATCATATTACTCTTGTAACAGTGATATAGTTGCTAAAGATTTGATTTTAGTGTATTAGTTGCTATACAATTTTACCTGCAAAAGCGCTTTTATTTTAATTTTGTTCTTTGTTACATCTTCCTTTTCCATCTTCTTTAAAATATACTTATTTAAATTAAGAAAAAGTTCAATTTATGGAGGTGGACATCTAGATGGAAGTAACAATCGCAGTCATGTGTACACTTGTTCAAAACTAATTTGTTGCTGTCAACTTTTGTGGAAATTTTCCAGCTAGATATTGTAACTTCCTTTTTTCTTTGTAGTTTTGTTCAAAGTATTTTTAGTTTTTTTCCCTATTAATTCATGACAATGGAAAGAACCAAAATGTCATGACAGAAATATTTATCTAATGTCCATCGATATGGTCTTTATAAACATATGACAAACATTTTTTTTTTGATAATACAAATTGACTACTCTCTTATAGTCTCTCATACTTCAAGAATTTATGTTCTAGAAATGCAAAAATATAGAACTCATAAATCTTTTGTAATTAAGAAAACTGTGTTTGATACAAATTCGTATGGATAACAATGTAATGTCAGCTATACAGTTAACTTAGTGTTGTGGCCACGACATAATATCTTTAGCAAATTCAAGTCACCTCTCCTTATCTTTGTCGTAGAATGTCCCTCTTTTGCAATTGTTATCTTCTTTCTACACATTCAACAAAATAAGAAAAGAAAAAAAGGGAAATCTGTTACAAATTGGGTTATCATGAAAAGTCAGCTGTCTCCTCAATCGATCTTATCTTTATGCCTGCTGCGTCGGATTGTTGTTCTCCTTGGTGTAAAAATAAGGATAAACGACAAGATAGTGACAATCTTTAACTTCTTAAGTTTGTCATTCCCTTACTCTCTTTTCAAGGTAGAAAGAATCCTAAATGATTATCCTAATAGTTCAATTCACGGCTGACTTTTCTACGTAACCTAGTGAGTTGACTTCTGGGACAAGAAGCTCTCAAATGGTAAGTTGCTTCTTTAAGTGGACGAGGCCAGACCAACCTGGTCGACGGTAGAATGCAATTAACCGATAACTTTGGGCTCACGTTCAAACCTCAAAACAAGTGTTTAACCTCCAAACGCTATAAAAAAATCAGACTTTTGATTTATTCGCTAACATTACGTCATTACCACATTCATATATGTTTTATTATTCTCTAGCATTTTTCCCAAGCCGAACATTTTTTTTTTATTGTTAACTAAATTAACGAAGCTGAACGACCTAAAAATCAAATAGTCACCTTCATATATGCAACAACAGCAATGCGATTTCTTTTTTTTAAAATGAACTACACTACACTCGATAGAATATAGGAATGTGGGATTCTCTTTCTTTTTTTAAAAAGAAGCTTCGTAATAAAATGGGGGTAGATTATTAGATAAAGGATTTGTACCACGAAAAAAATAATGAAATAGACAGACGAAATGTAATAGCTTTGCATCGCTTTTCTCTTCGATTTCCTTTCACTTCATTCCCAGATCTGAAAATGTAATAGCGGATTCATTGGCCAAGAACGGCTTCGAATTAGCTTCTATGAGGGACCCACCCATGTAGTCGTTGGCGAATGAATGAAAGTATTAGTTGTTCAAAAAAAAAATAGACAGAGGAAATAGATACACATTTAATGTCATACATAGTAACACATAGACAATCCAATCAGTGACCACTCCAAAACATAAGGACACACATATTGTTGTTTATGAAAGAAATTAAAAGTCATCAACGCATTTCCAAAGGAGTGAAACGAATCAAGCAGCTGTTGGACATACACAAACTTGGTCTGATGATTTTTTTTTCTTTTGACAAAATCACAAAATAAAAAATGTCATCCGATTCTTACTCCAAAGCAAAGTCTATACCTGCAGTACCGGGGATAGAACTCACTGGAGGCTTCTTAAGATTCCGACACCTTGTTACGTCGACTTCCTTTAGACACAGAAAAGGCAGAGGATTCCAGTAGATGCTCTTTAGCCCTCTTAAAGCCATCAAGTAGAGCCTTTCTAGTTTCTGAAAAGGAATAGTAATATCCGCCTCATTTGCAACCATACTCAAAGCTTTTTCTTTGCTTATTATATCTTCTATTTGATGTGAGTACCAAACCTCAAGAGTAGTGAGGTTAGGAGCGAACAATAGCCACGTCAAATCCTTAAGACCATCACATTGTCTTATATACACGTAGGTGAGGTTTGGGAAGCACGGACTTGTCTGATTTGTGTTGCATGATGTCGTCCTCTCCATATTTATCTCCAACATTTCACACCTATATAGGACGAGCTTACGTAGATTAACCATAGTTGGTAAAGTCAGTATTCTGAACGATTCTTCCTTCATGTCTTTAAAATGTATCTCTTGAATAGCATTCACCACCCTGGGAGCGTATAACATTTTCTCAGCAGCTAAACTTGACTTGATACATCCGGTGGAAACTTGTAAATGTTCCAAGCATTGCAGCTCCTCCAATAAGCTAACATCTAGCCACACTCCAGATGCTTTTAGCTTCAGCACCCTCAAACTCGACAAGTTTGATATCCCGGTGATGCTCTCAAGGTTCCTTGTGCCTTCCAAATCCAGGTGTATCAGGTTTCTTAACTTTATAAAACCAGCAGGAAGTTGCTTCAAGTTTGTGCATGATATGTCAAGGTATCGTAAGGAGACCAACTCACATATTTCCTCTGGCAATTCTACAAGCTGACCGTTCCATGATATATCCAAAACAACTAGCATTGGAGTAGACAAGAAGAATTCATCTGAGATGTGTAGTAATGGCTCGTTACCTTGAAGAAACAAAGTTGTAAGTTTTCCGCATTTGTTGCTGATAGATGATGATATATTTTCGATGTTATTACGCATTAGTGACATCTTTTTCACAGAACTCCAATCTTCCACGTGCGGTACTTCACGTAAACCTACACCAGCTTGGATGACACACCCAAGATCAGATGATATCCACATAGCCATCTCACGAACCACATCATGCATGATCACACATGTCTTATTCCGTTCATCCTCCATCAACAAAATGCATTAACTAGCTTACGAATGATCATATAACCATGGTTTACAGCCCTTTCTCTACCTCTGTTTCCATCAATAATGCCTTCGCATATCCAGTAGTCGATCAACTTATCTTTATCGATTTGGTAATCCTCTGGATATAGAGTGCAATATCGAAAACAAGACTTGATCTGCTCACCTTTTAAGTTATCATAGCTATACTTCAAAACCGGAAGAATCTCATCTTCCATGCCAGCGAACTCCACAGCGTATGAAGTCAACGCGTCAATCGCATGATCCCATTCTTGTAACGTTTTCTTGCATGCCATGGCTTCGCCAATGACATTTAGTGCCAGTGGTAAGCCACGACATTTTCTTGCAACTTTTCTTGCTTTCCCAAGAATCTCTGCATGGCTTTTCAACGTGCGTTGCCCAACCTTTTTTTGGAACAAATCCCATGCATCTTTCTCTGTGATGCACTGGACTTCCATCGGATCATCAACCTCCATATGACCACATACTTCTCTAGAACGAGTGGTGAATATGACTTTGCATTTATTTTCTCTTGTTAGAAATGGGACTCCGATCTTTTTTAAATCCACCTTCCTCCATATATCATCCAATAACAATACAAATCTCTTTTTCCTCATGAAAGTGTGTATATAAATGGCTTTTTGGCTTTCATCCTTTTGGCTCCACTCACCTCCATTGAGTCGTAGCTTCTCAGCGATCTCATCTTGAATCCTCTCAACTTGTAGATTCTTAGATACAACAACCCAAATCACCACATCAAATCCACAACTCGTGCTACGTAACTTATTGTTGATCTGTGCGATAAGAGTTGTTTTTCCAACTCCACCCATGCCGTACATACCCATAATCTCGGTTCCATCGTCCATGAGATGTTTCCAAGCCCTCTCCAACATTGTTTCCTGACCAAAAATCGTTGCTTGTAGAGGCCTTTCCTCCACCACAAGTTGTGTAGTTTGATGAGCCACCACTTCAAACACTCCATTAGATTTGAGATCTTCAGCTTCTTTCAACATATAAAAAACCCTTCTCCCATACCAAAAGCTCAGTTTTAAGTTTTGTGAGCATAACCCACAAAAACATAGCCTTTCAAGTTCAACATTTCTAGTATTGTAAAGGTCATTAAAACGGTTTTCTATGGTCTCCACTCTTGTGAACCATACCTGAATTTGGTTAAGCCTTTGTAGACCTCCTTCCTCTGCTATCTGCACATTTTGTAGGAGATCATCTCGTTTGGCCTTGAGGTCTTCCATGGCTTTCTCTAGAGCCACCAGATTTTTCTCGAGGCTTTGAATGTAGTTCCCTTCGCCGCATAAGTAGCTGCCAGCGTGGTTCAACACTTGATCGCATGATATTTGGAAAGACACACAACCACCCATCGTGCACTAAACACACAGAATGATCAAAGCGCAATCATCAAGAAAGCTTAATTGAGATTTTGCTAATATGGAGAAAGGATGTTCAAAACAAAAATCTAACTAATTTTTTTATTCTAAGCAAAGTCATTCCCCAAGTTGAAATTACAAATTTCAAGAATGAGTTGGAGCCGTCCCTGTATATTAGTTTATTTTGTCAGGCATCCAAGTCTTCGTCCCTATATATGGTTTCGCTCATTTAACAATGTTTAAGCCAGTTTACCTGTTTACGTACCATTTGTTTTTGGCAATTTTTAAATTTAAACCTGGTATTAAATAATTTAAGTAGATAGTTGAGTAATTATTTGGACACAGATTGAAAACTTAGTTATAAGTTTGACCAAAGAAAAGGATGTTGACCAAAGAACAACATAGATTGTGATTTGTGCTACCCATTAGGCCATTTTTATCAGAAAAAGGAATCCATATCTTCCGTAGACTTTTATTTCACAAGGAATCGTTATTAAAATTATAAAATATGACCATAAGAGCATTATTTAGCAGAATGATCATATTATGTCATAAACTACTGAATTAATCGGCGTTTTCACATTTACAAAAAACTATGATACAAAGAAACTGTGGATATATGAAAGCTAAATGGCTAAAACAAAAATAGAAAACAAATTAAGAAAATCCTCCTTATCTCAACAAAAAAAAAAAAAGAAGAAGAGAAAATGCCAAAATAACTAATTTATGTTGTTAAAACTGTACTCATTTCTCATTAAATAATTAAGTAACAAAGTCTCTAGAAATTTTCCGAAAAGAAAATATTTTGACCCAGCTTAAACAGTGTAACAAATTAACAATACTATTCCCGTGGGCGATTATGTAGGTCCGTTTCTCCACTAAGCTTTGGAGGGTTGTACATCCGTGTGCAGAACTTCAGATCCATTGGGTTAGATCAATGATTGATTGCATTGAGCTTTACTGTGTGTTTTTGCATGTGATATCTGAGAATGATTAATTTGTTCCCTAAATGGATGGCTTTTTACTCAAATTGTTGTTGATTGGAGATAGTGTGTACATGTCACAGATCGTGGGTACTATTCTGGAGACAGTCACAAACACTCTTGATAAATTTGAAAGTTCTCTATACATATCGTATTACAATCTTGTGAGGAATCATGAAAGCCGACAAATTACTCAAGTGTAAGATTTTTCTCCTTTTTCCTAATTTGTTCACTCATCTAAGTCATCTTCACACACAGACCTTAGTTTTCTCCGGATATAAATACCTAAATAAGAATTCTCTTTTAAATAGGTTCTACACGAAGGTCGATTAGAGAATTCATATTGTAAGCACTAGTTTCACAATAAATTGGGGCCACTTAAAAATAGGGTTTCTTATTTTCCAGTTTCGTTTGGCAGATTGATGATTGCATTTTTTTGGAAATAAAACCATGAAAAATTCTACGAGTACATCAATAATCTGTATAAAAAAACGTAGTCAACTTTCAAAAATTTGTTCATTGGTATCATGAACTCATAGAGTTACCTTACCATGCAAGTTTAATGTCCCTTTTGACTTTTATCAGATTCATATTTTTCTTACAACTATTCATTTGAAGACCAATGACCACCCTAGGTTTTAGTTTTTTATTATAAATTTTTTACAAGCCTAACTATTTTTTGGTTGTTTGGTCAACTGTATTGGTTTAAACCTGAAGCCTAACTTTGCATTTCAATGAAAATTTAAGCAACAAGACAAAAAGTATTTATTTCACAACTTCTAATTCCCTTAAAAATATCTAACTAAGCTGAATCTAGCTAATAAATATGTGTTTGAAAGATCAAACCCATATTCTTATTAGTCACGCTTCGTATTATATATTGAAAAATTCAACTTTGGTTAAAGCAATTGCCTTTGGCACATGCTACAGTTCACAAATCATGGGTTGTATCATTCTTAACCAATCTACATTCCATAATTCCAGCACTAAATCAGATCGAAGGACATAATCAAGCACGCGATAATTTTAGAGCATATGTAAAACAAAAGTTCAAAATCATCAAGGTATTTTGTATATTCTGTGCTGCTGGTCCCATGAAAATTATTAAAAATTTGAATAAGGAAAATGTGTGGTGAAAACGAAACTAAAAACGTCATGAACAAGTACAAGGATTAATAATGGATTGCAATCGGGCATGGAACCAAAGGTTCTCACCGACATCACCATGACTAAGTTGTCACTTGTCTCTGGTCTAATTGCAAACCACATAAAAATAATGATTCATGTCACAAGAAAGAATAATATAACTTCCAAAATGCGTTCAAAGTTTTAAAACAAAAAACCCCCAAAATAATACTATTTGGAAGCATGTTCCGTTGAAGAATGTGTGGTGGTGTGTATTCCTTTCGAAACCACCTGGCTGAGTTATTATTAATCATAAAAAAAATCTGATTTATCATAATCACAGACTTCACCTTTCTTGTGATATTTCTTAACTTTGGAATTTGGACCAAGAAAAATAAAACCGAAATTATTTATTAATAATGTTGTTAGCGGTTATCTGAATAAGAATTTGGAGTTTTGCATAAACACACAAATGATCACCGTTTAAATCCGTGTTTTATTACCGTTCATAATTAGGAATTATTATCTTAACTTAAATTTTAAAAATATCAAAAGCTTCTGAAGCTTATTATAAAAGGACGCAAGTTTACTCTAAACACAAACACACCATAAACGCTAGTAATAATTAATTTTGTTTTTCCTCTCAAATCACACTCCACAGTGTGTGAACTCAATAGTAAACGACGTAGTTTAAACAGTAACCGGCGTTTCCATCTTCGTACGCCGGTTACCGACCAAAAATCACAGAAATCATTACTGTTCAAAAGCTTTTCTTTTGTTTCCTTCTGAATCTGCTTTAAAGTTGGAACCCAAATCAAGTTTTTTTCAAAAAAGTTTTGCCCTTTTTGAATTTTTGTTCAACCATTTTATTCTTCTTAGTAAAAAAAAATCAATCGCATTAATGGCTTACCCAAATTTGCGAGCCTAAGCAATTTTGTTCCTCCTCCCTTCTCCTTCGTCTTCGTCTTCTTCTTCATCCTCCAAATTTTGTCTTTAATCGAGCAATGAAGAAGTCCAAACTCGATAACTCCGCTTCACAGAGCCGATTCGGGCTGGTTCAGTTCCTATTGGTTGTTCTGCTCTTTTACTTTCTCTGCATGAGCTTCGAGATCCCATTCATCTTCAGAAGCGGGTCCGGTTCCGGGTCTGAAGACGGGTCATCGTCCTCTTTCGCCGACGCATTGCCGAGACAGATGGTTGTTGGTGGTAGAGAAGCAAACTCGGCTCTCGGAGAAGAAGACCCGCATAGACCATTCAAAGACCCGGGTCGGGTGGGTCAGGTGAAACTGGTCCAGCTTCGCTCACCGGAGCGGAGGATGCGGGAATTCAAAACCGTCTCCGAAATCTTCGTCAACGAGAGCTTCCTCGACGGCGGCGGATTCAGCGACGAGTTCTCGATCTTCCACAGAACCGCGAAGCTCGCGATTTCCATGGGGAAGAAAATGTGGGACGGGCTCGACTCCGGTTCAATCAAACCCGACGAAAAAACGCCGGTTAAAGCCCGGACGGAGAAATGCCCGGATATGGTTTCGGTTAGCGGGTCGGAGTTCGTGAACCGGAGCCGGATCTTGGTTATCCCGTGCGGGTTAACGCTGGGATCTCACATAACCGTCGTGGCGACGCCGCATTGGGCACACGCCGAGAAAGACGGAAAATTCACGGCGGATTCCAAGGAAGGAGGTGAGAAAACGGCGATGGTGAGTCAGTTCATGATGGAATTGCAGGGATTGAAGGCCGTCGACGGCGAAGATCCGCCTCGGATCCTCCATTTCAACCCGAGGATTAAAGGTGATTGGAGTGGGAGACCAGTGATTGAGCAGAATACTTGTTACCGTATGCAATGGGGCTCTGCTTTACGCTGCGATGGTCGCGAGTCCGGTGATGAAGACGAATCAGGTATTGACTTGAACTTTAAAGGTTTTGACTTTAAACAATTGATTAGTGTGACTTCGGATTTCAAACGCACCTGGATGCTTAAAGGTTCGTTTTTTTAAAAAATTAAAAAATCCTATTTTTGGTTATGTGAAGTTGATGGAGAGGTGAAATGTGAGAGGTGGAAGAGAGATGATGGTGGTAACAATGGTGATGGTGGTTCTGAGGAAGGATCGAAGAAGGCATGGTGGTTGAACAGGCTGATGGGTCGGAGGAAGAAGATGACACATGATTGGCCATACCCTTTTGCTGAAGGGAAGCTCTTTGTGCTAACGCTTCGAGCTGGAATGGAAGGTTACCACATCAGCGTCAATGGAAGACATGTCACATCATTCCCTTACAGAACCGTGAGTGAATTGAATTTACAGAAACCGGCTTCAACAAAATTCAAGAAATTGGTTTAACGTTGACCGGTTTAATGGTTTTCTCTTCTTCCAGGGGTTTGTTCTAGAGGATGCAACTGGATTTGCAGTGAAGGGGAACATTGATGTGCATTCTGTATACGCTTCCTCGTTACCCTCTACGAATCCGAGCTTTGCACAGCAAAAGCATCTTGACATGCAGAGCGTATGGAAAGCTCCTGCGTTGCCTCAGAAGCCTGTGGAGCTGTTCATTGGGATCCTCTCTGCTGGTAACCATTTTGCAGAGAGGATGGCTGTGAGGAAGTCATGGATGCAGCAAAAGCTAGTCAAATCGTCGAAAGTCGTTGCGCGGTTCTTCGTGGCATTGGTAAGCACAAGTCTTGAATCTTGATCAGAGAAATATCACCTAAACGTACTCATTAGCTTTAACTTCATTTTGTTACCTGTGCAGCACGCAAGAAAGGAAGTGAATGTGGATCTAAAGAAAGAAGCAGACTACTTTGGTGATATTGTGATAGTACCGTACATGGATCATTATGATCTTGTTGTGCTCAAAACTGTTGCCATCTGCGAATATGGGGTGAGAGAGGCTAACTAAAACCTCTTTGTGTCTCTCTTTTGTTCTCTTTGCTTTTGGATTACTTTTCTGATGATTAATCCGGGGAAATTTGTAGGTTAGCACAGTGGCGGCGAAGTATATAATGAAATGTGACGATGATACGTTTGTGAGAGTGGATGCTGTGATCCAGGAAGCAGAGAAGGTTAAAGGAAGAGAGAGCCTTTATATTGGAAACATTAACTTCTACCATAAGCCTCTTCGCAATGGGAAATGGGCTGTGACATACGAGGTAAAAAGATTTTACATTTTTTAGTACTTGAAAATTCAATAGAGCTGAGGAAAATGGTTATAATGATGAATGTTTATCTCAAATTGTGAAAACCAGGAATGGCCAGAAGAGTATTATCCACCATATGCAAATGGTCCGGGTTACATTTTGTCATATGATATAGCTAAGTTCATAGTTGATGATTTTGAACAACAGAGACTAAGAGTAAGTCACTCTTTTTACACATACTAAAAATGATTTCTTTGTATGGAATTTAGCATGTGTTGATATTGGTACTTGTTGATTGTTTATTGAAGTTATTCAAGATGGAAGATGTGAGCATGGGGATGTGGGTGGAGAAGTTCAACGAGACGAAATCGGTGGCGGTGGTGCATAGCCTCAGGTTCTGCCAGTTCGGCTGCATTGAAGACTACTTCACGGCTCATTATCAGTCGCCTCGACAGATGATTTGCATGTGGGATAAGCTGCAGAGACTCGGGAAGCCCCAATGCTGCAACATGAGATGACATAACATTGTTTTTGCCGGATTCTTGTATTCTTGGTTAGAAAGGAACATGAAGAAGCTTATGGGAGCTGAGCTAACTGTTTTAGATCTCTGTATGTATAGAACAATCCATAATGTATCTATATATCTATATATCTATATATATATATATAATATAATGAAGGGCTCTTGAGAAATCACCTAACTTTTATATTGCAAAGAAAATTGAAAAGCAACAAGTTTAAATTATTTATTTCAAACATTATAATTCCCTTAAAAGTATCTAACTAAGCTGAATCTATTATTCCTATGCGTTTGAAAGATCAAACCTATATTCTTATTAGTCACGTTTTGTATTATACATTGAAGAATTCAACTATAGTTAAAACAAAAATACCTTTGGCACATGATACATGCACAAATCATGTGTTGAATCATGTGTTGTATCCTCCTCCGCCTTCATCCTCTTCAGTCTCTTTCTTACGGTTGCAATAGTTACAGCTCTTATTTTCATTTGAAATTTATCAGCCTTTTTGACTGCAAATGTTAAAAGTCAGTTGATAGAGTTTCAAGTTACCGAGTTTATACCTTCATAGTAGTAGCTCTGTCCATGATTAGATCAACCTCATATTGAGTTATTGTCTTTTGCAAGACCCAATTAGTTTAGTTGTAGAATAATAATTTTATCCGATTAAAGAGGTAAAAAGTAAAAATAAAACCCACCTTCTTAATTTTTGCTCCATTTTTCCTTAAATTCTGCTCAGACTAAAGAAGGTTAAAACATAATACGAAGTATCATTAAGAAAAAGCTTGTAATTGAACGCCTTGAACTTGAGCATAAGAGAAATATGAACGTACAATTCAGAAGTAATATTGTTTTTCTTTTTACCTTCTTTAATCTGAAATAGTTTTCTACATCTAAACAAATCTGCTTTTTTTTTTTTTTTTTTTTTTTCTAAAATCATATAGAGATCTAACTAAACTTGGTTAGAAAGGAACGTGAAGAAGCTGATGGGAGCTGAGCTAACTTGAGAAGATCAAACATTTGTCAGGCTCCGTATTATATTATATACAGTATCTAAGAAGAATTCAACTATAGTTAAAGCAGAAGGGAAATAAACAGGTCACAAATCATAGGCTAAAATAAAAAAAATCTGTCAAAAGCAAATGTTAATTGTCTAATCGTTATATCCTTCAAGTTTTTCTACGCTCCCTTTTTGTTGCCCTCTGAAGGCTTCTCTTAACCTCGTCCTCTCCTCCATCATCCTCTTCAATCTCACTCTGCAACTTTGAAATACCTTCATCTCTTATTTTCTTTCGGTTTTAGTCCGCTTTTTTTGTTTTTACTGCAAATGTTAAAAGTCAGTTTATCTTATATATAATTACGGAGTTACTCTCTCCATTTAGGCTATCCACATCAGCCTAATTTTATAAAGATAATGGATCCCACATTTAATCAAAAATTATAAAATATAAGAGAAGAAAATAATAAATGACAAACACTAAAATTAAAATTGGTCAATCAATTAATTTACACAATTTACTGTTATTATATTTCTTAAAATAAAATATATTATTTACCAAAAAACCTAAATATAATTCACAAAAAAAAATATTGAAAATATTAATTGAGAAAATTAATAGATATGAGATAATTTATAAAAATTAAGAGACATATTTTTATATAACTTGATAATTCAAAATATATAAAAATAATTATAAATAAGAAAAAATTAACATGTTTAAAATAATATATGAAACAATATAGATTTTATAAGAATTACAATTAATAAGGATATAATAAAATTATTAGTTTATTTATAACTGTATATACAAAATTTGAAAAGGTTTATAATAGAAATAAAAAGATTCATATCAGATCAAGTTAACAGCACAAAAAACGGTTCAGACGGCAAATGAAAATATAGTTCAAAATGTTTTGACTGAAAATGTCAGAAAAAATGGCAAAGTTCACGACTCAAAAGGGACTGACTCAGTGGTTGAGTGTAGTTAAGAGGCGGACATGACTTAGGATAATGTTAATAAGAACTTTGACGAGTTTAGAAAATCAGATTGTCAACGGTGACTACACAAAGTTCTATGTTCACTAAACAACCGTTTTGGTACTAAAAGTATAATAACTATTCATGTAAATACTAACAAAATCTTAGAAATAGTTGCCAAATCTTTAGAAAAATTAGCAGACCAGTTAAAATAAACATAATGGGAACATGTATTACAAATCTTCAATATTATACAAAGAAAAACAATAGAAACATATTTTTAGAAATATATAAATGATGATTAATCGAAAAACAACTAATCTCTAGTAGTTTTAAATGTAAGAGTTTCTACCTTTTTGGTGGTAACTTGTATCCAACATAATATCTACCTCACCTTAAGTAAAATTATCTTTATTTGTGTGATCAAACAAAAATTAAGAAACGAATCCAGTTAGATTCAAATTAGATATGTCATATATGCAACAAATCTAGTTTACATGGGACCCTTCAGTTTGAGATATTGGTTCTGGTGGGTCCCATCTTATTCTGTTGTGTTTGTCAAAAAAAAAAAAAACATTGAGATAGTTGTTCAAAAAAAAAAAAAAACATTGAGATTGGTACAAGGACAGGGAAATCGTTAAGCTTCTGGATCTCTTCAATCGATGGCGACTCGGCAATCACAAGAATGTGTAATGAAGGATGTTTGTCTCCATTCATGGACCAAATCTCTCCTTCTCGTTTATTCCAAGTGATGGGCCCAAGCCCATATTACATGTGACGTATAAGAATAATGTTTTGGGCTAAAAGTGATGAAGCCCATTCGTATTCTCAAGTTTAACGTCATATATAAGACGAAGAGAGTAAAACCTAACGTGGAGAACAGAGGCGGCAAACAGAGGGAGAACTTGGTCAAGAGTTATCTACGGTTCTGTCTTCGCAGTTGTAGGGTTTGTGGTGTAGCTGTTAGTGATTCTTCTTGCTTTCGTCTAAAGGGTTCTCTCCTTTGGTAACATCTGCAAAAGTTTAGAAAGAGAGACATAAGAGAAAGCTTGTAAGAGGGAAATCACAGGATAACAAACACTCTTGTAATCACTTGATTGTGGATTGACTCTAGTGGATTGAGAGTACCTTCTTGTGACTTATTAATATCAACAACATCGTGGTTAGCTTAAGTTAGTTTACCTAAGTTGGTTTTGAATCGATATTAAAAACCTCACATGTAAAGAAACATTTCTGCATGAGGATGGAATCTTTGCCGCATGATGTCGTAGAGCTCATCCTAGAGAGACTTCCCGTGAAATCTCTGCTGAGATTTAAGGCTGTGTCGAAGGAATGGAGATCAACGATCGAATCCTCTTTCTTCCAAGAGAGACAATTAGTACAACGTAAGCAATCAGGAGATCCAGATGTCCTCATGGTGCCCAAAACTCCTTTCCATGCTGTTGGTCCGGACCTCATGGAACCTCTAATAACACTGGTATTGGGCTCATCAGCATCCGTCAAGATCCCTAGTCCTTTGGAGAAAACACATTATTTGGTTTGCAAGAACACCTGCGACGGTCTCGTTTGTGTCTACCAAACATGCGAACCCTGTCTTGTCTTCAATCCCACCACTAGATGGCATCGGACTCTTCCTCTCTACGAGTTACAAAAATACGTAATCGGCTTAGGTAAAGAGTGGTACTTCAAGCTTAGTCCCTCCTTCTTTAACCTCGGATTCGGTAAGGACAAACTCACTGGCACGTACAAGCCCGTTTGTTTATACAACTCGAAAGAGATCGGCCGACAAAACGCTACTACGTGCGAGGTTTTCGACTTTTGCACCAACTCCTGGAGGTACGTCACACCCGCTGCTCCTTATAGGATTAACAATCACTCCAATCCTGTGTATGTAGATGGGTCGCTTCATTGGCTCACCGAATGCAAAGAAACCAATGTGTTATCTTTCGATCTTCACAAGGAATCTTTTCAAGTCGTCTCTAAAGCCCCCTTTGCGGATTTACTTCCTTACGAGATGGTCTTGTGCAATCTTGACGAACGCTTGTGCGTATCCGCGTTAAAGTGGCCGGAACAAGTGATATGGTCGTTCAGTTCAGGCAACAAGTCATGGGAACAAATGTATTCCCTCGATCTTGATTATACTTATCGTTGCCATGATATCCCAACACGACTCTTCGCCCCACATATATACGCGCTCATGCCACTAGCACTCTTGCATGGGGAGAAGGAAAAGAAGAAGAAGCTGCTGTTTTATGATGACGTGTTAAGTCGAAAATTGGTGATATATGATCCTGAAACAAAATCGTGTGATGCTGCTTACTCGGCTGAAGTAATCGGCTATACTGTTTGTTATTTTCAGAGTTTGTTTTCTATTTAATAAATTATGATTATTTATCAATGTATTATGTAAACAAACTGTTTGGCTTGTAACCAAATTTGCAACTCTTTGTTATGGTCCAGCGTCTTGTTTTTATCGGAATTGCCTTGTTATGCTCTTAGTTAATCTCACACGGTTGGGTAATTAATGGTGTTTCTCTTTGTTTATGAAGACAATATTTAATAGCACTGAAGAGAAATGTGCTTGTGTAAATTGAATAGAGCCACTGATAACCGCAGTTATGTCCTAGCTAAGCTCATTGTGGATCTAAAGAAAGAAGCAGATTACTTTGGTCTTTAGATATCTACAATATTGTGATATTTATATTGGAAACATAAAATTCTACCATAAGCCTCTGCGCACTGGGAAAGGGGCTGTGGCATATGAGGTACATATTTTACATTTTTAGTAACTTGAAAACTCAATAGAGCTGAGGAAAAAAAAAAGGCTATGATGAAACTTGCTCATCCGGTTTTCTCTCAAATGTGAAACCAGGATTGGCTAGAAGAGTATTATATCCACCATATGCAAATGGTCCCCGTTACATCTTCTCATATGATATAGCTAAGTTCATCGTAGATGATTTTGAACAACAAAGATTAAGAATAAGTCATCTTTTTACACATAAGCTAGTGTATAGCCTTTTGTTGACTAAAATTGTAGTAAATGATATATCTTTTCACAAGACTAAGAAGTGCCTTGATATGTCTAATTCTGATGGAAATAAAGAAGAAAAACTAGAAATGAAGGTTTATAATGTTGATATTTAGTGGCTTATTTGGTTAAGAAGATTGGCCTACGTTGTAAAAACTTGTGATTTTGATCATATTGATATTTATAAATAAGCATATGTCCTTGAATAATATGCTGAATGCTAATTATTGTGGGAAAGGATGCACAAAGCAGAGTAGCAGCGTTTGCTCTTTATTCCATTATACTCTGCAGGCGTTTAAGACCGTCACCATACTTAGTAATTGATCCTGCAAGTCAAGTCAGATAAAAAGAAGCATTTATACATGATTCAAGTCGGATGCTCCCACATGTTATGTTAATCACCACATTAATTGATGGGCTCTGTAAGTAAAGTGAACTTTAAATGTCAGAAAGTGACATTTTTCTCTTTGAAATGTCCAAGATAGTTCTTCAAATGTGCAAAACCAATGGTTCTTGATTAGCACACACAATAATTATCAGGCTGCTGTGGAATATTCAACTCACTCTTATGTGAATATATCCTAAAAAAATACTAATATCCAAAATTAAAAGCCATCACTATTATTTCAATTTGTTAGTAGGTCAAAGCATAGAAAAATCAAAAAGTTTAAGAACACCACCTTTGACGCACACCTGCCTCATTGCTACGAATGCCACGAGAGGCATAATCCCTCATACTATTATATATACACACCACACACTGACCCAAAAAATCAACACTTCAGATAAAAAAAAAGAGAAGAAAACTAAAAGATGGCACAGAACGACCAGAACGAGACAGTGAAGCTGATAGGTACTTGGTCGAGCCCTTTTGCCCTTAGGGCTCGAGTGGCTCTACACTTGAAATCTGTCAAGTACGAGTACTTGGACGAGCCTGATGTTCTTAACGCCAAGAGCGAGCTTCTTATCAAGTCCAATCCCATCCACAAGAAAGTCCCTGTCCTCATCCATGGCGACGTTTCCATCTGTGAGTCCCTCAACATCGTCCAGTACGTGGACGAAGCTTGGCCCTCCGTTCCTTCCATCCTTCCTTCTCATCCGTACGATCGTGCCAATGCTCGGTTCTGGGCTCAGTACGTCGACGATAAGGTAAACGAGTCTAGACTTAACTCCATGGATCTCTATTGGATTTTCTTTACGCATTCTATGTTTTGCTTGTCAAAGTTTGAAACTTTTTGAAGATAGGATCTTGATATTCGAATATAGATCTGTTTGGATTGAGACTTGAGTTGCTTATTACTATGTTTTTGGTATAGGGTATTCAAAAGTTTGAAACTTTTTCATCAATTGGAATTTGGAAACCAAATAAAAATAAAGTTTGAAACTTTTACTTCAGAAGTCTAGTTTGAAGAACAAGCTTCGATTTTGACATTTAAAATAGATCTGAGTAGATCAAGATCCGGTTTTTAAACATAGTATTTGATTTATGTATGAAAACAGGTATTTGCATCGTTGGATGCGGTGGGCGGAGCAAAAGACGACGAAGGGAGAATGGCGGCGGCGGGAAAGCTGATGGAGTGTTTGGCGACACTTGAAGAGGCTTTTCAGAAGAGCAGCAAAGGGTTAGGGTTCTTCGGAGGAGAAAACCTCGGCTTCCTCGACATTGCTTGTGGGACCATCCTGGGTCCAGTCTCTGTGATCGAGGCGTTTTCCGGCGTCAAGTTTCTCCGGCAGGAAACAACACCTGGGTTGATCCAATGGGCCGAGAAGTTTAAGGCCCATGAAGCTGTGAAGCCTTATATGCCTACCGCTGAAGAGTTCCTTGCATTCGCAAAGAAGAAGTTTGGTGTTGAGTGAAATGATTCTATAAGCAAATGTGTGGAATACGAAATGAATTACTGATGTTTGTCGTCTTTGAGGTTTTTATTTTTCGTTCTCTGTATTTGCCAAAGCTTTAAATCATATGCCACTTGGGTGTTTATTTATGTTTTTTCTTTTTAACCTACTGTGGTTATCTTGGTTTTATTTCTCTGCGTCAATTTGACACTGTCAATTCAGTTTTACATTTTTGTTAAAATTTCAACAATTCAGTTTTATTTTGTTTTATATACCAAACCATTAACTACAACACACACAAAGAAGAAACTCTATCATCCAACCGAGACTACCGTGTGAGATTATAACTAGAAGGATAGCAACTTAACAAGCAATAAAAAAATCCTATAAAAGGATAACAAGCAGTCTTGAAGAGTTGCAAACTTGGACACGCAAACACTTGATTACATAATGCATTGAGAATAATCAATAAGGAATAGTGGCTGAGAATAGTGGATACGGCATAAGCACTCATAAATTAAGTGCATACGTGATGTAGGAACGTTGTAAGTCGGTAAGCTCTTATAAGGAAGGATTGATGTAGAATCACCAACTGGTTGAGATGAATGATGAACAATGGATTTTGTGATCAAGAAGATCGTCAGTCAAGGGTGTGAAGGCTTTGTGATGAGATCACGAACCTAAGTCTAACTGAATCCACCGTACTTAGAAAAATAAAGACAAAGCCTAAGTTTGAAAAGAAAACTCCATTAAGTTTTTATAATCAAAGGTGTGTGTGTGTCAGTGTGTCTTACAAAGGTTCAAACTTCAAAGGAGCTATCAAATAGCTCTCAAACATGTACATATATAATATTTAAAAACAGAAGTAAATACACAGTCACAGAACAAGGGAGCATCGAAGGCTAAGTATATGTACCGCATACAATCGTATATTCAAGTGTCTTTTCTCTATGTATGATATATAATCGTTCTTAAAAACGAATCAACACAGCAAAAGTTTCTTTTTGAATTAAATTGGTGGATTCAAAAATCTACGGAAGAAACGGTGAGATTTCGGTTTACATTTTTTTTTAGTGATTGAAACATAACCAGTCGATGGAAAAGAAAATCAATCGAGCAAAATCGGATAACAATGTAATAAGTAAACCGCTCAAACTGCTGACTGTGATTAATTAAAATGTTTCTATTGGTTGAACATTTTAAATAAAGTGGCAATTCCCGGAAGCTTTAAAAAGATGAATTGTCATTATCTTAAGAGGCACATGAACTTTTGTTGTGTTGATTAAGAAAATTATAAAATTTCTTATTTTACTAGTTGATTAATATTATGTTTTTTTTTTGAATAACTAATATTATGTTTTGTTTGATATGAGGGCTATAAAAGAATAGAGATAAACTTGGAAAAACTGTAATAAATTTTCATTGAAAATACAAAACACAAGTAACATGAAGCACAATGTTAGGAAGTTGCAAATATCATTACAGAAAGTCAGAAACCGACTTCACAACAGAACCAGAGGTTATACATGTAAATCTGGAAACAATCAAACACATAATTTAGAAGAGGAGGTCACCGGTTATCCTGGTTTAAATAGATTGAATCATGATCGGTTCAATTTAAACCAAATGGATAATTGTTTATCCAAAAAGCGAGAAAAAACAAAAGGGAAGACGTCAATGTCACTAGAGACGAAAACTCGTGTTTACAATTTAGAAAAGAGACTTGAATGATTGATGACGACGACAAGGAAAATGCAAATTTCGCTGTCTCCATCATCTCTCGATTGTCTCTCTCAAACCATCTTCTGAGCCAGAAGAAAGACGAGATTTTCAGAGAGAAGAAGCTCTGTCAAGTCTTTTCTTTTTCGAGATGGAGAAGAAGACACTGAGATGTGTCCGGTGGGGTTATGAGGTGAATGCCTCTTCCGATGATTGCATCGACGCAATTGACTCCTATTTTCTACAGGTTCTTCCTCTTCGATCATCCCTCTTTCGTTATAGACATAAAAAAAACAGAATTTGATTTGAGCTGATTGTATTTTGTGGTTAGCTTCTGCTATGCTTTTCTGGGTTTCTGAAAAGTTTCGATCTTTGTAATCTGATCTCTTGTTTTGATCGGTGTTTCAGGTTCTTAGCTATGGGAGAAATCGGAAAGTGATTCTAGAAGCACCACGTTACGACAAAGACTGTGTTTTGGGGAACGTTTTAGCTGCTCATTACCTTTCCTCATCTGACCATTCCAGAGCTAATTCCTATCTTGAAGCTGCTTCATCCAATCTCGTGAGTCTCTATATTCACTGCATTTGTACTTCTGATTCTACTCTGGGGTTTGAGGGGAGGCAATTCACGAGTTTGATTTGTTTGGCTTCAGGAACATTCTACACCATACGAGAAGGCGGTTTTCGAGGCTGTTAGTTACTTGATCTCCGAAGATAGGGACGACGACTTGGCTTTTGAAGTGCACACTGAGGTTGATTCTTATCAATTGCTGCGTTTGATTTGTTTTATCTTTGTGAATCTGGAATCAGTACAACGATTGTGGTTCGAAATGTGGTGATTCTTAGGTCCTAGGCACATATGTATATTCTCTGAACTTGCTGATGTTAAGTTTGGATCAAAATTTTTGTTCTGCAGCTGCTGAAGAGATTCCCAAAAGATTTGGTGTCTCTGAAGAGAGCACAGGTTTTATGTTTCTACATGGGTCAACCTGATCCCTTTTTGAGTCTTGTTCTGCAGGTACTTTAGAGTTCTCATCCGAATTGACCAACATTGAAATGATTCACCGTCTAAGGCTAATTAAATTTGATTGTATCTACTTGCTTGATGTTGTAGATTCTACCTGTGAATGAAGAAGAAAGTTACATACACGGTATGCTTGCGTTTCCATTGTTAGAACTTGGTCGAATGGAAGAAGCTGCAGCAGCTTCCAAGAAAGGCTATGAGATCAATAAAGAAGACGCATGGGCACATCACTGTGTGAGTTCCTTAACAGAGTTTTACATGCCATTAAGCTAAATGCATCCTGTATTCTCAGTTTCCATGTAAAGACTAATCACTCAGCAGTCCCTTATATAACCTTTTTTTGTTGCAGATGTGTCATGTTCTTCAACATGAATGCAGGTTTAAAGAAGCAGTGGAGTTCATGGAAGGGTTCTCAGGATCTTGGCCTTCTTGCTCATCCTTCATGTATAGCATTTCCCTCTTACCTCACATATTATCAAGCTCTCCTCTTATCATTTAGAATCCCTGATAACATATACAAAATTGTCAGGTATACACACAATTGGTGGCATGTTGCTCTTTGTTACTTGGAAGGAGGGTCACCAATGAGTAAAGTAGAGGAGATTTATGATCATCACATCTGGAAAGAATTGGAGAAAGACGACGCCGTTCCTCCAGAAGTAAATACTCTTTTCGATTGGGAAAAAATCATACTTCTGCTTCCTCTTTCAAAAATTCAACTACGTGTCTGCAACTCTACAGGTTTATCTCAATGCTCTGGGGTTGTTGTTGCGTTTGGATGTAAGAGATGCTCTTGATGGTTTTGAAGACCGTCTCAAACTCCTTGCAGCTCGTTTGACTGATCAGGTAATCCATATCAGCACTAGTGGGATGATGATGATATGTGTTCTTCTTCTGTTCAGTGAGCTTTACTGATAATATGGAATGGTCTAATTAGTTTCTGTGCCACTTGTGGTTTAAATTTTCAGGCAAACTGGTATTTGGAGTGGCATCTCGATATATTGATAGTTTGGGCATTAGCGAAAGTTGGAGAGACTTCAAAAGCTCATGAGTTACTCGAGGGTCTGAAGTTCCGGTTAGTGTGAATACCTTTCCAACTACAGTTTCTTGTGGAAGTCTCGATTTATTGTGAACCTGTGTTGTTCTTGCAGAATATCGAAGATGACCAAGAAGAAGCAGCAAGTGATGCAGAAAGGGATTCAGGTTAGTTTCATCGTCCTTGACCGTCTTTTTCTTTCAAACAACTCCTCAATATATATCATTCGTGTTTTCATATTAGCTCGGAGAAGCTGTGTATGAATACGCAAGGGGTAACTACAAACAGGCTTTAGAACTGCTCGGATCAGATTTCAACTCTATTGGTTACAAGGTAAAGAATATAAGTAACTCTCTGGATCAAACACAACTCATTCTTTTGTTTTTTTAACTGTTTGATGGTTATTAACAACAGATCATCGGAGCATCAGATGAGCAGATAGATGTTTTCAACGAAATGTGGTGCCAGCTGCTGCTAAACACAGGCCAATCCTCCACTGGTACGGCTTGTTGTACATCTTAAATCGGTTTCTTGGTATATTCATTCATCTTGTCTAATGTTTAGTATAACTATAAACGACCTTGGCTCTCATCTATGCACAGCCAAAGAAGTGATCAGAGAGAGGATAAAGGTCAGAGAAGGTGTTCCTTTCATGTGGCGTTTGCTGGTAAATTATAGTTTGCGTTCACAAGCAGGACCTCACTTTGTTTTATCATGTGTTGTTAAATGGGTTCTTGGTGATGAATGAAACGATGTCGTTTCTGGTGACAGGAGAAGAGTTACGACATGGAAGGCAATGCAGAGGCTGAGAGTGCCGGAGAGAGAGCTAAGACGCTGGAATCTTCTTACTTCTTCTGAGTTGCAAGTTCTTTCTTACTCTGTTTCTTAATAACAAGTTAGTAAAAAGTGTTTAAAATGTACTGCTGCTCTAAAGTAAAGTAGTTTTTTTTACTTGTATAAATCTGTTCGAAATCATGTTATACGGTACCATATTGACATTCGCTATGTGATTTACGGTTACCAAATCAAATAATATATTTCCATTTTGTTTTTGACCCTTTTCCTTAACAGTTTTTATTTAATTTCCATTTCCCAAATAACGAATGTGTATATACATTCGCTGTTGACAATATATAAAACAAACCTAGGATTTAGCATTCGCTGTCATTCTTTCTGTTTCTTTTCACAATGTCGGAAACGGACAAGATGTCGGCGACAGAGATGGAGCGAAAACTGAAGAAAGAAGAGAAGGCTAGAGACAAAGAGATGAAAAGGCTTAAGGCGCTGGAGAAAGCCAAGCTCGCACAATTGCAGGCGTCTAAACCGAAATCAATGGAAGAGAAGAAGAAGAAGAAGATCGGCAAGGAAGAAGACAATCCAGCAGATTTCATCGACCCAGAAACTCCACTCGGCGAGATGAAGAAGCTCTCTTCACAGATGCCCAAGCAATACAATCCATCCACTGTTGAAAAATCGTAATTTCTCTATAAACCCTAAAACCCCAAATCAATCAATCGCTGATTTTTTATTTCTTCTTCTCACACTTCTCTGTTTTTCTGTCACAGATGGTATGAATGGTGGGAGAAATCTGAGTTTTTCAAAGCCGACGCGAAGAGCTCAAAACCAAACTTCGTGATTCTCCTCCCTCCGCCTAACGTCACGGGAGTCTTACACATCGGCCACGCGCTAACCTGCGCAGTCCAGGACACGCTGATCCGCTGGAAGCGAATGTCCGGCTACAACGCGCTCTGGCTTCCCGGGTTCGACCACGCCGGCATCGCCACACAGGACGTCGTCGACAGAAACCTCCGCCGCGAAACGGGGAAATCAAGGCACGACATTGGCCGCGAGGAGTTCGTGAAGCAGGTCTGGGACTGGACGCACAAGTACAGCGGCACGATCAAAACGCAGCTCCGGCGTTTGGGGTCGTCTCTCGACTGGTCTCGCGAAGTGTTCACACTGGACGAGCAGAGATCAAAGGCCGTAACCGAAGCCTTCGTGAGGCTACACAAGGAAGGCGTGATCTACAGAGGCGACCAGCTCGTGAATTGGGACTGTTTCTCGAGATCAGCGAGATCTGATGAAGAGATTGAACACATTGACATCAAAGGAAGAACTTTAAAGAACGTTCCTGGGTATGAGAAGCCTGTGGAGTTCGGTGTGATGACGTCTTTCGCTTATCCTCTCGACGACGGATCTGGAGAGTTTGTTGTTGTTGCGACGACGAGAGTGGAGACAATGCTCGGTGACACCGCGATCGCTGTTCATCCTGATGATGCGAGATACAAGCATCTCCATGGGAGATTCGCTGTGCATCCGTTTAACGGAAGGAAGCTACCAATCGTTTTGGATGAGGAGCTTGTTGATCCGGAGCTTGGCACTGGCTGTGTTAAGATTACACCAGCGCATGAGCCTAAGGATTACGAGGTTGGGAAGCGGCACCATCTCGAGGCTATAAACATATTTAGTAATGATGGGAGGATTAACGAGAACGGTGGGGTTGAGTTCGCAGGGATGCAGAGGTATCTGGCTCGTGAAGCTGTTGTGGAAGCTCTGCGTGAGAAGGGATTGTTTAGAGGTGTGGAGGAGAAAGAGATGAGGATTGGGATTTGTTCAAGAAGTGGTGATGTTGTGGAACCTATGTTGAAGCCTCAGTGGTATGTGAATTGCAGGGAGATGGGGAAAGAGGCGCTTGATGCTGGTTGTAACGGTAAGCTTGAGATTATACCGAAGATGTACTCAGCTGATTGGAGGAGATGGTTGGAGAATTTGCATGACTGGTGCATCTCCAGGCAGATTTGGTGGGGTCATAGGATCCCGGCTTGGTACGTTACGCTTGAGGAAGATAAGCTTAAGAAGTTTGGTGCTTACGTTGACCATTGGGTTGTTGCTAGGAGCGAGGAGGAAGCTAGAGAAGAAGCTGAGGTTAGATTTGCTGGGAAGAAGCTGCTTGAGCTCTCTCAAGATCCTGATGTGCTTGATACGTGGTTCTCTTCAGGGCTGTTTCCTTTGTCTGTTTTTGGATGGCCGGATCAAACCGAGGAGCTTAAAGGTTTTTATCCATCTTCTGTTCTTGAGACTGGACTTGACATTCTGTTCTTCTGGGTGGCTCGGATGGTTATGTTGACGATGAAGCTGAGTGATGGGGAGGTTCCTTTCAGCAAGGTTTATCTGCATCCGATGGTACGTGATGCACATGGACGCAAGATGTCGAAGTCTCTTGGGAATGGGATTGATCCGCTTGAAGTGATCAACGGTGTGACTCTCGCTGGTCTTCAGAGCAGGTTGGAGAAAGGTAACTTGGATCCCAAGGAACTGGTTGTTGCCAAGGAAGGGCAAGTGAAGGATTTTCCGAATGGTATCGCTGAGTGTGGCGCTGATGCTCTTCGGTTTGCGCTGGTTTCGTACACTGCTCAGGGCTATAACATAAACATGGATGTCCAGCGAGTTGTTAGTTACCGCCAGTGGTGTAACAAACTTTGGAACGCGGTTAGGTTTGCAATGATGAAGCTTGGTGATGATTACACTCCTCCTGCTTCTGTGAAAGCGCTAAGCCCTGAAACCATGCCTTTCAGCTGCCAGTGGATTCTCTCTGTGTTGAACAAGGCGGTCTCAAAGACTGTGGATTCGTTGAATGCGTTTGAGTTGTCAGATGCAGCCAACACTGTGTATTCTTGGTGGCAGTACCAGTTTTGTGATGTGTTCATTGAAGCAATCAAGCCTTGTTTCTCTGCTGACGACAACCTTGGAAGGACTGATGCTCAAGACGTTCTCTGGATTTGTCTTGAGACTGGCTTGAGATTGCTTCATCCGTTTATGCCTTTCGTCACCGAGGAGCTGTGGCAGCGGTTGCCTTCGCCGAGAGACTGTGAACGGAAGGCTTCTATCATGATCTGCGATTATCGTCTCCGGTAGAGAAGTGGACGAGCGAGAAGGTGGAGACCGAGATGGAAATGGTTATGGCGACAGTGAAAACGCTTAGAGCAGTGAGAGCTGCAGAGTCGCTGGAGAGACAGAGGAAAGAGAAGTTGCATGCGTTTGCTCTCTGTGGAAACGCATCAACACAGGGGATTCTGCGATCTCACGACCTGGAGATCAGAACGCTCGCCAATGTCTCGTCTTTTGAGGTGCTGGAGGAAGAAGACGAAGCAGCCAGAACGAGATGTGCTAGTGTTGAAACGGTGAACGAGCTCAAGGTGTATCTCACAGTGGATGGAGGTGAAGGTGAGAATATCAGAAGCAAGATTGGAGAAATTCATATTTGAGCTGAACAAAGCTCTTTGTTTTATTTTTAATCTAGTTATTTAGTTACTACTTGAATGTAGGCAGTGGGATTAAACTGTACTTAGCCTCCTTAGCACTGGCATTTCACGAAATGAACAAAAGAAGGCCATTGCACACATTTCTGATCACATCTTAAGCAGTACAATAAACCTTTCGTAAAAGTAACATCTTTTAGTAAACTGTTTTTACTATGTTTTGGTAAGCCAAAGAGCTCGCTCGAATCACTCAACTAACCAATCTTCGTTACTAAAAGAAATGACGAGGTAGCAATTTGAGTGACACGAAATTGTTTTGACAGTGAATGAGGTAACTCATTATATGGCGATAAATATATTGAAAACACACATTTTCTCGACCACATATACACACACCGTATGTTGTGTGAGCTAGTTAATTTTGTTTTGTTTAACTTGCTTTCTCTTCAAGATGAATATGTTTATTTTGGCTAGACATAGAGGTGGAACTAACTATGAATTTAGACATGAGCAGTTTACAAGATTCAAAGGCTTTTTCTATGAAAGTTCCTAGACACATGCAATCACGTAGGAACGAACTATTCATAGATGATGATGACATCACTGTAATGACATCACAGTGATGATCTCGTGCATCTACAAAATGACATCATCATCAAGATGTCATCCATCACAAATTTTCTTATATATATACAAGAGAAATTGTTAATAAACACCATCATATAATGCAAATATTAAAAGACAAGAAGTGACACTTTTACCAAAAAAAGTGAACAGATCATACCAAAAGAAAAAAAGAAGAAGAATTTGCCCTGCAAACAATTGAAAACAATATTTTCTCTCATAAATACTTGTTGTCAAGATGATAGTGATAATAGTGGTAATGCTGATGTCTGTTAGCTAAGTTGTTATCAATGTTAGTTTATCAGTAAATCATACTTTTAATGGAATGACAACAAGGTTAACACATTGATTTTCACGATATCAACATTAACACGACTATTTGATGATATGATAACTTGGTTGACATAACAATTTCATATTTTTACTATATATGATAACTAAATCAACTCAATTATCGCCAATATTGTCATTAGTATTATCATCAATGTTATCAACAATGTTATCATTTATGTTATTTTCAATGTAAACATCTTTATTTCTTTTATATAGTGTCAACATGTTTGTTATCGACAAAATTATCGTGTTTATTTGGTTAATGAAAAATGTAGACATGTTTGTTCTATTGGATAACAAGTTTATATGTCAATGACATTTTCTGTATTTATTTGTAATAAAAAGGTAATTTTTGGATAAAATTATGATCTCTCTCATAACTCATAATTTCTAACTATTTGCTCATCTTTTCTCATTTTACCATTATTCATATATATACATTAAAATCACCATATATACAGTCTCCCCTTCACAATTCTTCTTCACTCCTCAAACCGATAAAAACAAAACTAAAGAAGAAAAAAGAAGAAAAGAATGTCCAAATTGACGGAAAAATAGAGTGAAGGGTTACCTTTATTCATACTCTTTGAGAAATTGACATATATCCTATATCATCTTATTAATTCAACTACATAAATTGCATATACCTAACATATTTTGTTTTTTTTAAATAAAGAAATAATGCTAATAACTATTCTAAAATGTTAAATGCTAATCATATAGGGCTCTCATTCTTAAACATGTGATTATTTAAAAAGTATATATATTAGCAAAACATGATAAAATTATCATATTTATTATATTTTGTTTATGTTTCGCATAGATTTTGCTTATAATTTGCTTATGTTTTACTTATTTTTGTAAATCAAAATTTTGGCAGCTCTATTTTTATTATGTATAGATTAATTGTTTATTTCTAAATAACAATTATTTATTTAATTCATTTACCAAGACAATTGTTTCAATTATATTTGACAAACTGGTTAGTGTATAGGTTGGATACTCATCAAAGGGGAAAAATAGCACATACAAGATGGAAGACTGGAAGGTGGAGGAAACATTTGGCGGTGGTCTTCATCCCAACATGATTGGCATTAAGAATTGAAACGTTGAATTTTCTTTAAAGTATCTTAAACTCATGATATGTGGAAAAAAAATGTATTATTCTTTATCCATAATTTGGTTGTTGTTGTTTTCTAGTATTCCAGTGTTGTTAAATTTACGAGTTTTGAATATTTGTGTATTAAAACAACGCTCTAAAATAATATGAATATTAATCAAAAAAGTTTGTGCCTTTTTTGAGCAAATGAAAATTACTCCATGTATTTTAAAGATTTTTTCCATTCTTTAAATGATTAAAACTAGTTTGTCAAAAAAAAAATGATTAAAAGTAAATATTTCAAATAGTTTAAATGTGTATAGTACGTAGATTCCAGAGGTCTCATTGCCTCATAATAATCACGAAAACGGTGGGTATGAAGATTTGTAGAGTACGTTTGGAAATATTTCTGTTTTTTTTTTTGTTAAAGGATTTATGTTTGGAAATATTTCTTATATGTCTAATTTTTCTTTTACTTTGACGAAACATGTGAGCTTGATGAAACACCTCAGCTTTTGGATTTAGGACCCATCCTACAAAAGGTAGCAATGTGTACCTCAAGTGTTTATGTGCTCAAACAGTCAACACATTCGAAAAGCCATCTAGTTCGAGGACCACTCTCATCCGTGAGTTCGGGGGTACAGATCGTATAAAATATATATATGTTTGGTGGAAACTGGAAAGCCAGTCCTAAACTCTTCTATCATCTCTGAAAACGCTTCAAGATATCTTTCATGAATTTGCTGATATTATAGCTGTCCTGTTTCATATATGCGCAGCAACGATCAAACTTTGTAGCTATAAGAGTTTCAGTAATCTAGAATAATAAACCGATTAAATGGATGGCTAGTAGTAATTAACTAAAGCTTATTGAGTTATTGAGTAAAGAAAAAGTCAATGTGGGCCGTTCTGATTTTATGTTTCACCATTGAACTCCGTGACATTTAGGGCTTGGAGAAGAGCCGTGTCCGTTGTTTAGGATATGACGGCTTCCTCACAGCATATTTTGTTGACGGTCCCCATCTTCTTAAAGTCAATGCATTCAAAAAGAAAAAAAAAGAATAAAACCTGTGTGTGTGGTCTTTGGTGTGCTTACTTGCTTAGCACTAAAGAGAATATTATTGTTGCACCCTTTCCGTCTTTCAAACGAACACTTGTGTGCTGTTCTCAATAATGTTAGACATGGAAATGCTTGACGTTACCAGTTTGGAGAAGAGCCATGCCCATCGTTTTGAAAAAAGTAAAATAAAAACTGTTGCTTGTGATGTAAGTAACTAAAAACTAAAGCAAGAAATAAGCTTTATCTCCGGACTCAAGTAAAGAATTTTCTCTTCCATCTTTTAAACTTGATTTCGAAGAAGGAAAGATTATAGACGATGGAGACCCGCGCTGTTTCACATCCGCGTTCGAGGCTCAAGTGGGACATGTTCCTCAGTGTCCAAAGAAACACGCGCCACAACAATTTCACGGAGCGTCTTTATGAAGCACTCATCAAGGAACAGGTCCGGGTATGGAACGGTGATGCGGAAAGCGGGAGTCATGAGCTTAGTCCAAGTCTTGTGGAGGCTATGGAGGACTCGGTGGCTTTCGTAGTCGTCTTATCCTCTGACTACGCTAAGTCTCACTTGTGTCTTGAAGAATTAGCCAAGCTGTGCGATCTGAAATCGTCACTTGGTTGTTTGATGTTACCCATCTTTTATGATGTTAAACCATGGAGCGTTCGGAGACAGAGTCCTTTCGAAATGGATTTTGAAGAGCACTCCAAAAGATTTGGAGAGGAGGAGATACAAAGATGGAGGAGAGCCATGAATTTAGTCGGAAATATCACCGGATTTATTCATAGGTATGACTCTGATATCTTTCATCTCTAACCTAAACATTTATAATCCTTTGGTTCAAATATATTTCATCATAGGTTCGGTAGAGACTTTTAAATATATCCATCTCATCTAACACTTGAAACATTCATGTCACTGTTTGTTCTCTCTCGCCAATGCTAAAATTTCTCTTCCAAGCTTGGATCTCTCATTTCCTATGACTAATATTATCCTTTACTGCTTCCACCAAAACCGTTGAGTATGTAGAAGACAGAGATTTTCGTATTCAAGTGTGTCTTATAAGAAAAAGTTCATATCTCTACACGAAATAAGAGCTTAGAATGTAACTATGAGACAGAGAGTTCTATACCGATTTGGAAAATTCAGTTTGTACATTCAGATAATGTTATATTTTACATATCGCATATCGCCAAGATACTGTACATTCAGATAATCCACTAAACACTTGTTTTTTAAACCTTTGAACACACTCATTATTCCTGGCTTCTTCTTCTTCTTGTGTTACATTTCATGTAGTGTCTTCAGTCTTCACTTATTCTTAATTTGAGCACTAGAATCCAACAAAATTGTCACTCTGGTAGCTTAATTGATTTTTTAAAATATTTAGAGGTTAGAGCATTTTGAAAAAGTCTCAAACCTCTCCTTTCAACCTGTGAATTTTACATTAGATATTTAATGTATCCAAAACACTCATTGATTATTGTATGTTTCTTGAAAAGACTTCTCTCTGTGTCTTTTAGCTCTGTAAAGCCAATTTTTGTTCTTTACCCAATCTAATAAGCAACCAAAGGAATTTGACACTGCGTGTTGTTTTGATTAACTACGAGGTAGAAACTGTGTGACGTTTTGATAAGCATCAAATGGGCCTCACTTATCAATATTGGGCCTTTTAGGTTATTAATGTCTTAAGCCTTTTTAGTATTATGTATTTAAGCTAAAGTCTGTAACCAGAAACATTATCGATTACGATCATCAATCAAACAGGGTTTAAATCCCAAATCTCTCTTCTTCTTCTCCTCTTCTTCTTTGATATCACTCTCAAGGCAAGTCACAGGCTTGTTGATAGGTCACAGGCTTATCATTTGGTATCAGAGCCAGGTTAAGAAGAAGTCATTTGGTATCAGAGCCAGATTAAGAAGAAGTCATTTGCGTGGGTCCCATACTCACTGAAAGTCAAACAAACGAGAGGATTGCACGATTTAAAATAAAATCATGAGGATTTTGGCATTTAACTAAAAAACATCCAGAAGAAATGTAGAAATGGCACGATTTAAGATTCCCGAAATCCAGAGCTTCGTCTTCATCGTCTAGTCAACGGGAACCCGATCGGATTGCCAGCATAGTAGCGTGATTTCTTCTCTGACACCGCCGGAGAATTAGACCGAAGAAATTGAGAACCTGAGCAAGAATCGACTGCAATGAACTGATTCCGGGAAGAAGAAAAACCAGAGAGTTGACTTAAAAAGAAAAAGCTTGAGCAGTAGCTAAAGCTTCCTCTCCTGTTACAGAGTTGATCGGAGATGGAGGCTGAAGTACTTTCGAAGCCGCACAGGCACAAGTACGACGTTTTCCTCAGCTTCCGAGGCGGAGACGCGCGCGAAACCTTCGCAGGGAATCTCTACGACGCGCTCAGAAAGGAGGTCCGTGTCTTCCGCGACAACGAAGGTATGGAGCGAGGGACTGCGACCGCACTAAGCCTCGCGGCAGCAATGGAGGACTCGGCGGCCTCAGTCGTCGTCTTAACCTCTAGCTACGCCGACTCTCGCCGGTGCCTAGATGAATTAGCTATGCTCTGCGATCTCAAATCAACCCTTGATCGTCCGATTCTACCCATCTTTTACAAGGTCGATCCCTCCCACGTTCGCAAACAGAACAGCCCTGAATTCGAGAAGGATTTTGAAGAACACGCCAAGAGATTTAGCGAGGAGGAGATTCAGCGATGGAGAATAGCTATGAAATCGGTTGGAAATCTCGCTGGATATGTTGTTCCGTTACTTCCGTAAGACTGCTAGTTGATTGCTTGACTTAATTGTTGATTGATTGAATTTAGGTTTGTGACTGCGTTTCCTATTTGTTTCTGTTTGGAATTTGGCAGAGAAGGCTCGGATGAGAATAAAATGATAGAGCTTGTGGTAAAGAAGGTTTTAGCTCAAGTGAGCAATTCGCCAGAGAAAGTTGGAGAATACACGGTTGGTCTGGAACCACGTGTCGTTAAATTGTTGAAACTCGTCGACTTGAAATCCAGCTCCGGCGTTCAGATCCTGGGGCTTCACGGTATGGGTGGTATCGGGAAGACGACGCTTGCAAAACGCTTCTACAACAAGATCGTCAAGAACTTCGAGGAGCACCGAGTTTTCATCTCAAACGTTAGAGAAACCTCCTCAGGCCTAAACGGCTTAGTCGATCTACAAAAGAGTTTCATCACTGGACTTTTCAGCTCGCCACCTCAAATAGAGGATGTTAACAGTGGCCGGGACAGGATAAGAGCAAGAGTTCATGAGAAGAAGATTCTTGCGGTTTTGGATGATGTTGATAGCGTAGACCAGTTTGATGCGCTGGTTGGTGAAAGAAGTTGGTATGGTGAAGGAAGTGTTATCATCATCACCACCAGAGATGAGGAGATTCTGAGTAAGCTCTCAGTGGACCAAAAGTATGAGGTCAGCTGCTTGAATGAGGACCTTGCATTGCAGCTGTTTAGTTATCACTCGCTACGGAAAGAGAAACCAACAGAGAGCCTATTGGTGCTGTCCAAGGAGATCGTAGAGGTGACGGGACGGTTGCCACTGGCTGTTGAAGTGTTTGGCTCTCATTTGTATGACAAGAAGGAAAAAGAATGGCGAGTTCAACTGGAGAAGCTGAAGAACACCCAGCCAAGCGATCTTCACGGTGTTCTTGCTCTGAGTTTTGAATCTTTAGAGGACGAAGAGAAGACTGTGTTCCTCGACATTGCGTGCCTCTTTCTGAAAATGGAGATGAGCAAAGAAGAAGTTGTCGACGTGGTGAAAGGATGTGGGTTTGACGCTGATGCTGCTCTCGATGTCCTCAGGCAGAGATCTCTGATCAAGATCTTGGCAGACAGAGACAATACGATTTGGATTCATGATCAGATTAGAGACATGGCAAGGCAGATGGTTCTTAAAGAAAGTCTTGAGGATCCTGGGATGCGAAGTAGACTCTCGGATCGTGGTGAAATCATGACTGTATTGAACTATATGAAGGTAACTTTATCTACAAGTAATTATATCATTTCTACTTCACTTGTTACATTCTCATGATCTTTTGTTCTGTACTGGGATGACAGGGAACATCATCTATCCAAGGAATGGTATTTGACTTCAAGAAGAAGTTTGTGATACAGCCAAGGGAAGTTGAGATTGCGTCGAGGAATCTACAGAACAACACAGGCATCAGCTCTGCGTTCAGCTACATAAAGAACATGTTTGTGAGATCTCCGGAAGAGGAAAGGCTAAGAAATTCTGAAATCACCATTCCCATAGGAGCTTTTGTACCAATGTCGAAGTTGAGACTTCTTCAGATTAACAACGTGGAACTGGAAGGAGATATTAAACTCCTCCCATCTGAACTCAAATGGATACAGTGGAAAGGTTGCCCATTAGAAACTCTTCCACCGGAGTTTCTTGCTAGGCAACTTGCTGTTCTTGATCTTTCAGAGAGTGGAATAAGACAGTTCCAGAGTTTCTACATCAAAAGGGTAAGGTTTCTTGTTTCCCCTAGCAAGGATGATTATATAGTTTAGAGTTAAAGTACCACTGCTATATAAACTCTCTCTGCTTTGCAGGTGGATGAGAACTTGAGGGTTGTAATTATGCGTGGTTGCCACAACTTAGAAGCCATTCCTGATTTATCAAACCATAAAGCCTTAGAGAAGCTTGTATTCGAGCGATGCAAACTTCTGGTGAAGGTTCCTAGATCAGTTGGTAATCTGACAGCATTGCTTCACCTGGACTTCAGCTACTGTTCAAATCTTTCTGAATTTCTTGTGGATGTTTCCAAACTGAAGCATCTTGAAAAACTTTTCCTCTCTGGCTGTTCAAATCTGAGTGTGTTACCACAAAACATTGGTGCCATGTCATGTTTAAAAGAGCTTCTTCTTGATGGGACTGCGATAAAGAACCTACCAGAAACTATTTTGCACCTTGTAAAACTTGTAAAGCTTAGTCTAAACGGCTGCAGATCTCTTCAGGAGCTACCTTCGTCCCTGGAAAAATTGACGTCACTGGAGGAGCTATATCTTAATGGAACTGCATTGCAAAAGCTTCCGGATTCTATTGGAGATCTTACAAAACTCCAGAAGCTGCATATGATGCACTGCACATCGCTTTCTAAGATTCCTGAGACTATCAATAAGCTCACATCATTAAAGAAGTTATTCATCAATGGAAGTGCGGTGGAGGAGCTACCTCTAAACCTCGGCTCACTTTCATCTTTGGTTGACTTTTCAGCAGGAGAATGCAAATCGCTGAAACAGATTCCGAGTTCAGTTGGTGGATTAAATTCTCTTTTCCAACTACAGTTGGATAGCACCCCAATCGAAACTCTACCAGAAGAGATAAGTCACTTGCCCTTTATTCAGAAACTTGAACTGAGGAACTGCAAATCACTGAAATCTCTGCCTGCATCAATCGGAGGTATGGACACACTTGAAATCTTACACCTTGAAGGCTCTAACATTGAGGAACTGCCGGAAGATTTTGGAAAGCTGGAAAAGCTAGTAGTGCTCCGAATGAACAAATGTGTAAAGCTCAAGAAGCTTCCTGAATCATTTGGAGACTTGAAAGATCTTCACCATCTCTACATGGAGGAAACTTTGGTTGCAGAGCTGCCAGAGAGTTTCGGAAACCTCTCAGAATTAAGGGTATTGAAAATGATGAAGCGGCCTCTCTTTAGAAGTGAGAGTGATCCCTTAGGTACAAGGGAAGAGCCTCGTTTTGTAATACCAGACTCCTTCTCAAACCTCTTGAAGGTTGATGAACTGGATGCTCGTAGCTGGGGAATATCTGGTAAAATCCCAGATGCTTTTGAGAAGCTTACCTCTCTGAGATCACTGAATCTGGGGAATAATTATTTTCACAGCCTTCCGTCTAGCCTCAGTGGGTTAACCAATCTCAAAGAGCTTTCACTGTATGACTGCCAAGAGCTCTTGTCTCTTCCCCCTCTTCCAAGTAAACTGGAGAAGCTAAACCTAGCAAACTGCTTTTCATTGGAAAGAGTATCAGATCTTTCAAACCTGGAGATCTTGCATGAGCTCAATCTCACAAACTGTGCGAAGGTGAATGACATTCCAGGGCTAAAGCACTTGAAGGCTCTGAAACGACTATACATGAGCGGCTGTAACTCCGACTTCTCCGTTAAAGTAAAGAAAAGACTTTCCAAGGTAATTCTCTAAAGTCTCAATAAGTTAAAATTTCAGGTTTGTTAACAACTTGCTTACATTCGTTTAAATTTGTCACTTGCAGGCTTCTTTGAAAATGATTCGGAATCTGAGCTTACCTGGAGACAGAGTCCCGGACTGGTTCTCGCAAGGCCCTGTCACATTCTCAGAGCAACCCAACAGAGAGCTCAGAGGCGTAATCCTGGCCGTTGTTGTGGCTGTTAAACATAACGATGGCCATCTGCCTGATGTGGTTGGGGTAAAAGCCCAAATTCACAAACCTGGTCAAGCCGCAGCCATAGTCAACCACACGTTGAACCTCTCTGGAGTGCCGCGAACAAATAAGGATCAACTCCACACATGCCATAAGGACCAACTCCACATCTGCAGGTACTCACATGATTACCCAATGGTCTCCATGTTGAAAGATGGGTACACCGTACAGGTGGTCAAACAAGAATTTGCAGTATTGCAACAAGACTCTGAGCTAAAGATGCATGGGATTCATCTGGTCTACGAAGGGGATGATGATGTACAAGGTGAGGAAGGTTCACTAAACGAGACGCTGCAAACCGTTTCTCAGAGACTTGCCAAATTCTTCCGCTCCTCCGAACAAGGTGAAGCCAGCTCAGTAAGTGATTCCACTGTTACATGATCTGCTACCACAGAGACGTTAAGAAAGTGCACAGACACACACTGTTGTTGCTAAAAAATACAAAAAGATCCACACAAAAAAAAACTGTTTCTTCGTTAAGTATTCTGACTATTTTCCTTTTGTTCTCTGTTCTCAAGCTTATTTGCTTCTTTTAAGTTTCACTCCTTCTAGGATGTTTCGTTGTTTCTTTGCCTTTTGATTTTATTATTTATAAAAGAAAAAAACCAAAAAGAGGAGACTCTTGTTTCCCATGATTCCTCGAGCAGTCTTTAAGAATCCCATGGATTTATGAAAGTTTTAGAAAAAGGACTTTCCAAGAGTGAAGAGAGGGTCAGTTTAATAAATCAATTTCAATTTTATCTGCCAGTTAGAATTGTAAAATTACCTCTTGTTTGTCATTAAAACGAACAAAGGAAAAAAAGAAAAGGAGAAGTAAGAGCTAAGATCAAAGAAAAGCAAGGGAAATAGACTGTCTCAAGAAAGCAGTTGTTGAAGAACGTTTTGTTGTGGTCAGGAGAGGAATCAGAAGAAAGACGGTGGAGCAAAGAAAAGGAATCTGCATCTCCCAAAACTTACAAGATTACAAACCGTTCTTTCTTTCTACACAAGGAAATGTGTACATGCGCTTACGATCAAACTTTATCTTACAAGATTTTCAATATTCTAGAATAATAAAACCAATGAAAGCTTTTGAGTTCAGAAGAAGTCAATGACGTTCTGAGTTTATGTTTAACCATTAAACTCCGTGACGTTTACGGTTTGGAGAAGAGCCATGTCCGTTGTTTTGAAGTGACAGCTTCCCAGAAGTAAAATAAATAAATAAACGGTTGCGTGTGCTGGAAGTAAAAAAACTAAAGCTACAAATGAGCTTTTGTCGCCAGGTTCACGTAAAGAATGTTCTGCACACTTTCCATCTTGAAAACTTGATATCGAATAGGAAAAGATCAAAGATGATATGATGAAGACCTGTTCGAGGCTCAAGTGGGACATATTCCTCAGTTTCCAAAGAAACACGCGCCACAACAATTTCACAGAGCGTCTCTATGAAGCGCTTGCCAAGGAACATGTCCGTGTATGGAACGGTGATACCGAACGTGACAATCTCGAGCTGGGTCCAAGTCTCGTCGAGGCTGTGGAGGATTCGGTGGCTTTCGTAGTCGTCTTATCCCCTGACTACGCTAAGTCTCGCTGGCCTTGAAGAATTAGCCAAACTCTGCGATCTGAAATCGTCTCTTGGTTGTTGGATGCTACCGATCTTTTATGGAGTCGATCCCTGGCCTTTTGGGAGACAAAGCCCTTTCGAAAGGGATTTCAAAGAGCATTCGAAAATATTTAAAGACGAGGAGATACAAAGATGGAGGAGAGCCATGAATTTAGTCGGAAATATCACTGGATTTGTTCATAGGTATGACTCTGATATCTTCTTTATCTCTAACCTAAACATTCATAAGCCTTTGGTTCAAATATATTTTCATCATTTTTTTTTTTTTTTTCATCATTTTTTTGGTATAGACTTTTACATATATCCGTCTCATCTAAAACGTTAAGCATTCATGTTGCTATTTGTTCTCTCTAATGGCTTAAATATGATTAGTTCTTATCCTTTTTTTGAAAAGTATATTTATTCCAAACGTGGATCGTTCTGTGTTGTCGGATATGTAGGTTTCTTCACACTCATTTCCTATGACTCACTCATATCATCCTTTACTTTGCTAGCTTGATTTATATTTATCCGTTTTAGAGCATTTTTAAAACAAGCTAGCACTTTCACTCAAAATGTTTAGAGCCCTCGTTTTAGATCAACCTTCTCACTGATCCTGTGACTTTCACTCAAAATGTTATAATAATTAATGTCTTCAGAGCCCTCGTTGGATTATTGTATGTACAATGTTTCTTTGCTTCTTCTTTTTTTTTTGGTCAACCAATGTTTTTTTGCTTCTCTTACTGTCATTTAGCTCTGTAAAGCCAAATTTTGTTCTTTACCCAATTAATTAAGTTAACAGCCAATGGAATTTGACACTGCGTGTCGTACTGATTAACCACGGTGGACACTGAAACTGTGCGACGTTTCAGATTAAGTGAAAAGTCATTTCCGTGGGTCCCGAATTCACTGAAAGTCAAATGAGAGGACTTTTTGAATTGAGTAATTGGCATTTATCTAAAAATATCCAGAGGAAAAATAGAAATTGCTCGATTCGTCTTCACCGTCTAGTCAACCGGAAAACCAATCGGATTGCCGACAAAGTTTCGGGATTTCTTCTCTGACATCACACCACCGTTAGCCGGAGAAGTAGATTGAAGAAAATTGATAAGCTGAGCTAAAAAAAGCTTGAGCAGTACTAGCATAAGCTTCCTCTCCTGCTTAATTGTGCTTCAGAGTTGATCGGAAATGGAGGATGGCGTTATTTCGAAGCCGCATAGGCTCAAGTACGACGTCTTCCTCAGCTTCCGAGGCGAAGACACCCGCGATACCTTCGCAGGGCATCTCTACGAGGCGCTCAAAAAGGAAGTCCGTGTCTTCCGCGACAACGAAGGTATGGAGCGAGGGACTGAGATCGATCCGAGTCTCGTGGCAGCTATGGAGGACTCGGCGGCCGCAGTCGTCGTCTTATCCCCTAATTACGCCAACTCTCACTGGTGCCTAGACGAATTAGCAAAACTCTGCGATCTGAGATCGTGGCTTGATCGGCCGATCTTACCCATCTTTTACAAGGTCGATCCCTCGCATGTCCGCAAACAGAGCCATCTTATAAAGAAGCATTTCGAAGCACACGGCACGAGATTTAGCGAGGAGGAGATACAACGATGGAGAGGAGCTATGAAATTAGTTGGAAACCTCGCCGGATATGTTTATCGGTAGAGAGATGAAGTTGAATTTGGGGATTTGACTGTGTTTCTATTTTGAGTTTTCGTTTTTGTAATTTTGGCAGAGATGATGACTCTGTTGATGAGGATGAGATGATAAGGCTTGTGGTGAAGAAGGTTTTAGCTGAAGTGAACAATACACCAGAGAAAGTTGGAGAATACACGGTTGGTCTAGAGTCACGTATCGATGATTTGATGACTCTGGTCGACTTGAAATCCAGCTCCGGCGTTCAGATCCTGGGGCTTTACGGTATGGGTGGTATCGGGAAGACGACGCTTGCAAAACGCTTCTACAACAAGATCGTCGAAAACTTCGAGGAGCACCGAGTTTTCGTCTCAGACGTTAGAGAAAGATCATCAGGCCACGATGATGATGGCTTACTCAATCTGCAAAAATATTTCATCAAGGAACTTTTCCGTTTGGATACTCAAATAGAAGATGTTAACGGTGGCAGGGACAAGATAAGAGAAAGTGTTCATGAGAAGAAGATTCTTGTGGTTTTGGATGATGTTGACAACGTAGACCAGGTTGATGCGCTCGTTGGTGAAAGAAGTTGGTATGGTGAAGAAAGTGTTATCATCATCACTACCAGAGATGAAGAGATTCTGAGTAAGCTCTCAGTGGATCAAAGGTATGAGGTCAGGTGCTTGACTGAGGAGCAGGCTTTGAAGTTGTTTAGTTACCATTCGCTACGGAAAGAGAAACCAACAAAGAGTCTAATGGAGTTGTCAAAGAAGATTGTCGAGGTATCGGGACACTTGCCACTGGCACTTGAAGTGTTTGGATCTCTCTTGTATGACAAGAAGGAGGAAAAAGAATGGCGAACTCAACTGGAGAAGCTGAAGAACACCCAGCCAAGCAATCTTCAAAATGTTCTTGCTCTGAGTTTTGACTCTTTAGACGACGAAGAGAAGATTGTGTTCATGGACATTGCGTGTCTCTTTGTGAAAATGGAGATAAAGAAAGAAGAAGTTATCGACGTGCTGAAAGGATGTGGGTTTAATGGCGAGGCTGCTCTTAGTGTCCTTAGACAGAAGTCTCTTATTAAGTTCTTGGCAGGGGATACTATTTGGATGCATGATCAGATTCGAGACTTGGGAAGGCAGATAGACCTTAAAGAAACCCCTGGGGATCTTAGAATGCGAAGTAGACTATGGGATCGTGCTGAAATTTTGACTGTATTGAACAATACGAAGGTATTTATCTCTATATTTGTATTATTTGTATTTGACTTGCATTCTCATGATTTTCTAGTCTGTAATGGGATAACAGGGAACAGCATCCATCCAAGGAATCGTGTTGGACTTCAGAAAGAAGCTCGCGAGGGATCCGAGTGCAGAGTACATAGCGTTGAGGAATGTATATGACAATCCGGGCATCAAGTCTTGTTTTAAATACCTGAAGAGTAAAATGTTGGGATTTCCAGAAGAGGAAAAGCCAAAAAGTTCTGAAATCACCATTCCCGTTGATCCTTTTGTGCGAATGACGAAGCTGAGACTTCTTCAGATTAATCATGTGGAGCTGGAAGGAAGTCTTAGTCTTCTTCCATCTGAACTCAAGTGGTTACAGTGGAGAGGCTGCCCATTAAAAGATGTTCCACCTGTTTTTCTTGCTGGGCAAATTGCTGTTCTTGATCTTTCAGAGAGTGCAATAAGACGAGTCCAGAGTTTGCACATCAAAGGGGTAAGTTTTCTTATCTCCTCCCTAACACTGGTAAGTATATAGTATTTGAGTCAAAGTCTCACTGCTTAATATTGTTCTTTCTGCCTTTCAGGTCGATGGGAAGTTGAAAGTTGTAAATTTGCGTGGTTGCCATAGCTTAGAAGCCATTCCTGATTTATCAAACCATAAATCCCTAGAGAAGCTTATCCTCCAGCGATGCATGCTTCTGGTGAACGTTCCTAGATCAGTTGGTAATTTGAAAACACTGCTTCACTTGGATTTCAGAGACTGTTCAGAGCTTACTGAATTTCTTGTGGATGTTTCTGGACTGAAGAGTCTCGAGAAACTTTTCCTCTCTGGCTGTACAAATCTGAGCGTGTTACCAGAAAACATTGGTGCCATGCCATGTTTGAAAGAGCTTCTTCTTGATGGAACTGCGATAAAGAACTTGCCGGAATCTGTTTACCGCCTCCAGAAACTCGAAAAGCTTAGTCTAAAGGGTTGTAAATCTATTCAAGAGCTACCTTCCTGCGTAGGTATGTTGACATCACTAGAAGAGCTAGATCTTACTAGTACTGCATTGCAAAATCTTCCGAGTTCTATCGGAAGTCTGATAAATCTCCAGAAGCTGCATTTGATGCATTGCACATCCCTTTCTAAGATTCCTGACACTATCAATAAGCTCAAGTCATTGAAGGAGTTGTTAATCTATGGAAGTGCGGTGGAGGAGCTACCTCTAAGCCTTGGCTCACTGCCAGGTTTGATTGATTTTTCAGCAGGAAGATGCAAAAATCTGAAACAGGTTCCGGTTTCAATTGGTGGACTAAATTCTCTTCTTGAACTTGAGTTGGATTGGACCCCAATCCAAACTCTACCAGAAGAGATTGGTGGTTTACCCTTTATTCGAAAACTTGTGTTGAGGAACTGCAAATATCTGAAGCATCTACCTGAATCAATCGGAGATATGGACACACTCCATAGCTTATTCCTTGAAGGCTCCAACATCGAGAAGCTGCCGAAAGATTTTGGTAAGCTGGAGAACCTAGTCTTACTCCGAATGAACAACTGCAAAAAGATCAAGAGGCTTCCTGAATCATTTGGAGACTTGAAATCACTTCACCAACTGTTCATGAAGGAAACTTCGGTGGTAGAGCTGCCAGAAAGTTTTGGAAACCTCTCAAATCTAAGGGTATTGCTAATGCTGAAGAAGCCTCTCTTTAGAAGTTTTGTGAGTGAAGAACCTAGTTTTGTAGAAGTGCCCGAGTCTTTCTCAAACCTCTTGAAGCTTGAAGAACTAGATGCTCGTAGCTGGGGAATATGTGGTAAAATCCCAGATGCTTTTGAGAAGCTTTCCTCTCTGAGATTACTGAATCTGGGTAACAATTATTTTCATGGCCTTCCTGCTAGCCTCAAGGGGTTAACTAATCTCAGAGAACTTTTATTGTATGACTGCCAAGAGCTCACGTGTCTTCCCCCTCTTCCATGTAAACTGGAGAAGCTAGACTTGGCAAACTGCTTTTCGTTGGAGAGTATATCAGATCTTTCAGAGCTGGAGATCTTGAATGAGCTCAATCTCACAAACTGTAAGAAAGTTGATGATATTCCAGGGCTTGAGCACTTGAAGGCTCTGAAACGACTGTACATGAGCGGCTGTAACTCTGACTGTTCCACTGAAGTAAAGAAAAGACTGTCCAAGGTGAGTCCACAAACTCCACTGAATCTAACTCTAAGGGTCTGGTAAAAAAGACTTGCTTACAATCTTTTAAATTTGTCATCTCAGGCTTCTTTGAAAATGATGGAGAATCTGAGCTTACCTGGAAACAGAATACCGGAATGGTTCTCACAAGGCCCTGTCACTTACTCAGCTCAGCCGAACAGAGAGCTCAGAGGCATAATCCTTGCGGTTGTTGTTGCTCTTCACCATGATGAGCAGCTGGTACCTGATGTGGTTGGGGTTAAAGTCCAAATCCTCAAGCTTGATTATGCCATAGTCAACCAAACATTGCCCCTCTCTGGAGTGCCAAGAACGAGTGATGACCAGCTCCACATCTGCCGATACTCGCATCATCACCCAATGGTTCCAATGTTGAAAGACGGGTACACCATACAGGTGGTCAAACAAGAACTGGCAATCAAACAAGACTCTGAGCTAAAGATTCATGGGATCCATCTGGTTTACGAGGGGGATGATGATGTACAAGGAAATGAAGATTCATTGAACGAGACGCAGCAAACAGTTTCTCAGAGACTTGCCAATTTCTTCCGCTCTTTCGAAGAAAGTGAAGCCAGCTCAGAAGGTGACTTAACTGTTACATGATCTGCTACCACGGACAAGTTAAGAAACAAACTGTTGTTACTAAAAAACAAAGAGATCCACACACAAAAAAAGGTGTTTCTTTGTTATGTATTTTCTTTTTGTTCTCTGTTCTCAAGACTACAAACCGCTCTTTCTTTCTGTATAATACATAAGAGTTGCAATATTCTAGAATAATAAACCAATGAAACTGAGGGCCGGTAGTAGTTGATTAAAGCTTGCTTGCTTATTGAGTTAACAAGAAGTCAATGCTGTTCTGACTTTATGTTTAACCATTAAACTCCGTGACGTTTAGGGCTTGGAGAGGAGCCATGTTCGTTGTTTAGGATATGTCCGTCAAGAGTATTACTGAAAGTCTAAAACCCTCTCTCAGCTCTAATACATTTTCAAAACACTCTGATTCTAGTGTCTTGGAAAAGGAGACACTGCCTCTATTAAAGCCAGATTTCCTTCAATAACGACAAATTCCGTTGGTTACTTAACTTAATTAGGCTTTGTTCAAAAAAAAAAAAAAAAGCTTAACTTAAATTAGGCTATGGCCTATTATACGAGTCAAGGAATTTGACACTGCGTGTCGTTTCTGTTTGAGTGTGGGACATGGAACTGTGTGACGTTCCAGTGTTATTCCGTACTCTGAGAAAGTCAATGGCGTGGATTGTCTTACATGAGAAAGAAATAGAAAGTGGCAATTTATTTTGAGTAAACTACAAATAAAATACAAAACCAAAGTAGTAACTAGTTGTTTAAAAAGGATTCCCAAAATCGAAGGCTTCGTCTTCATCGTGTACGATCGTTGTCGTCGACCGGATCATTGGAACTTCTCTAGTAAGCCGAGGCCTCTCCGGCGGCTGTCACGGCGAGTTTCTGAACCTGAAAACGTGTTTGAGAATTGACTTCAGAAGAAGAAGAGGAAGATCGGAGAGATGGAGACTGACGTTGTTTCCAAGCCACACAGGCTCAAATACGACGTGTTCCTTAGTTTCCGAGGAGAAGACACGCGCACAAACATCACAAACCGTCTCTACGAGGCACTCAACAACAAGGAAATGGTACGAGTGTTCCGTGACAACGAAGGAATGAAACGAGGGGAAGAGATCAATCCAAGTCTCAAGGAAGGCATGGCCGACTCGGCAGCCTCCGTCGTCGTCTTGTCCGCTAGATACGCCGACTCCCACTGGTGTTTAGACGAGCTAGCTACGCTCTGCGACCTGCGAGCATCTCTGAAACGCCCGATGATCCCAATCTTCTACGAGGTCGATCCCTCACATGTCCGCAAACAGAGCCATCTTATAAAGACGCATTTTGAAATGCTCGAGGAAAGGTTTGAAGACGAGAAGATACAGCGATGGAAGAGAGCTTTGACTTTAGTCGGAAACCTCGCTGGATTTGTTTGCAAGTAGGACGACACCATTTCATCATCTCTAACATATTTAATCATACAGCTTCTGAATTTGACTGCTTTTTTGTTTGAAACTTGGGCAGCAAGGAATCGGCTAATGATGAGATGATAGGGCTTGTGGTGAAAAGGGTTTTATCTGAGCTGAGCAATACACCAGAGAGAGTTGGAGAATACACGGTTGGTTTGGAGTCACGTGTTGATGATTTGGTGAAACTGTTTGACTTTGAGTCATCCACTTCAGGTGTTCGAGTTCTTGGACTTTATGGTATGGGTGGTATTGGGAAGACGACGCTTGCAAAAGCCTTTTACAACAAGATTGTTGGAAATTTCAAGCAACGAGTATTTATCTCAAACGTTAGAGAAAGCTCATCATCAGATGGCTTAGTCAATCTTCAAAAGACTTTTCTCAAGGATCTTTTTCGTTTGGTACCTGAAATAGAAGATGTTGAGAGAGGGAGAGAGAAGATAAAAGCAAATGTTCATGAGAAGAAGGTTCTTGTGGTTTTAGATGATGTTGATAACGTAGACCAGTTTGATGCGCTAGTTGGTGAAAGAAGCTGGTATGGTGATGGAAGTCTCATAGTCATCACTACCAGAGATGAAGAAATTCTGAGTAAGCTCTCAGTGAACCAAAAGTATGAGGTCCAGTGCTTGACTGAGGAGCAAGCCTTGAAGCTGTTTAGTTATCATTCGCTACGGAAAGAAAAACCAACAGAGAGTCTAATGGAGTTATCCAATAAGATTGTCGAGGTGTCAGGACACTTGCCACTGGCAATTGAAGTGTTTGGATCTCTTTTTTACGACAAGAAGGAGAAAAAAGAATGGCAAACTCAACTGGAGAAGCTGAAGAACACCCAATCAAGCAAACTTCAAGATGTTCTTGCTCTGAGTTTTGAATCTTTAGACGACGAAGAGAAGAAAGTGTTCCTCGACATTGCGTGTCTCTTTGTTAAAATGGAGATAACGAAAGAAGAAGTTGTAGACGTACTGAAAGGATGTGGGTTTAACGCTGAGGCTGCTCTCAGTGTGCTCATACAGAAGTCTCTTGTCAAGATCTTGGAAGACGATAAGCTTTGGATGCATGATCAGATTAGAGACATGGGTAGGCAGATGGTCCTTAAAGAAAGCCCTGAGGATCCTGGAATGCGAAGTAGACTCAGTGATCGTGGTGAAATTATGACCGTGTTGAACAATATGAAGGTAACTTTATCCACAAGTAACTTGACTTATTACATTCTCATGATCATGATCTTGATGACAGGGAACAACGTCCATCCGAGGAATCGTGTGTGACTTCAAAAAGAAGTTGAAGAGGGACCCAACTGCAGATGAAATTGCATCTATGAATCTACACAACAGTCCGAGCATCTACTCTGCGTTTAACTACGTGAAGAACAAATTTGCAAGATTTCCAGCAGAGGAAAAGACAAAAACTTCTGAAATCTCCATTCCCATAAAGCCTTTTGTAGCAATGAAAAACTTGAGGCTTCTACAGATTAATAACGTGGAACTGGAAGGAGATATTAAACTTCTTCCATCTGAGCTCAGATGGATACAGTGGAAAGGTTGCCCATTGGAAACTCTTCCTCCGGAGTTTCTTGCTAGGCAAGTTTCTGTTCTTGATCTTTCAGAGAGTGGAATAAGACGAGTCCAGAGTTTGCGCAACAACAATAGGGTAAGCTTTATTCTTATCTCCTCTAACATGGGGACTTAGTGTATGTAGTCAGTGCCGGTGTAACGAAGAATCTAATGCCTTTCACAAAAAAAATTCCAAAATCACAAAAACAGTAAAAATATATAAAAAAAAAACTTTAAAACTTCATAAAATAAACAAGTTCTAAATAAACAATTCCCAATTAGTAAATAGTTTGCGAAAAATCATTCATTAAACTCACATAATGATACATGTACTAAAGATATTTGTTAACAAATGCCCTATAAATATTAATATCACAAAAAAGGTTTTAAGACTTTGTACATGATATATAAACCCCTTTAAAAAATTAACAAAAATATGTTCTTGTTAAAACTTTGTAAATAATACCTTTAAGAAAAATTTAAGTAACTAAAATATGCCCTTGTTAAAACTTTGTAAATGATGTTTATACACCACTTAAAATTTTTTTTTATCAAAAATATGTCTCTAATAATTGGATACCCTACTCAGCCGCTTACCCTGCATGTGCTCAGGGCCGGCCCTGTATGTAGTTTTGAGTTATAAAGTCTCACTGCTAAATCCATCTTTCAGGTGGATGAGAATTTGAAGGTTGTAAACTTGCGTGGTTGCTACAGCTTAGAAGCCATTCCTGATTTATCAAACCATAAAGCGCTAGAGAAGCTTATCCTCCAGAGATGCGTGCTTCTGGTGAAGGTTCCAAGCTCAGTTGGCAATCTGAGAACATTGCTTCACTTGGATTTCAGAGACTGTTCAAATCTTGCTGAGTTTCTTGTGGATGTTTCCGGAATTCAGCGTCTTGAAAAGCTTTTCCTCTCAGGCTGCTCAGTACTGAGTGTGTTACCAGAAAACATTGGTGCCATGGCATGCTTGAAAGAGCTTCTTCTTGATGGAACGGCGATAAAGAACTTGCCACAATCTGTTTTCCGCCTCCAGAAACTCAAAAGGCTTAGTTTAAGAGGTTGCAGATATTTTCAAGAGCTACCTTTGTGCATAGGAATGTTGATATCACTGGAGAAGCTATATCTTGATGAAACTGCATTGCAAGATCTTCCGGACTCCATTGGAGATCTTAAAAATCTCCAGAAGCTTCATTTGATGCGATGCACATCCCTTTCAAAGATTCCTGACTCCATCAATAACCTCACATCACTGAAGAAACTGTTCATCAACGGAAGCGGTGTCAAGGAGCTAGCTCTGAAACCAGGCTCTCTGCAATGTTTGACTGATTTTTCAGCAGGAGGATGCAAACTTCTTGAACAGTTTCCTTGTCCAGTTGGTGGATTAAATGCTCTTCTCCATTTACAGTTGGATAGGACTCCAATCAAAACTCTACCGAAAGAGATTGGTGGCTTGCACTTTATCCGCAAACTTGAGTTGAGGAACTGTGAATCTCTCAAGACCCTGCCTGGATCAATCGGAGATATGGACACACTCCGTAGCTTACACCTTGATGGCTCTAACATTGAGGAACTGCCGGAAGAGTTTGGAAAGCTTGAAAACCTAGGCTTACTCGGAATGAACAAATGTAAAGAGCTCAAGAAGCTTCCTGAATCATTTGGAGACTTGAAATCTCTTCATTATTTGTACATGGAGGAAACTTTGGTTGCAGAGCTGCCAGAAAGTTTCGGAAACCTCTCAAATTTAAGGGTGCTGAAAATGATGAAGAGGCCTCTTTTTAGAAGAGAGAGTGATGCTATAGGTACAAGCAAAGAACCTCGTTTTGTAGTGCCAAACTCTTTCTCAAACCTCTTGTTGCTTGAGGAACTGGATGCTCGTAGCTGGGGTATATCTGGTAAAGTCCCAGATAGTCTTGAGAAGCTCTCGTCTCTGAAGATACTAAAACTGGGGAATAATTATTTTCACTGTCTTCCGTCTAGCCTCAAGGGGTTAACCAAACTTAAAGAGCTTTCATTGTATGACTGCCAAGAGCTCACGTCTCTTCCCCCTCTTCCATGTAAACTAGAGCAGTTAAGCCTGGCAAACTGCTATTCACTGGAGAGTATATCAGATCTTTCAAACCTGGAGATCTTGCATGAGCTCAATCTCACAAACTGTGACAAGGTGGATGATATTAAAGGGCTTGAGCACTTGAAGGCTCTGAAACGATTATACATGAGCGGCTGTAACTTAGACTTCTCCGTCGCAGTGAAGAAAAGACTTTCCAAGGTGACTCTCCAAACTCCTAAGAATCTCAAATATTAATCTTCAGGGTTTGTTAACAATGAGTTGTTGCAGGCTTCTTTGAAAATGATGCGGAATCTGAGCTTACCTGGGAACAGAGTCCCGGACTGGTTCTCACAAGGCCCTGTCACATTCTCAGAGCAACCCAACAGAGAGCTCAGAGGCGTAATCCTTGCTGTTGTTGTGGCTCTTAAACATGATGACCAGAAGCTGCCTACTGTGGTTGGGATTAAAGCCAAAATCTCCAAACTTGATTTTGTTGTCCTCAACCACACATTGAACCTCTCTGGAGTGCCAAGAACAAGTAACGATCAGCTTCACATCTGCAGATACTCGCATCATCACCCAATGGTTATGATGTTGAAAGATGGGTACACTGTACAGGTGGTCAAACAAGAACCGGGAATGCATATCAAACAAGACGCTGAGCTAAAGATGCATGGGATTCATCTGGTTTACGAAGGGGATGATGATGTACAAGGCAATGAAGATAAACTAAACGAGACACATCAAACAGTTTCTCAGAGACTTGCCAATTTCTTCCGCTCTTTCGAACAAGGTGAAGCCAGCTCAGTAGGTGACTCTACTGTTACATGATCTGCAACCACAGACAAGTTAAGAAACTGTACACACACACAATCTGTTTTGTGAACTTTTTTCGTTTTGTTCGCTGTTCTCAAGCTTATTTACTTCTTTAAGTTCACTCTTTCTATGATGTTTTGTTGTTTCTCTACCTTTGATTTTATCTAAAAAGAACCAAAAAAAAAAACAAAAAGAGGAGACTCTTGTTTCCCATGATTCCTCGAACATTCTGTTTGATCTGCCAGTTAGAATTTTTACTCTTTTCCAAAAAATCACATTCACAGCTAGTCACAGTAACAAAGTAAAGAGACCAGAAGATTATCACCATCAAGGAAATGGTGACAAGACGATGTCATTATTATTCAAAGATAGTAGTAAGTGGGGTCGAAGCTCATGTGTCAATGTTCAGCGCAGACGCAGACTTCTCTAGATCTGCCACCAACACAACGTTTCTTTCAACTCTACTGTCTTATTCCAACACCAAACCCCACAAATCTCATGCTTCCCATATCCAAAAGGATATCATCACAACACAACAAGCTATTCTTTGACCCTTTTGACCCTTAAAAGATGAAATCAACAGTCAAAATTAAACAGCTTCTACAATACAGTTATGAAACAAGAACATAAATCTTCTCATTTCATTCATACATTCCAAAGAGTACATTGATGACCCAAACGAATGTACAGAATTATACACTAAGCAGGAGACATAAGACAAACAAGAACATTGAACACGGTTAACACAGTGGAGGAAGAAGGAACAAAGAATGAGAAATAAAGTTAAAAAGGCTTTTGATACATACTTGACTTAGCGCTTACGCTGCCAAAAAACAAACACTATATCTTCTGGTAAAAAAGTTAAAACTCAATCAATCAAGCTTCTTGTTTGTTGTACACCAGTGGAAACTCATCATAATGCTCAGATACACCATGCTTATCCGCCATCTTCTTCAACGACTCATACACCTGAACCATCGTCGGCCTCTCCTTAGGCCTCGACACAACACAGCTACACGCAACTTTCAAGAACTGCAAAATCTCCTCATCATCTCCTTTACCACATATACTCCTATCAATAGCGTCTTTGCTTCTCCCAGTCCCCAAATACTGACTCACCCAATCCACCAAACTCCCTTTAAACCCTTCCACGCCGTTGATCACAGACAACGGCTTCTGCCCTGTGACCAGCTCAAGCATCACAATCCCAAACCCATACACGTCTCCTTTCAAAGACGCAACCATCGTGCTCGAATACTCCGGCGCCACGTACCCCAACTCCCCCAAATCCCCATTGTTAAACGAGCTATCGTTCGAGTCCCGAGACCCAACCAGCTTCGCCAAACCGTAATCCGTGATCCTCGCATCGAAATCATCGTCAAGAAGTATCACATTGGAGCTAACAAACTGATGCAGATACGGCGGTTGGCATCCATGGTGCAGCCAAGCTAATCCTCTCGCAGCTCCAACACCGATCATAAGCCGAGTCGGCCAAGTCAAAACCTCATCACACAAACCACCGTTGTGCAACTGAGAGAACAATGTACCATTAGGCATGTGCTTATACACAAGCAATCTCTCATCCTCCACAACGCAAAACCCTAAAAGTGGCACCAGATTCGGATGCCTAAGCTCTCCTAACTTATTCATCTCCGACCTAAACTGTTTCTCGCCGAATCCACAAGCGCTAAGCCTCTTCACCGCGAGCGCAGAGCCGTCAGGCAAATCGGCTTTATACGAGACGCCGGTTCTTGAAGAAACATCGATGTTCCCGGAGCTGAAACTGTTCGTGGCTGCGATTAGATCGCTCAATTTGATTTTCACGATTGGTTTCTGGAACAGAGTCACCTGAACAAGCTTGTGTGACCTCAACAAACCAATCCAATCACTATCGTCTTTGGATTTTCCGGCGCCGTAGCCTCTCTTCTTCCTGCTTCCTTCTCTGATGAAGAACCACCAGAAAATCGCTAATCCCACACACAACGATCCAACGGCGCCGATAACTCCGGCGACTATGATGATCGTTAGATTCTTCCCGTTCAAAGCTCCGCACCCGGATAACGGCTTCCCGCAGAGTCCGTTGTTGCCGCTGAAATCGTCTTCCCCGAATCGAGAAAGCTCGGAGGGGATCGTACCGGAGAGATCGTTGCCGGCGAGGGAAAGACGCCTGAGCCGATCTAACCGGCTCAATTGAAGAGGGATCGGTCCCGAGAGCTTGTTGTCGCTGAGAACGAGAGCGTTTAGGAACTTACACTCGGCGATCTGAGTCGGGATCGAGCCGGAGAGTTTGTTACCAGACAGATCTAATTCGACGAGATATGGGAGCCACGAGCAGATTTGGGGAGGAATCGTACCGGAGAGGTCGTTTCCGGAGAGATCCAGCGACTGTAAACTGTGACAGAGCTTGAGCGACTCGGGAATCTGACCGGCGAGCTGCATCGATTGGAGCTGGAGAGAGATAATGCGATTCTCTTTCTCGTTCCAACAGGAAACGCCGGTGAGCTTGCAAATCGACGAAGCTGAAGAGTTTGGGAATGACCAGGAAGCGAGTCGAGACGAAGGGTCGGTGAGTGAGTTCTTGAGCCCTTGGAGACAGAGAACGTCGTCTTCAGCAGAAGAAGAAGAACAGAGAAAGGAGGTGATGAAGAGAAGGCATAAGAGTGTAATGAAGATCTTCTTCATGGTATAAGCTGGATCTATGTATGTATCCTCTTAGGGTTTTGTTTCCCTCAGAGAGAGTCGGAGAGGAAGATTAGAAGAGCTCTTCTATGGCGGAAAGAGCGGTCATTGACTGTGTGATACTGAAGAAAAAGGAGAACTTTTTTCTTCTCTTTTGACCATTTGTTTTGTAATTTTTTAGAAATTGTTTTTTCTTAAATCTACTAAACGACGCCGTGAAAAAGGGCAAGTCTAAGAGAAGATTCAAGTCAGTTTTAGTCCTCTCAAGTCTTAACGTTACAATCTTCGAAAAGGAAAGCCTATTTATAAAGGTATATGCAAAATTGCAAACTACAATAATGTTTATGTAGGGAATTTATAAACGCTTCTTGTATTGATAGATAAGTTTGCCTAAAGTCAGCCATGTAAATGTATAGTACAAACATATTAATTGATCTAATTAATACTAACATGACTCATTTTTGGGAAAGACATATAGCCTGGATCATAAATCACAAGAATTTGGAACTTGTTATAAAGAAACGGACAAAATTATTAAAAACAGACATCACTCTTGAACTAAACATATCTAGATCCTACACGTTAGCTTATGGGTCTTTACTGCCACATACTTACATAGTTACATTTCAGCCCAAAAGAGTTGAGCGTTTCTTCAAAGTAAAGAAGAGTAGCCTTGCTCTTATGACCGACGAAAATCCAGAAGAACAATTGTGATTTTGGAACTAATTACCAAAACCTCCAATCAAAACAAAACAGAGCAATGAAATTAAAAATAAGTGAGTAGCAAATCTTCACTTGATACACTTACCACGCTCAAACAGCATGAATCAATAGTAGAGAAAACTAATCCACAAATCTCTTAAGCATATCACTTTGTTAATAAGCGAACGAACTCATCGCTCCAGAGACTATACCTATCCACACGCATATCAGAATGACAAAAGCGTAGTCTAACACACGTTATTTATACTGTAACTCTGTAAGTGAATTAGATTCATCAAACGTGTGGAATAATTAAGAAAGATAGTTTTTAGGTTATATAAGGACACTTGTGTAATTTAACTACAATGGTATGGAATCGTAATAAGATAATTTCACTAATGACAATTTGGGGCTGATTGGAAGGTGCTGTAGAGGCTGTAGACAGCCATTTTTTGTTTCTAAAGCCGAAATGCTAACCAATCAGTCTGTAGCTTTAAAAAATGAAGTCACAGCCAATTTTTTAAAAATGGAAAGATATTGGCTGTGGACATCAATTTTTCTACAGCTTTGTTTTTACGGCTTTGGAAAACTCTAAAGATGATTCATACTTTAATTCTCTCTCATCTTTCCTTTTTCTTACATTTTTCACGTTTCATACCTTTTTTTCTCTATTAGTATCTTTTTTTCTTGCTACATCCATTTATCCTACGTGTTATTATACATCTATTAAAGTAAATAATATAGGATAAGTATAACATTTTACACATATATTGTATACGTAATACACATATAATATTTAAAATTTTCACATGCCCAATGTATATGTACTGCACGTACGTTTCATAATAGATATGTATACAAATATTATAGTCATTTATATCCAAGGATAAAAATATTATAGTTATTGTCAAATACGTTGATTCAGTATATTATAATTTTTAATAATAATATTCAACATATAAAAATATACTATTACTAATATTTAAACCACATGATTTATATATTTATTGTTTATTTTAGATATTTATTATTTTATTTAAATTAGATGATTTTTGGTATGTTAAGTGAAAATATTTGTGCAAATGATTTTTTTTAGTAATAATAATATTCTCTTAGCCCGCAGTAAAATTTTAAAACTATAACATTATATATATATATATATGATATTTTACAAATCATGCTTTCCTTTTGAAAAAGTTAAAGTCAAAATTCTACAGCTAAAATCTCACAGACAAAAAAACTATAGCTAATATTCTACAGCAAAAAATCAAAAGTTATAGCCACAAGGCCCACAACCAATCATGCCATTAGACTTTTTAATTATGAGAGTGAATACGAGAGCTCTATTCTCAAAAATCACTTTGCAAATAACTTTTGATCCTTGTTTGGTTTGATGACATTCTTGGCTATTTTTGGTTGGGAAGAAGATTTTAGGAATTAAAGGAATTTTTTAGGTTGAAGGAATCATGCGAGCAAACTCGTTAATCATTGATGCAACAACATTACGGTCAAACGGTGCTAACCCTTATTGCAGTGTTCAACTCATAAGCATACCAATTTGATAATTAGTGGCTAATCTCTTACTGCTCTCAATCAATTTTAAAGGAAAACTAGAGCTAACAAAACATTTATTTTATCTTTTTCCACACTCGATATTGATTTATAGGTTTGTTTTCAAGAATTCCCAATTATCTTTTGAGTTTTAGCTCTGTGCAGCAATTTTCTTTGGGTGGCAAAATGGAATAAGGGCTTCAAATGTTGGTTATTGTCACACTTACAATACCTTAACTTCTTTACAGTTTGTTTTTTGCTACTCTAGGTATTAGTTGAGACTTCTGAACATTTCAGTGCTTCTTGCAAAGACTTTTTTTGTCGTACATTCAGGTTTCAAACCCATTACTTGATGTTGGATCGGGATCAGGATCATGTGTGGACAATTTGAGAGACCATGTAGAAAGTTTTTCCTTACAACGTTGGTTGGAGAGCTAGTCACCAAGATACATACGGACATTACTACTTTCCTACTTTTCTTCACGTGGAACTTCTTCGTGCTTTACGGTTTGGTCTGCAACACGATATCAGTTCTGAAATGTGGTATTTCTGATTATTTTTGTTGTTTGTATTTTCTGCGGTTCTATTTAGCGCATCATTTTTGTAGCTGTAGCTTTATTTTATTCGGATATGGTAATAGCGCAAGCTTAGTGTTGATAGAAATTTGGTCTCGTGGTGGTTATAGTGTAAATGTTTTCTTTGTTTGATGCAAATAGCAGGTGACGCGCAATAATGTTTGATGATGTTTGAATCTAGGTGGCCAATATACGAAACTTAAGATTGCAATAAACGTACAACTATTGTCACATGAAAATGATAAGTATTAAGTTAAAACAGTTAATATATAAAATTAAAACCCAGCTGGGACATGTTATTTTTTTGCTACAAATCATGTGTCTAAAATTATCGAGTCAATTAACACAAGAAATCCCTCATGAAGGGATGGACTTAACCTTAAAATTCAATATAAGTTTGAAAATGATTTTTTTTTTCAATTAAATATATTAATGCATGCACAAGAGATCACCTAGAAACATGTTCCTTTTAACAAAGTTGCAGTGGTTCTAAAGTACTACCAAGCGTGAGCTTACTAATGTCCCTACTTCATGATTATTGTGAATGGTTTTAGATCCTCGTACATTTCAAGAAAATCACAAAATTCTTCAATAAAGGATTGCATTAAATTTCCCCAAATATTTACAATAATTTATTTAAATAGCAATATGAGTTAATAAGTAACAAAGACAAAGAAATCAAACTAAGCATATAAATATTAAATTTTATCGTTAGATTTGCTCAAGGCACATTTGAGTTTCAAAAAAAAAAAAAGTTGCTTAAGCCCCACAATACTGTGTTAAGAACTAGTGATAGGTTAGTCACCAAAAAAAAAAGAACTAGTGATAGGCTAGATTAAAGCAAACAAAATGTGACATAATATTATGTAATTCAACTTACATCACAGCCAAATGTGTAATCCTATATTCCAAATCCAAGTTTTGCTTCTTTAAGAAATTTGGAATTGGAAGATAGGATTTGATGGTTTTTCTTGAACCACTTGTGTGTCTTGTGAGCTCCACTTGTTGCTCCAAAGAAACTAAAGACATGTAATAATACAAAAACTGAATCATGTTATATACCAAAATAATCAAAATATGCTTTTTATACGCACTACAAGAAAAACTGTAGATAGCTACAAACGAGACACATAATAAGTCGTGGCTAACACGAAATAGCCACAACGTATGTCAATTTTAAATTTTGTGGAAAATTGTAACTATTCGTGGCTAAATAGATATGAAACCAATTTCGTGACTATTTGTGTCTTTATTTCAACGGATAGCTACAACATACTAGCTGTTCGAAAAAATAAAAAGCTACCACATACTATTGTGGCTGACTATAGCCACGACTAGACACGAATTCGTCTATGGCACATTTAAAATATGATATCCCAAATTCCAAACCCTAAAATGCTAACTTAAATATCCTTAACTCAAACTCTCAACCACTGAGAAGAAGCCATCTTTATTTTCTGCATTTTGTAAGCCATAAATCATAAACGGATTTTAGTCTCATCAATGGTTGAAAACTTGATATTCTTAAAACATAAACATTAGATCCTAATATCAAGGTTTAGATTCAACAGTTTAGTTTTATCCTCAACCATTGATGAAACTAAAATCCAGCGGACAAACATTTTTTCCTTCTTTTCTTTTTTTTATCTTTCTTCCTCTTCTCTTTGACGGTAAATGATAAATCCCATGAGAGATACGACATTATCGAATCAACTAACGTAGCTGTAATGCGACTTGTTTTCATTTTCTGCCTTTTCTCTTATGAAGTTTGGTTTTTTTCCATGGCTAATGTAGCTCTCATTTGTGCAGTTGGAGAAGAGTCGGGTTCGTCAATTGGAGAACCACTATTCGGATACTAATGGTAATCACTACTTAGTATATGTAAGATCTACATTTAATAGTACTTTAACTTTATGCTTGAAGTAGTCCTTTGCTAGAACTGATATTAGTCATTTTCTGTGTCTCAATTTGTTAATCCAATCTCATATGTATGAACACTAAGCCAGCATTTGTGATTTACAGATCGACCTTACTTTAGAACGCCTTTATAAACACGCTTTGGTTATGAAACAGATATGCAAATTGTTCCCTCTATCGAGGGTAAGGAGATTGTCTTACAAAAAGTTACAAACTGACTCTAAAATACTAATGTCCACTAAAACTATTTGGGCCTAATCATATGGACCGAGCTCAAATACTAAACCGTTAAGATATCAATAAAATATATTTTCGCGAAAAGGTTAAATGTTGGTGGATAGGCATGCATTTTTTCCCTTGTCTGCGATTGCGAGTGAGAGAGTCGATCAAATGTCTCTCTGTGATTTTCGCTTAGCTAATCTGCAACATACTCTCTCTACAGTGAAATCAATATGTGTTTTCGAAACATTCGCTGTAGTTTTTCATTTTTTGGTCTTGCTGAATTCCGATTGTCTCCGATTTGCTGTACCATATTTGGTTAGTTGGAAATTTTATGAGCATTTTTGTCTGTTTCCATAGTTTATGGGGTAGATTCTCTGTGTTTGTTCGGCTATTAGCTACAAATCTTGTTGCGGCTATGTCATGGAAACTTAGCTACAGAAAGCAACAAAATTATAATAGATACAGAAAGATATGGATTTCAATTGTGTTTAGTTGTGGCTAATGGCACAATAGCCACATAAATATGGACCATACCCACAATTGAATTTGTAGCTATATATATTTTTTCTTGTAGTAACATTTCCTATGGTAGAATATGAAATGAGGCATTGGATGATTAGCCATGGCTAAAAAATCTTGTGTAGTCACTTTTTAGCCCAACAGAAAGACGATATAACACATTGAACATTCTATATCGTGAGAGAGAATGTTACACATCAAATTTTGTGAACAATTTGTCCATATATATGAATTGAAAACTTTATAAACTAATCATAATGGTATGCTACAAAAACAAACATGGTATGTAAGCGCATACACCATGATTATTGAGAATACCAATAAATAATCTTATTATTCAACTATTTTATTTCCTATTATTTTAAAGGTTTGGGTTGATTGATAAACTCTAATTGATTTGAAATAAATTAAGTATAAACTGAGTCATATTTATCAAATGCATTTTAATAGCTATAACTTTTTGAATTTCATTTGTAGCTATAAACACTAACTTTAATTGATTTGAAATATTAGACTATGTATAACTTCTTATGAAATTTCATAGACGCACGAGACTGTGAGTAATCTACTCATCAGACTCAGAAGAAGTAGAGCGAAGATTACATCGTCAGAGCAGCAGGGATTAGTGTAAGAAGGTACTATGAAACGACCAACGTCTCTGCGAATGCTCCATCAAGAAGAACATATTGGTTTATTTGGTTGTTGGTCCTAATATTTGGCCCGCAGTTGAATCTGTGTTGGAAATAGTAGGCAGAGTCTGCAAACGGCGTATTGGTGTCCAAGGTCATGTTGAAATCGGTGAGAAGCCGGATCTGTTCTTTAGCGCAATCCCATGGAACGATGATGACAACAAGGCAGGTTTCATTGGACGTTATGATGCGTAGCGCAATCTCGCTTCTTATTATCAAATGCATCAAGAGAACCAAAACTTTACGAAGTCAATGCTCCTTTAATTTCTTGACCCTTGCTTCAATATTACAACTTTGAAAATATCAAAATAAAACCAGTAGAAAACAATTTATGACTTAAAATCAAATATTCGAAAAATTTACAAACATACACTGGATTAATATGGTCTAACTAAAGAGGTACATACTGTATTTCTAAGCTGATTTGTTCTCACTCGATGAGAACGTAACCATTGGGATCATGAACTAGAAGTCTAGACCTAGCCGTGTGTTCTAAGTTCTGAGGATTTTTTTTGCAGACTTGAGCATGAGACTCAGCTTCTCGTTTCGATAAAAGAACTAAGAAAAAAAACAATGAATTTGCAGTGTCACTAACTGAAATTTACATGTGGTAAAGTAAACTCAGAAACAAAAAAAATTAGAAACCATTTCTCCAATCAACCAACAAAACAATATCAAAAGAAGAAAATACTAATATGTAAATCCTCACCAAATGTACACCTGAAAAAAAATTATCTCAGAAACCAATTAAAAAAGAAGTCATTCTTGTTCTTGTAGTTGCCTCTGCCAAGGCAAATAACCAGCAACTCCATCAGCAAAACTCGACAAAACCAAATCCTTCAAACCAGTATCCCACACTTCACAGAACCTCCTCTTCCAATCCACCGGCTCAACCGCCTCCGTCCCTAGCCCCGGAGCTCGATCTTTCGACCCTTGGTTCTGATTCTCTCGCCAGTCCACAACATAAGTCGCCACTCTCCTATAAAACTTAGCCTTGAACGTCTCCCAAACCTGGTACTTGTAATGGTTCACAACAGCAACACTCTCCACCAAACTCAAATGCCCTACTCCTTCCTTCATCTGAAAATGATGAACCTCGTTAAGCAACGAGCTCGTCACCATCTCCGGTCTTATTATCGACTTATGCCTCTCCGGATTCGCTTGCCTACAAGTGTAACCAACGGTCACGCCTCGTGACGGCACAGTGGTTAAACCGGACGGACCGAAGCTATGACATTCCGTTCTGATCTCTCCAACCATCTCCCAAGAAGTGTAGTTCGAAACAAGAGACCTCAACGCGTTCTTGCTCGGCGAGCCACGAGAGCGGTGCGTAGGGAAGTAGTAGAACTCGTCTACATCGAAGAACCCGACCCAGTTGCATTCCTCTTTCGCTCTCACCGCACAATGCGAGAAACCGGCTTCTTGAGTCTTGATCCACGGCCAGACATGTCTACTCACGTTGTAACCCTCTCCGTTGAGCGATCCGATCTCTTCTTGTAACCCGTCGTCGCTGTTGTTGTCGTAAATGAACCACCTTTCGACGCCGAGCCACGAGTGGTACATGATCCACTCACGCAAGAACGGAGCTTGGTTCCATAGCATTGTGCAAACACAGAGCTCATGCTTATTCCTCCCACTCTTCTTCTTCACGATCGAATCCGAACCGTTGATTCTCGCAACGGAAGGTAAAGCAGGCGTGGATCTTCCTCTGGGATCGATGTGGATCACGCTCACTTTAAAAGTCTCTGCCTTTAGCTTCAAGCTCTCTGGCAACACACACCTCACAACTTCTTGCGCTGCAGCGACAGCTTTAGTCACCAGAACTTCAACATCAGATTTCCCAATTTCGAATTGGCATTTGTAGTAAGAAGGATCCGATTCCTTGTGAGGTCTTCGATTCAATCCTTTGACGAACACAACCACCGTGTCGCCGTCGATCACCGCCTCGTAACCAACTTTCTCCCAATTATGAACCTTGCTCTGTTTCTGCTTCTTCGTCTTCTTCACCAAATCTCCATGGAATTGCAAATCAACAGAGGAAGAAAAGTTTAAAGGAGCGTTGGGGCACCGAGCAATCGATCGAAACTCATCGAATTCGTCGGTAGAAATCGCCGGCAAAGCTAAAGTCTCTTCCTTTACGCCGTGATAAACACAAACTAGGTTTTTCTCACCTTTCCCTATTCGAGTCGAGAGAATCAGGAGCAGGTGGTCGGGGAATTTGACTCTGTCCTCGACTCTCAGCGGAGGGAATCGGCCGTGAAACGAGCGGTGAATCGAATCCATTGAAGATAAGACGGAGAGAGCCGGAACGCGAAGAGAAGGTCTCAGGGAATCGGAACGGACGGAGAGTGTGAAGACTTTGCCGGAGGATAAGAAGAAGAGCAAGACGAAGAAACAGCAGAGGCATACGATTAGATACCTTAGAGACAACAACTGTGTTTTTAGTTGATGTCTGTTCCGAACTTTCCTCTTCTTCCCATTCTCATAATCCATTGTAACACTAAATTTCTTCAGCAAAATCGAAACTTTCTCTTCTGGGTGAGAACAGAACGAGATTGCTTAGTAAACTGATTTGGAGAAGAGATCTGGTTTTTTTGCGACGGCCGACAAAAAGTGCCTTCTTCTTCTTCTTCCTTCTGTTCGAGAATTAAAGAAAGGAATTTTTTTTTTCCATCAACGCAAAGAAAGGAATATATGAATTTAATTTCTTTTCTGAGATAATTTGATTTGTAAAGAAAAAGGAAATAATCTTTTGTGATAAAGAAGGAGAGAAGAAACAAGGAAGACGCGTTTGTGGCCTTGTGGGTGAGTCGCGTTTGGCGTTGTTGTCGTCGTTGTCAATAATCTTGGAAGCCACCGATTAGTACTTAATCATTTCGTCGCTTTTGGGATTATTGAGTAAATTAATTAAATTAAGGAGATTACGTCATTTTTTAATGGCTTAATGATTTTTGTTAAGTTCTTAGTAAATAATTAAGGGATGAAAGATGATACCACTAGTATTGCGACTTGTGTCCAAGATGCTACAATGAGGTGGACCATTTTCCCAATTATAATTTGAGAAAACAAAAAAAAGACCTATGATTCTCTGACAGTTGTGTTGCGTGGTCTTTTAGGTTTTTTTTTTTACTATTAATTGTTTTTCAAGATTCGCCGGAAGAGAGGACCAAACTTGTTGGTACAAAGCATGATTGAGAGATATTAAATAATCAAAGACTACTAGTATATGTGTGTGGCAAAACAATTGGTCGGTGTGGAATAACCAAATAACATCAAAGCGTTGACTGATGACATCAAATATGAAATTAACTAAAGTGTAATGATACGTATGTGATTAGTAAGTTTTAGATCTTTGGTTCATAATCTTTATAAAACGTGAATTTGGTGAAGAACACGTATTGTCACTCACAAGCATGTTCGACGGCTAACTCATTTTAATATTTAAAACTTGGATAAGTAATATTTTTTCTTTCAAATTATTAGTTAAATTACTATGAACGTTAAAAAATCTGTTTTGTTAGATTTGTTATGTCTCTTAATAAAGTTAATAATATCAGCTTCTTACAAGTTCATACTATTACTATATACTATTACAATTTAGGTCTTGATGAATGTGACGCTGAAGGCGATTGCTCTTCATTCATCTCGCGTTGCCGATTTCAAATTAAAGGTTGGTTCATTCAAATCAATCCGTCAGTTTGAAACATCAACATAAAATTTTGCTAAGGGGTATAGTAGTATCTTCTGGATTTTGAGATATTTTTATTGCTTAATTAGTTTGTCGTCTATAACCGACTTCCAGTATGTCATTTCATTTTTAAAATGAAAAATCTATTATTGAGTTTGATACGTGTTTTGTGAGATGAATATTATATTACTATCTGTTATGGATTTTTTATGCAATATATATATATATATATATGAAAAAATTAAGAAGAAAAAATATGGGATGAATTATGATTTCTGAAAACAGCCAAAGGTTACCAAATTTGGAAACGAGGAACGTGGAGATTAGGTAGATGGTTTAGGATAGTGGGAAGTTGCTATGTACATTGCTTGAAACCGCTGGAAACATGTTCCTTAATTTGTTCTCTCCTCTATTTTCTTTTTATATATTTATAAGTTTATAACTAATAATTGATGCAAACGAAAAAAAGAAGAAGATGAAGAATGTGCCTTCCATTACAAATATACATCCATCTTTTTTATTTCCTTTCAGGTTTGGTATTTTTGTTTGGCTCTTCTTTTCTGCATGAGTACAATAAAACCAGCAACATTCTTCTTTTCGTTTTCCATACTTTATTTTCATTGTTTATTTATTTTATTTTTTTCATTTCCTATATCTTAATCATTGCTAGCACACAAACTTCCACCAAATAATGTACATCACTACATCTTATTTTTTTCCGTAATAAGTCAACTGGAAACAAATTAAAAGTATGGAGAGATAGGATCGTATGCAGAGAGTAGTGATCTTAGCCTCTGGACTTGGAACGGATGGATCTGGTAGCTTCGTTCTTTAGGCATAAAGTAAACATCCAAAATCCACCAAGCAGCTTCGGGTGATCTTATAAACCCTAGTAGACATGTAAAACCAAACCTGAGTTATGTTTATTGTGTTGATCAATTAAGGTAGTTAACTTAAGACTAAGAGCAAACCGAACAGAAAGGGGAGAAAACAATTCATACCTTCCATTCTTCCAAGTCTAATCTCAGCCATGAACTTTTCTAAACTTTCATAGTTTTACAGGTTCTTCCTTGAATAATTCCTTGAACAAAGCAATGTACTGCGCAACATAAATAGCAACACCACGCTTCACCAAAGCAATGTAACGTGCAACATCCGGCTCTTTTGGCTTGGGAGTTATACCTTTTGGATAAAAGAGTTTGAAGAAACAAATGGTTGCCATTAAAAAGAGTTTTAGTAAATAGTTGGCGAAAGAAATTATATGTGTTTACGAAACATTTTTTGGCCGTGGATGCGATGTAATGATATGAATATAAAACATCACGTATAACACATATTTGCTGATTGTTGCGAGGGAATAAAAATATGCGGTGTTGGTTGGTTCACCCGTTGCCACCCGCAAACGCAACTTTTTCGGGCAGTAGCGTTTATTGGCGTTTGACAACAATCACAACAAATGCCTTATGTCGCTTAAAACTACTCCAGATCCCTCAAAATTCCTCAAAATCAAAAGCTCATTCCTAGCAGCATTTGCGTTTGCGATGGATAATAAGAAAAAAAAACATAAATTTATTTAAAATCAGAAAATAAATAATAATCTTTATTAAAAAAATAATATTTGGATAATATAATTACAATATAAATGAAAAAATAGTCAATATTCAGTTAAATCATATCATAATTTTATATTTATAAGTTCTACAAATCAAAATTCTCTTAATAGATGTTCTTTCATACTAATACATACTCACTCTGTTTCAAATTAGTTATCGTTTTGGCAAAATGTATCTGCAAATATTTGGATGTATCTGGACGTGTTTTGCATTGCAGATACATCCAAATATTTGCAGATACATTTTGCCAAAACGACAACTAATTTGAAACGGAGGGAGTATATACATAATAAATAAAATTGTAATCTAAATTTAATTTTCACATTAAATATATTTTATGAAAATAAAATCACATATTTATCTAAATTTTAGAAATTAAAAGATAGATATAAGTATAAATTGTATACTACACATATTATTTTTTATAAAAAAAAAATATTTTTAATTATGTTGAACCATAAATTTAAAATTTTCATTATAAAATAGTTTTGATGTTCTTATAATTGTATAATGTGTTGATATTGTTAATTTATTGTTTAATCATTATTGCATCCTAAGTCAATCAGTCATAAGTATTCCGCAAACACATCCATTTTCAATAGTTATGCTAGTCATACAAACCGCTTAACAACATTACTAATCACAACTGCCCGCTTCCGCAAACTCACGCATCTGCAACCGCAACCACATCGATTAAACTAGTCAGTTATTGATTTCTACCAAGTTAATTATTCATATCATGCTTAATTACATGTAAATTATTACTCCCTCTGTCCCATATTATAAGCAGTTGGTCAAAATGTATCTGAAAAAAAGTCGATGTATCTGGACTGAATTCCATCCAGATACATCCACTTTTTTTCAGATTCATTTTGCCCAACTGCTTATAACATGGGACAGAGGGAGTAAAACATAACAAAGAAAAATAAAATCTCATCCATATTATAATGAGCCCAGGGCCGGCTCAAGTTTATTTCAAGCCCCTGGTGAAAAAAAAATTTAGGCCCCTTGATAAATATTTGTTCAATTTTTTATCTATTTTTAATAAAAATTTAGGCCTTTTAATTTCAAACTTCTCAGTAACTCACTAAATACACTATACACATGCGCATTAGGCGTATGCAATCATCTAGTTTTTAATGAAAAAAATAAGTTTATCCTAAAATAAATGGTTATAAGAGAAATAAGTGTATAAATATACTAGATTAGGTCTTACGTATACGCAGGTTTACTTTAATATAATTCAAATAAATCATAGGAAAATACTAAACAAAAATCTGGTCACTTTTAAAAGTAAGTAGAATAATATTCAAAAGATTATTTTGATTATTATAATTATAATATTTAATTATAATTGATTATTCTATTTAAAAGATTTCGATTGATGAAATCTTTTCATAATTTGTTTTACTTACCAAAATATATAAAATTAACCTATTTAGAATTAGAATATCAGTCAATTCGATATATTTTTAATGTTATAATTATTTTGTTAATTTTCTATTTATCATATTCTTTTGTTAAATTTTGTTTTGCTTCGGACCATTATAAATTTTCTTATTCATAATTAGTTAGTTGTTTTAAAATTATTTTGTTAGTTTTTTTTATTTATCTTATTACATTTTTCTAATTTTCTTTTGTTAACACATGTTATCACATGATCATAGAAAAAAATTGCGACAAAATTTTCAATTTCTACCCAACTTATCTAAAGTGAAATATTCTTCATTGATATCTTGAACTTTAAAATACATGATTTTTATTTTGTAATAAAAGAGAAAGTTTAAACAAAAGATAGAATCACATATATAAATCATGAAAGCTATAACTTATTATATATTGTTTTTTGTTTCCTTTTCTAAATGGGAATATGTTTTTTCTTCTTTTCTTAACGGATGTAATATTTTTTCTTTTATTATTTGTTTCATGTTTTTCTGAATATCGATTATTTTTCCTTCGGGAAAATTTCAAAACTACACCTCTTGAGGTGCCAATTTTCAAAAATACACCTATATGATGTCTATTTTCAAAACTACACTTTTTATTGAGTAAAAGAACTCTAAACCCTAAAATATAAATCTAAAACCCTAAAATCTAACATTAAACCCTTAAATCTAAACCCTAAACCCCCAATCTAAACCCTAATCTAGGATTAGTGAACCCAAACATATATATTAAAATGAGGAAAAAAATGTATTTTTGAAAATTTCCACACTATATGTGTAGTTTTGAAAATTTGCACCCCAAAAGGTGTATTTCATAAAATTTCTCTTTTCCTTTTCGTATTGGGAGTATGTTTTTTTTCCTTTTCTTGATGGATATAACATTTTTTTTTAAATTGCTATTTGTTTCCTATTTATCCTTGAATTGTGTTTTCCTATTTCAAAAAAATGTAAAAATTTAATGTTAATCTATTTATAATTATATATATATATATATATTTTTTAATGTTATATGTTAAAATTTCCTTTTTTCTTAATTTTCGATTTTCTATATTTAAATAAAATAAATAAAAATTCTTTTTTTAAAAAACACATGTCACGATCTTAACGGTCTTAACATTAAAAGTGACACATGTCGCGATCATATAATTTATAAAAATCCTACGTGTCGCAATCACATCGCATCCAACTTTATATAATAAGATAATAACATAACAAAAATTAATCTAAATATCTATTTAAAAAAAAATGTGGCCCTATAATTTGGAACATGTGACGGCCCTGAACCTACCGCACCCCCTATAAGCCGGCCCTGATTTGAGCCGTATAACTGGATAGGCTACTCTCCGACCATAACATAATCGACAGATCCAAGATGTGCTCCAACAAGTAAAGGGAGTTCGAATAGATATTGATTGTGTTCCAAAAGTTATGAATCGATTGACAAGTCTATAACGTAATGCTCACAACTTACCTCTAGACCTAGCTGTTGTTGAGGTTCCGTCTAAGAGGGTTTGAAACCAACAACCAGATCGGGTCTATTCCCATTCCTTCACCGAAGTGGTTGACGAGCTCAAAAGTTCCTTTTTTCTTACTTTTCGTGGCTGATTAGATCACTGAACTTGGTTCACTGACGCTAAGAGAAGGAACCATCGGATTATTTATATATCCCTCCCTTTCCACTAGGCTTCAATCGGCCAGTAAATTCTGGTGGACCAAATACAGCAACCTCACCTTTAGCGATGCATAAGAGGAGATTCCCAGACTATGATGCCTGGCACCGATCAACTTTGAAACTGCTTAGTTCAAAGCCCAAAAGAAGGAAGAGATAATGGTTTTAACTTTTAATAGGTTACTTGAAGCCTAATTAACTCTCGTAATAATAGCATTCAGAAATAACATAATAGCAGGGATGATTGGTAGGAGTTGTGGTTGCTCTCCAGAGCACTAAATCTCTGTACAGCAATCCAAAATCACCAATCAAGCTCTCATTCCATCTCTTTCCATATTTGAAACACAGAGCAATTTTTTTTGTTTATGGAAATTCCGTGGCTTTGGAAATCAATTTTTCTAGAGCACAAAATTAAGTGCTCTTAGAATTTTCTCTTTTCTCTTTCCTTATTATGTTTTCAACATTTATTTTTAAATCTATTATTTCTATATCTTATTTTTTGTTTTAATGTTGTATTTAATGCCACAATCTACAATAAAAAATCTTACAGCACTAAAATCTACAATCACAGCCAAAAATTCTACAACATAAATTCTACAACAAAAAATTCAAAGCTACAACTACAACCAGTCAGGCCCAGCATCTCCAATGGGATTCTTTCATCAAAGTATCTCATAATAAACTTTTTAACTAACAATTATTTTGAAAGGTTTGAACACAAAAATTTATTAATATTTAAATAGTGGATAACTCAAAAACTTAAAGAGACTCACGTGAAGTTTCTCAACTGGAGATTTTGGAATCTCTCAAGTTTTTGAGATATTATCATTTAAATACTAATATAATTTTCTGTTCACATACTCAATATTTTGGAGATGTTCTAAGATATTTGGTTTCCATTTTCTAAAATTTGATGAGATCCGTGCTTATTATTAAAATTTTAGATTTCTATTTTTGTTGTCACGAAATCTACATTTCATAATCATAGAGTAAAAAAGAAATTTTGATTTCCTTCATTGATGTCAAAGAATTCCTTATATATTTTTTTTAACAATTTCCTATTGACTTGTATTATGATAGATCCATATCTTTCCTATATATTTCCACTTATATGTAATTAGGCATATTTCTAGATTACATTAGATTTAGGCATATTTCTAGATTACATTAGATTTACCTTTATCGTTAATGGACATATGTATGTGTAAGTTAAATCTAATGTAATCTAGAAATATGCCTAATTACATAAAAATGAAAATATATAGGGAAAATATGATATCGTACTCCCTCCAATTATTCACAGAGAAAAGAGAAATATGGAATGGTAGAGAAAATTATGGAGAGACTTGATGCAAAAGCCCTACACAAGTTCAAGTCTGTGTCTAAGCAATGGAAATCTACCATCCAATCCCCTTGTTTTCAAAAGAGACAGTTGTTCCGTCGTAAGCAATCAGGAGATCCATGCGTAGCTTTGGTGTCCTCCTCATATGGAGGTTCTTACCCTAATCCCGACATTGAAGCTCTGAGAACCTTGGTGGTTGGGTCATCAGTTTCTCTTAAGATCCCTACTCCTTGGGAGAACAAGACTTATAGCGTTTGTACTAGTAGCTGTGACGGCCTGCTATTCCTCTACGAAGGGTGTGATCCCAATATCGTCGTGAATCCCACCACTCGTTGGCATCGAAGATTCCCTCCATGCAACTATCAACTAGTCACTTTTGAAAAGAGGGAGACACGACACAAAACGATCTATCTTCCTGGATTTGGTAAAGATAAAATCAGTGGCACATACAAGCCAGTTTGGTTATACAATTCCCTTGAAATAGACCTAAACAACAATGCTGCTGCTACTACTACTACTACTTGCGAAGTTTTCGATTTCACCACAAACGCTTGGAGGTACGTTGTTCCTGCGTCCCACTTTCTGATTCTTGACATCCAAGATCCTGTATATGTAGATGGGTCACTCCATTGGTTCACTGCTCCACACGAGGGCGAAACCAAGGTTTTATCTTTCGATCTTCACACGGAAGCTTTTCAAGTCATTGCCAAAGCACCTTTTCACCACGATTCTAATCAACATATCACCATGTGCAACCTGGATGATCGTTTATGCGTAGCCGAGAAAGAGGAATCCGAGCAAGTGATATGGTCGTTATGTTCAGATCACAAGACGTGGAGTAAAATATATTCCATAGATCTCGATATAACTTTTGATTCGTTTGGGATTTATCCTAGTCATGCTCTCATCCCACTAGCGGTATTGGAAGAAGACAAGTTACTGTTTTATGATACTGGATATTCTCCATTGGTAATACATGACCCCAAAACCAAGTCTTACGATTTAGCTTACACGTCTAAGGCATCTCATGCACAAGCTATTTGTTATTTCCCGAGTTTAATTTCTATTTTTTAAAGTTGTTTTTTTTCAAAAACATTGCTTTTTAGTTCTTTTTCTCTCTTTCTTCCGTAATACTATGGCAAAATGATTCACCACCTCCTTTCGTATTCATGTTTGGGATCATTTTTTTTTTTTTTGTTATTTTAATTGATTTGGAAATACAAACCATATTCAATGTTAATTTTAATATTTATATTTTGTGTACTTAGTTTTATGACTTATAAATATTATTAATTCAAACCACGTGTTAATCAAACTATGAATCCTTTTTCCTATGGATTTGAGTTGAGGTTACAATGGATTTTAGTAGATTTTTATGTTAAAATTGCAAAAATAAAAATCCGACGAAAAACATACGAAACTTCAAATACTTTACTAGAATCCACGTGTTAAATATGGATATCAATACACGAACAAATATAAGGTCATAAAACCATTATGTTTCCTTTACTTTTATGAGATCCGTGCTTAATTATCTTGTTATAATTTTAGTTTTCTAATTTGTTATTTTATTTTTGTCACGAGTTCAAAATTCATAATCATAAACTAACAATGAAATTTTGATTTCCTTTATTGATATCAAAGGTTTTCCTTATATTGTTTTTTACAATTTCTATTGACTTATAAATAAGCATATATATAGATATAGATAATCGACGTCAAAAAAAATATAGATATAGATAATTGTCCTCCAATTTTCATTATTCACAGAGAAAAGAGAATATGGAATCGCTACCAGACGATGTAATAGAGCACATACGAGAGAGACTTGATGTGAAAGCCCTAAACAAGTTCAAGTCTGTGTCCAAGCAATGGAAACATACTATCGAATCCCCTTCTTTCCAAAAGAGACAGTTGTTGCGTCGTAAGCAATCAGGAGATCCACACGTCCTTTTGGTGTCCACACATGACGTGTTTCTCCATACAGACGTTGAACCTCTGAGAACGTTGGTGGTAGGGTCATCAGCTTCCGTCAAGATCCCTAATCCTTGGAAGAAGAACAAGAAGTTTTACGAGGTTTGCAAGAATAGTTGTGACGGTCTAATATGCCTCTACAATCGCTATGATCCGAGTATCGTGTTCAATCCAACCACTCGTTGGCATCGAACTTTCCCTTTGTGCAACTATCAACTAGAAGCTCTCGAGAGGATGAGCGAATTCCCACCGCTTTCTCCTGGATTCGGTAAAGACAAGATCAATGGCACGTACAAGACAGTTTGGTTATACAATATTCGCGATAACCTAATCATGCATACCACACGTAAAACTATTTGTGAGGTTTTTGATTTTACCACAAACGCTTGGAGGGGCGTTGCCCGGTCTTCCCGTGAACAGATTCGTTACACGCAAGCTCCTGTGTATGTAGATGGGTCACTTCACTGGTTCACTAGAAGTGAATACAAGGTTTTGTCTTTGGATCTTCACACCTTGACTTTCAAAGTCATGTCTAACACTCCTTTTCTTCACGGCTCGCATTCGGACTCGAGCGAGGTTACCATGTTCAGTCTGGATGGTCGTTTGTGCGTGTCCGAGCAAGTTTTGGCCGAGCAAGTTATATGGTCGTTCGATTCAGAATCCGAGACATGGATGAGAAGATATTCGATAGGTCTACGTAGTCTCGTCTTGGGGAGGGAGATTCACACTCACACCACTAGCGGTTTTGGGGAAGAAGAAGTTGTTGTTTTATGATCGTGAATCTGCGAATCGGTCGTTGGTAACACTAACACATGGTCACAGAACCAAGTTTTATGAAGTGGTTTACGAATACGAAGTTAAGGCATGCGCTGTTTGTTATTTCCCAAGCTTGATCTCTATTTTGTAAGTAAAGTTTATTGTTTTGGGAAACGTTGTAGTTTAGTGTCACAAGTTACGACCGGAGTCAACTTAACTCTAGTTTTGAAATCAGGTTCGTCCCTCGGGCCCATAAATCTGAAACCAATGCAGGACTGTTGTGGTAGTCATGTTTTTTTTTAACCAAACCTTATCTTACATTTATTGTTATTACTATGAAAAACGATTATTTGTACTATCAGATTGTCACAGGAATAGGAGTGCCATTCAATAATTTATGACTCAAGACAGATGGAGTGAAGTCATCTGTACTGTTTTGTGACTTTTGTCTTAATTCCATAAAGCAAAGCAATAGTTCCTCGTCTTTGAGACAGAGTAACACAAAACAGTTACACAAATCTATACATCTCCATGCATGGTTTTGAGTTTTGACACAAACTCATTACATAAATATCATTTCTATTCACATGCATTTTTAATATTTAAAACTCTATTGATTCACTCGCTGATTAAATTATTAGATTGTCTTTCTTTTTAAAAGAGAAAGCTTACTTAGACATGTGAGTGGAGTAAAAAAAACAAACAGGCGGTTGAAGCAAAGCATCGAATGTGAGATTTTCACCGTCTGAGTCAGTCTGGTCAGCTTCAATCCTCACAAAAAATTGAATCACTCAATTGCACTTTCTCTCTTTCACTTCAAGTAGATACTCTGAATACGCAAAAACCAAAATTTTAAAAGTCATGTTTAAATCTTTAACCAAATCACTACGATGAGCAAAACTAAAAGATTGTGTTTTTTTTACCTGGTGGTTGCTTTCTGTAGTGTTGTATGCATAGAGCCTTGGAACTGGTTTCTTGATGCTCTCTTCTTTTGAAAAACCGAATCTCCTCTTTGGCTCCCGTTGTTCGCATCTTCTTGCATCCTTTGGTCAAAACTGTTCTCTTGCGCAGCCATTTCACTGTCGTCTGTGTTGTTATTTCTGATCCGTGTTTGCACTTGTGGTCTCTCCTCTGTTTTTCTCCAGAACTTGGGACTTAAGAAATCTTTACCAGGTAGCTTTGAACAACTCTCTCCTCCGCAGCTACTACTGCTCTTAGGCACTCTCCCGTTTGAAACCGCAAGATCGCTTGATATTTCATCCAAAGCCATCTCTAGACCGCTTACTCGAGACTCCAGCGATTGGATCCCACTCTGTGAGCTTCCCATGAATTTCTACATCCAAAAACGAAAAGTTTTAAGTATTTCAGTAAGTATTAAGTATTCATCTACAAAGAGACCAATGTGTATACCTGAAGTAGGTCTAAGAGACTAGACTGCTGGTTCTCAATGAGAGCAAGCTGTTCTCTTATCAAAGAAAGTTCTTCACTGTCTTTCTTGTTCTCATCAACATCATCTTTACCATTCTTGGCAACAGAATCACCATCGTCACTGCAAGGTGCAACCCTTGAGAAGCCATGTGCTTTAACTTCCCCTCTTCTCTCGGAGATTGTATATTTGATTACATCTGATCCCTCCTCCTCCTCCTCCGGCTCTTCCACGACTTTACAAGTCCGATTTTCCAAAGAGTCTTGCTTTACCGGTACACATTGTGGTCCCTTGTTATCCAAACTAGAAGCTGCTGCTGCTACAAACATGGTCACATTCCCTTTTGGAAGATTCTCCTTTTGTCTAGTAGCTGCTGCGTTCGATCTATTCACAGGCAAAGATGGGGACCTCTTCATTCTAGGCGTTGCTTTCTTTGGCCTCGATGACTTATTATTGTAACCAACTTCAATGCTTGAGCTTCTCGTGACTGAGCTAAAGCATCCAATGCCATCATCTGAATACACCAAATTATTGTAGAAATTCAAAATCAAATCTTTTAAGCTAAAATTTGAATTTTCCAGAAATGTAACAACAACAACATACCAGTGGAAGATCTAGATGGAGATAATGTAGCTTCGTCGATATCATTTGAAACTTCCTTCCACTGATTCAATGTTCGATTCATTGTTTCTCTCACACTTTTCACCTGCATTGTCATAGATTCACTAATTCGGATTTAGTTTCTCTTGACGACTAAAAGAAAACAAAATCAGTTTTTTTTTTTTGTTGGTTACCTTGTCAAATCTTCTGCTCTCAAGAGCCGTGGTGCAAGCTTTCTTGTACTGATATGCCAATTCTTCCGCCGTCGCAACTTTACCCAACGCCTCCGCAGCAGATTTCCGCGCCGCCCAATCCTCGCTGCTCAGAAATTCGATTAAAACCGGAACCAGCCAATCCAGAACCGGTTTAGTTCCCGCGCCGCCGGCGGTGATTATACTACCCACGGCACTCAACAGCGCGGCTTTGGCCTTGAAGCCGTCGCTCTTGAGAAGCTTCCCAATCTTAGGCAGAGATTTCCTCAACTGCTCCGATTCAGGATCCGACGCCGCTTCCACTGACGCAGCCAAGCACATCGCCGCTCCGATCTGCGCGTTCGAATCGCCGTCCTGGATCAGCGTCTCGATGAGCGGTTTCGCGACGGAGGAGAACGGCTGACTCGTCACGTGAGCGGACATGTCCGCGGTCGCGGCGGCGCAAGCGGAGCGCACGGAGGAATCCGGATCTCGGAGACGGCGGATGACGGTGGAGACCATCTTAGAGAGGTGGGGAGAGAGAGAGTCGCCGTGGTAGCGAGACATGAGCGACAAGACGGCGACGCACTGTTTCCTCACCGGAGATTTACACGAAGAGTCGGTGTTGTGGATGCAGTTGAGGAAAGAAGAGAAGGAGTCGTGAGTGAGGTTTCTGGCGATTGAGTCAAGCTCCGCCGTGGCGAGAGCTAAGGTGTCACGGTCAGCGAGCTTGTTGAGACAGGCGATGACTCGTTGCTTTAGATCAGGAGTCGACGGTGACTGAGAACTCGGCGATGAGGAAGACGCCGGCGATGAAGAAACCGGCGGACTCGCCGGAAATCGTCCCTGAGCCGACATTTTTTTTTTTCTTTTTGCGGCTTCCGATTTGAGATTTGTAAAAAACGTGTTCACATTAAATGTAAAACTGCTTTGAATATGGCGGCAGAAAAAAAAAACTCCGATTATGCGTAGAGGGGTTGGGTAATGGGTTTTTAAATGCTAACTAGAGAGGGAGGTGTTGAGAGATAAATTTAAATTAAATAATATTACTATTATAGTATTATTATCAGAATCTTGCTTTTTGTTAGGAGAGAAAATGTCTTTTTCTAACAATATATAAACAATTACACTACTCGACGAGATAATGCAATAATCACATACTTAATATGGAGGATTGAAATTTAATTTGATAATTCTACTTTTGGGAAAAATAAGTCTTTGTCGCTTGAAAGTATCTATCTACGAATTGTGTATACATAAAGAGAACATGTATGTATTTACTCCAAGTTTAACAGTAGTTACCTTTAATTAGTTTGTTTAAAGTTTAAACATCGGTTAAACATTCTCTGTGTTTTTATTTCTAATAACAAAAATTGAAATCTGTAGTAGGTCTGTATTTTCCCCGGCCAAAATTGAATTTAATATAAGCTTTTTCCAGATTTCTATAATTTACTGAAGTAAATGTTTTGACTACATTTACTGCTTTCATTATTCTTCACACCGGAGAGTTAATTTTATATGATGACTTTCTTTGTCTTCTAAAATTAGCTGTTTCTAATAACAAAAATCCTAATAAAATCTAAACTGGATTTGAAGAAATAGTCATTGGTATTTTTTTCTTGCAGATTATAGTGTAGGTCAGAAATATTCTGTCCTTTTTGATGTCATGTTAAATCCTCACAGAAAAAACTATAGAATATGATATTTAAAATTCAAATGAAATGTTGGCAAAGAAATGAAATTTATTCAGCAATATCAATGTATTATCACTAATACCTAATAATATGTTGGAATACGACAAGAAAAGTTGAAAACAAATTAAAACTGACAGGCAATGGAATATAATCCTAACTGGCGAACCTTAGAACAGTTCCAAATTCACAGTAGTTTATTAATTAATTAATAAAGCGATTAAGACAAAAATTGAAATAATATGTTTGTGTTTCTGGTGCTGATGCTGTATAATTCTGTTTGACATTTGACTTGCTCATAGTATCAATGATGCTTAACAGATTTTAATCATATTTTATGTTGTTGTTTTTTCTTAGTTGATTTACTTTACATAGATGTAAGAGAGGACAACTATATATCACATTTCATTTCGTATTTTTATGTGGAAAATATGAATAGATTTGTTCATGGACCGCATCAAATTGATGATCTGATTACGTAACTATAAGATTTTGGATAATCAATTCGGTGAAAAATTCGGGAGAAAATTCAAAAATAATGGTAAGAAATTCAATTGGCATAAAAGTAAATATGAAGAGAAAGAGGAGAGAGTGACATGAATGGAAATAATGAGGAAGCACGTGAAAAGGAAATGGAGAGCGCAGGCAAATTGGGCAGACTAGCACGTGACTTGATTTACTCCTCTACGTTACTACGTTCTTCAACTTTTTTTTGAACTTGCTAAATTTAATTCGGATTTTTTAGTTAATGATTAGCAAGTTCGAAAAAAAACTTCTCAGAGTATTTTATTCTTCTACACCTCTATAATCATGTTTCAAGAACAAAAAAACTTCTCAGAGGTGTAAAAGAATAAAATAATCAATAACAAAGGTTTATAATCTAATTTAACCCCTCTACCTTAGTCAATGAATTAACCATATTTGGTTAACATGTGAAACTAATGATACCGTTGAATAAGTAAGTTTATACCTGCTTATTGGTGATTTAGACTAAACGATTATAGTAAGTTTTGATTTTTGTTCTTGAAAATAAACTTATAGGTTTAAAACAAACAAACAACCTAGCTCTAAAAACTCGAATCTATCAATATCAATATCAGTCATAAAGGCATTGATACTCGTTAAAGATAGAAGATAAAACCGAGAGTATGGAGGCACAAAGGAATGATCACTGTCATGAATATTACAGTTCACATCAAGACGGTGACGTTTTTAATATGTTGGGAAATATCGTCCATGTGCCTATTGTTTCGTCCCGACCATTATCGTGGCTTCATTCTCTCTGGCCTTTTCCCGCCCTCGTCTTGTTCTTTTCGTTTTATAATTTGTTTGGTACTCAATAGAGCTAAACCGAACCGGGACAAGATCACACATGGTAGTATCGAACCGGTTCTTGTGAGTTGTGACAAGATAATATATTGAACATCAAATCATCTAAATAGTTCAACAGTGATGGTCCAGCTAATTAAGGTGGCAGGGATATATAACACACTTTTGTTTCTATCACGACATGTTATTAAGTTCAAATCAATTGCATCCATCAATGCTAGAATGTCTTATTTCTTCGTGGATTCTTATGAGATGTCGAACCATTGTAGCTTATTTACTTAGAAATAAATCAAACATATATATATGATTTAGAAAAAACTATAATCAAAGGTTACTAGATTTTCAGCCACGTTTTTGTAAAGTGTTATCTTGGTTATGTCTTTCACAACACTATTTAAATAACCATAATCCTTTTTTTTAGAAAAAGTACTTTCTCGTGCTAATATAAATAGATGCAAGAATTGAAAAATATGCAAAAGGGCAAAGAGGGGAAATTTTGGATCAAGGACCAAAGGGTTGGATGTTGATGTTAGTAATGTTGTTTGACTAAGTGGCAAAGCTAAGCTAAAAATATAAATACAAGTTGTGGAAAGATAAGAGAAGAGCTTTCACATGGACATACCTCAAATAGTGACAACAAACTCCCACATTTTATAGTTATTTCTCATATTTTCGCATCTATGTTTTCCTTGCACGGGAACACTTGCACATGTTCTTCTTTTCTTCTTGTTTATTTAAACTAAAATATAAATAATTTATCGTTTTTTTTGGATGAGATGAGGGATGAGGGATGCCTCTACCAATGGAATTGTGTTGTGGGCAATGTTAATAGAATTAGGTTCATGTACAAGGAATCGTCCATGTGTTCATTGTGTTGTCCCATTATGACCCCAAGACCAAATCTATATAGCTTGCCCCAACTAGCTTTTTTATCATATTTAATTTTTATCTGTAATATATATATATATATATAATTATATAATTATATATGATGCAAAAATTACGTAAGAGGAATTCCAATGTATCAGTTTTAAATGTTACTATCTACTTGTCATCAAAAGTCAATAAAATCGACCCCATAGCACCATATTTTAGACTATTCAGAAGTACACGATGTTAGGGGAGAAATTAGCACATTTCCCTGAGCCCGTCATCATTAGTAAAGTACAAAGCCCAATCCGATTTTAGGCCTAACATCTTCAAGAAAAAGGCAAGACTTGAAGAGAAAGGCACAATCCATGGAGAAATGTAAATAAATCTTCATGCCGACTTAAAGAATGGAGAAAGATCCAAAAACAAGAGGGATTTTCCATATCGCAAAAGAGGAAGTTTTCCATCTCGCCTGAAGGAGAATATTCATCATTCGGCCGACTTATCAACACTATATATTGAAGACCCCCCATTGGGGAGAGGGATCCGAAATCATCTAGAATCACTAGGCTTTCACATTAGCTTTTACTCTATCCTCTTGTTCATCATCATAATCTCGCTAGGCTTGTTAGCGAGATTGCTCTCTTGTAATCTTCTTGATAATCTAAGAGTCGAATTAAGCGTTCCAGTTTCCTAAACTCACATCTTAGATAGCCCGTCTTGACGAGTGCTATCTCGGATTCAACAATTGGCGCCCACCGTGGGGCTGGAAACGCTTCTCGCTATTCATCTCGAAGATATCTAGATTTTCACGAACTAGCAACGATGGAACTCGAAAGAGAACACTCCCACCGGGAGCCCGTCTCCCTCAGAAGAAAACTTAAGCGACAGTCTACCAGGCACGATAGACAAGTCGCTACCCGCTGAAGGTAGGGACAAGCCTGCTCCCTACAAGAAACCATCTTCTCGCCACAGAGATCCGTCTCGCCGCGAAGATCGACTTCGCCGCAACGATCCCCTCCGCCAAGAAAGGACGAGAGCCCCCCTCCGTCCGCACCACGCCGCTCGAGAAAATCTTCCTCGAGCGACAAACCCCGCAGCTCGAAGAAATCCTCCTCGAGCGAGAAGATCCTCAAACTCATGGAGAATCTCGTCAAGCCACTCGCCGACGGTTTCGAGTCAATGCGAGCACAGCAGAAAAAGACTCAGGAACAGGTGGAAGCCCTAGCACGAGAAGACGATGAAGATCCGTCAAGTCCCACTGACGGAACAACCCCCGTCCCGCGCACTTCAGGCGACTTACCACCCAAGAACTCGAACGGGTGAATCGTCGCCTCGACGAGGTCGATTCGAAAGTTCATCGCGCCACCAGCTCAGCTCCGGAATTGACGAAAGCACTCGCCGACACCCGAAGAAGCCCGCTCACCCGCAGGCTCCGCCAGATTGAGCTACACGAAAGAGTTCGACTCAAAATCGACTCTTACACCGGCGAAGAAGACCCCAAGAAGTGGCTAACCGCGTTCAACCTCGCCATGAGGAGGGAGAAATACAAATCTTACGATGAAAGGGAGGCCAACTACTGTCAAGTATTCGTCGAGCACATGGCGAAAGATGCCTTGACCTGGTTCTCTAACCTCCCCGCCGAGTCGATCGATAACTTCGACGACCTAACCAATGCTTTTCTGAAGCATTACTCCATGCACATGACCCGAATCACTCGGAACATGTTCACCACAACGCAAACCCAAGGCGAACCATTGCGCAGCTTTATGGAAAGGTTCAAACAAGCAGCTCGCGATACTGGCGACATGCCCGATAGCGTCCCGCTGGAAGCACTCCGCAACGGCCTCTGGTACGACTCCAAGTTCAAGGAGGATTTGTCACTAAAACCCCCTGCGACTCTGGAGGACGCGTTCCACCGCTCTCGGAACTACATCTTCCTCGAGGAAGACCAGCGCTTCTACGCCGAGAAACATGGAGATAGGAGGGCAACCTCGTCGAAACCCAGAGAGGAACCCATGGAGGCGCGAAGAAGACACGATCCGAAGAGGTCTCTCCTCACAGCGTTCGCAGCAGCCGACGACGAGTTCGAGCAAGAACACGCAGCGGCCGTTTCGATGCCACAAGACATCAACTCGCTCGGAGATGACAACGATACCAAAGCTTTCTGCAAGTTCCACGGGAGAACTGGCCACGCCACTGAAAACTGCAAACACCTAATGAGCAACCTCATGCGCATGTACCATCGAGGAGAAATCCCGCCAATGGACGGTGATAGGTCCCAAGGAAAAAGCTTCCCGCCGAAACCACCAAAATCTGGGCAGCAGGAGAAGCGCGGACGACAACCCCGTCCGAGGAAGGATGCAGAAAAGGCGGAAGCCCGCTTGGGAAAAGGAATCGTGATGACCACGACGACCTACCTCCCCACCGAAGCGACAAGTCAGCATGATCATGGGAGGCTCCTGGATAACGACGATTCCATATCGGCGATCAAGGAATACGAACGAAAGGCCGTCGCGGCACAACGCTACCCGTATATCCATAAAGGGATCCCTACATCTCCTTTACGGATAAGGATGCGAGCGGGCTGGACATCCCTCACCTTGACCCACTCGTAATCACTCTACAGATCCACGACTGTGACGTCGCGAAGGTCCTGGTTGATACCGGGAGCACGGTGAACCTCATCTTTCTGGAAACACTGAACCGCATGGGGTGGAGGAAGGATCTATCAAACCTACATCCCGTCCCCTCACCGGTTTCACCGCCGAGCATGTTTACAGCTGTGGCACAGTCCGGCTCCCCGTTTATGTCGGCGGAATTTCAAAGCTCTTGAAGTTCATCGTCATGGACAAACCGGCCATCTATAACGCTATCCTCGGCACCCCATGGCTCCATGAAATGAAAGCTGTCATCTCGACGTTCCACCAATGCGTGAAGTTTCCGATACCCTCTGGAATTTTCACCTTACGTGGAGATCAAAGAGTGACGAGATCATGTTTCCTTCGCGAGCGCAAGCTCCGCACCGCGTCGTCCTGTATGATAACCGAGCCAGTATCGACGACGAGACCAACGAGTCCAACGCAATAAAACGAGCCGCCGCAACGCAGAATGCAGATCCCCCGATCCATCGGCAAAGGAACTCCGAGCCCGCCTGGAAATCCGACTTAAGGTCCAGCTTTAGCACTAAACACAAGGATCTCTCCGATCTATTCGAGATGGAGCAACTCGAGGACGAACCGCTACGAAGCTACCTGAACAGATTCAAGAGTGCGCTGCTCGACCTCAGGGACATTCCGGGAGCACCCCCAATCGCGGAACCGGTACTCGTCCAAGCCCTCGGAAACGGACTTCGACACGAATCCGGATTCTGGGAAGATATCCGCATCCGCCCCTCCCCAACTTTGAAGGACGCCTTCCTTCGCGCTGAGAATTACATCCGCCTCGAGCAAGACATCCCGCAGCTACGGTTCGACCCCGAAGATCCTCGGTTCCGGCTAAGAAACAAGAGAAAGTCATCATCCTCTCGCCCGGAGAAGTCCACGCATAAAGCACCAAGGTGCCATCACGAATCTCTCCCTCGCCGAGACGACGACGACGAGACCAGGAGAAACATGGAGAATCGCGCGAAGACTGATCGCCATGCACCCCCGCAATGCTCGTTCTCCGATCAGGAGATATTCGAGATCATTGCCGATATTCGAAGAACTCCCCTGACAAGCCGCCTATCCGAGGTACCACTGAAGAAGCGCGCTTCACTACACCTAAACTTCTACGACGGCCGAGAAGATCCCAAGCAGTGGATCACATCCTTCATGACGGCCATGAGAAGACAGAAATACACATCGCCGGAAGAACAAAGCGCGCACTTCTGCCAAGCCCTCGCCGAACACTTGCGCGGCGACGCCCTAACATGGTTCAGCAACCTCCGTGCCGACTCCATCGACAGCTTCGACGATCTAGCAGCCGCTTTCCTAAAGCAACACCTCCGTTTCGCATTAGACGACCTCGTCTTTTGCAAAACCGATGATGATACGATCTATGGTCTCGGCAAATTCGGCTTCCGACTGGGAAGGACCATTCCGCATCGCGAAAGTCGTCAAACCAGTATCTATCAGCTAGAAGACAACCTCGGCACCACGTCCGATCGCCTCTGGAGCTCGTCGGATCTGCGCAAGTTCCATGACTAGACGCGAAGCACCGCGCTAGCCAAAAAAAAAAGACATGTCCACGGCATGAACATTTGTAACGAACTACGAATGGCTTGATCCCGGCACGGGTACGTAGGCAGCCTTTCTCAAAGGGCGCAGCTATAATACTTAATAAAATTTTAATTTTATTAAAACCTTTTTCTCGACAAGCGCGCCTCATTCTGGCATAAGCTGAAACTTGTCGACACCCAGCACGCACCCGTTTGACGTCAAACCAAGTTATTGAGGCAAACTCAATAAGCACTTGCACTTTGCACCCTAAAAACATGGACTGATCACCCATTCATTAAGCCGAGAGCACGCACCTCGCACGGCTCTCAGTTCGTCGGACGAGCGAAAAACCGCTACCTCGTCACCCGCACGAAGCTTTGAAGTCGGAAGCATAAATCGAGTTTCTAGAGCTCGTCGCTGAAAGTAGGTTTAACATCCTAAGCACACAGACCTAATACGCGCCGGTCGGTGTCTCGAATGAGAAGTCATGACGAAACCCGAAAGCATCGCGTCCAGTCATGACGCACTAGCACCATCACGCGCACCATGTCGTGATACACTTAAAGGTAACGAGTCATCCCGATAATCGAATTTCCTACTCGGTGACGACCAAGTACTTAATTCATTTTATGCGGTTGACGACACCATCGTCCTTTATTAAAAGACATAACCAAAAGCCGGATTACTTTCGTTGCGCTGCGAACTAATCAATTATGTCTAAAAGCCGTGACCGCATCACCACGCAAGCACGCAAGCAAAAAAATCATACTTAAAACACTTGAGTATCTAGCATAAAAGCACAAATCCTAAAGCATACGGATAAAAACCTTCCCAGGCAATGTTATTACAACAAAAAGGCCGCAGCCAGAAAAGTCTTAAAACAAATAAAATGGGGCCTAAGCAGACTTGGCCCCAGAAGTAGAGGGTCCCGCACCCGGATCCGCACCACACCATCTCGACGAGAAGGAGATCCCGGCAGCACCAGCCGTTTAAGGCTACAAAAGCAGAGCAAACACATAAGCAAAATCATTACGCAAAGCACGACATAACAAAAAGAGAAGCAAAAATCTCACCTGTTAGGCGGAGCGAAGTCATCATCATCGATAACAACTTCGTCAATCGCATCCCCATCCGCGATACTCTTCGCCAGCTTAGCCGCGAGCTTCTCCTCCATCGCGTCGAAGTTCAGATCCACTCCCCGAATCTTCTTCACAAAGTTGAGGAGAGCTTCGTCGACTTGCCTCCTCCCCACAGCGGCTTCAACCATGTCCCGCTGCGCGACGAACTCCGACAAGCGATGGAGGAGGAGCATACCAGTCATTCACCGAGTCGAAGACCTGAGTCACAGCCGCCTCGACCGATCTCGACGAGACCGTCGGAGACGCTCCATCTCAGCAGCAGAAGCCTCTGCATCCCGACGCGCCTTCTCCTCCAGATCACTCACTTGAGCCCTCAGCTTGTCTGCTACCTCCTGGAGTCCAGAGTCTTCACTATCTCCCTGTTCAGCGCCGCGACCTTCGACTCAAGCGCCAGTTTATCCTGCTGCAAATCAGCCACCATTGTATCGACATCCTTGGCCATCTCCCGCTCTCGCCGCAACACAAAGGCTTCGTCCTTAGCTGCCCGAAGCGCCGTCTCGTACTTCTGGACCAACGCGGTGAACTTCCCGCCAGACATAATATGATGTTGAGCAGCTTCGTCGAAATCGGTCCTAAAGGTGAGCTCCTCACGCGGAATCCCCAAGCCGGGATGAACTTTAGACATCCAAGTCGCCCCTCCGCAAGCATCCTGGTCCTCCATAAGAGGACTCCCGCCATTCCACCACGTCTTGAACGCGTGAGGATTATAGCCCTCAGGACCATCCTTTGGAGGTTCGAGCCAGGAGCAAAACCACCCGCCTCCGAGTGACGAGACACCGCCTCATCATTCTCACCTGGACGCCGAGATGATTCCCCTCCTTCGAAACCACCACGATCACGCCGGTCAGAGGAGGGAACGCCGCCACCAGGGGTGAGGAACTCATCCCCCTTAGAAGGCGAACCACCACGCGCCGGAGTCCTCAAACCATCATCGTGATGAGAAGCACTCTCATCGTGATGGGAAGACTCGTCATGGTCCGAGGAAGGAGGAGAGTCAAGCTCGATCACTTGCTCCGGAACGCCCTCAGGAACAGAAGTCGAGGCTTTCCTCGTCGAAGCCCTGCAAAGAACGTCTACGATTAACATCGGAATTCCTATCTCCTGAAGATCCATCAAGGCGACTTACCTCGTACGCGACGCAATGGAAGAGCTCCGAAGGGGAGAAGGAGGAGAATCCCTCAGTCTGGGGGACTCGACCCTTTTCTTTTTGGGCCGGCTCGGAAGCAACGACAACGTCGTCAATAGGCACGGCCGCTCTCTTCCTAAGACCCATCGATTTCTTCTTAGAACGGGATGGCTTCGCTGCTGCAAAACAAAGCAAAACGTTAAGATACCCGAAGAGAAACCAAGCAAAAAAAAAGAGAAACGAAACGCTTACTAGATATCGGAGTCGCAGGGATGGCAGATTTGTCTTTTCCCTCCCTCTTATCTTTCCTCTCTTGCTTCTTCTTCTCAAGCGCCGCCACTACCTCAGGCCACAATCGATGGCTAAGCTCCTTCAGCAGCCTAACTTCTCCTTGAGTTCGCCGTTCGGTCTCGCTCGCCTGGACGGTCCTGCGAAGACAACAAACAACATCAGAAAACGCAAACTCAGCAGCATAGATAGCAATTCTAATCAAGAATTCTACCCGGTGATTTAACCCATTCTGTCCTAATCTGATCAGCTTTGATCTTCCCGACTGAGGCTCGGTTTATCTTCACAAAGAAGAAATATTTCTTCCACCAATGAATCTTANTGCAAACACCTAATGAGCAACCTCATGCGCATGTACCATCGAGGAGAAATCCCGCCAATGGACGGTGATAGGTCCCAAGGAAAAAGCTTCCCGCCGAAACCACCAAAATCTGGGCAGCAGGAGAAGCGCGGACGACAACCCCGTCCGAGGAAGGATGCAGAAAAGGCGGAAGCCCGCTTGGGAAAAGGAATCGTGATGACCACGACGACCTACCTCCACCACCGAAGCGACAAGTCAGCATGATCATGGGAGGCTTCCTGGATAACGACGATTCCATATCGGCGATCAAGGAATACGAACGAAAGGCCGTCGCGGCACAACGCTACCCGTATATCCATAAAGGGATCCCTACTATCTCCTTTACGGATAAGGATGCGAGCGGGCTGGACATCCCTCACCTTGACCCACTCGTAATCACTCTACAGATCCACGACTGTGACGTCGCGAAGGTCCTGGTTGATACCGGGAGCACGGTGAACCTCATCTTTCTGGAAACACTGAACCGCATGGGAGTGGAGGAAGGATCTATCAAACCTACATCCCGTCCCCTCACCGGTTTCACCGCCGAGCATGTTTACAGCTGTGGCACAGTCCGGCTCCCCGTTTATGTCGGCGGAATTTCAAAGCTCTTGAAGTTCATCGTCATGGACAAACCGGCCATCTATAACGCTATCCTCGGCACCCCATGGCTCCATGAAATGAAAGCTGTCATCTCGACGTTCCACCAATGCGTGAAGTTTCCGATACCCTCTGGAATTTTCACCTTACGTGGAGATCAAAGAGTGACGAGATCATGTTTCCTTCGCGAGCGCAAGCTCCGCACCGCGTCGTCCTGTATGATAACCGAGCCAGTATCGGACGACGAGAACCGACGAGTCCAACGCAATAAAACGAGCCGCCGACGCAGAATGCAGATCCCCCGATCCATCGGCAAAGGAACTCCGAGCCCGCCTGGAAATCCGACTTAAGGTCCAGCTTTGCACTAAACACAAGGATCTCTCCGATCTATTCGAGATGGAGCAACTCGAGGACGAACCGCTACGAAGCTACCTGAACAGATTCAAGAGCGCGCTGCTCGACCTCAGGGACATTCCGGGAGCACCCCCAATCGCGGAACCGGTACTCGTCCAAGCCCTCGGAAACGGACTTCGATACGAATCCGGATTCTGGGAAGATATCCGCATCCGCCCCTCCCCAACTTTGAAGGACGCCTTCCTTCGCGCTGAGAATTACATCGCCTCGAGCAAGACATCCCGCAGCTACGGTTCGACCCCGAAGATCCTCGGTTCCGGCTAAGAAACAAGAGAAAGTCATCATCCTCTCGCCCGGAGAAGTCCACGCATAAAGCACCAAGGTGCCATCACGAATCTCTCCCTCGCCGAGACGACGACGACGAGACCAGGAGAAACATGGAGAATCGCGCGAAGACTGATCGCCATGCACCCCCGCAATGCTCGTTCTCCGATCAGGAGATATTCGAGATCATTGCCGATATTCGAAGAACTCCCCTGACAAGCCGCCTATCCGAGGTACCACTGAAGAAGCGCGCTTCACTACACCTAAACTTCTACGACGGCCGAGAAGATCCCAAGCAGTGGATCACATCCTTCATGACGGCCATGAGAAGACAGAAATACACATCGCCGGAAGAACAAAGCGCGCACTTCTGCCAAGCCCTCGCCGAACACTTGCGCGGCGACGCCCTAACATGGTTCAGCAACCTCTGTGCCGACTCCATCGACAGCTTCGACGATCTAGCAGCCGCTTTCCTAAAGCAACACCTCCGTTTCGCATTAGACGACCTCGTCTTTTGCAAAACCGATGATGATACGATCTATGGTCTCGGCAAATTCGGCTCCGACTGGGAAGGACCATTCCGCATCGCGAAAGTCGTCAAACCAGGTATCTATCAGCTAGAAGACAACCTCGGCACCACGTCCGATCGCCTCTGGAGCTCGTCGGATCTGCGCAAGTTCCATGACTAGACGCGAAGCACCGCGCTAGCAAAAAAAAAAGACATGTCCACGGCATGAACATTTGTAACGAACTACGAATGGCTTGATCCCGGCACGGGTACGTAGGCAGCCTTTCTCATAAGGGCGCAGCTATAATACTTAATAAAATTTTAATTTTATTAAAACCTTTTCTCTCGACAAGCGCGCCTCATTCTGGCATAAGCTGAAACTTGTCGACACCCAGCACGCACCCGTTTGACGTCAAACCAAGTTATTGAGGCAAACTCAATAAGCACTTGCACTTTGCACCCTAAAAACATGGACTGATCACCCATTCATTAAGCCGAGAGCACGCACCTCGCACGGCTCTCAGTTCGTCGGACGAGCGAAAAACCGCTACCTCGTCACCCGCACGAAGCTTTGAAGTCGGAAGCATAAATCGAGTTTCTAGAGCTCGTCGCTGAAAGTAGGTTTAACATCCTAAGCACACAGACCTAATACGCGCCGGTCGGTGTCTCGAATGAGAAGTCATGACGAAACCCGAAAGCATCGCGTCAGTCATGACGCACTAGCACCATCACGCGCACCATGTCGTGATACACTTAAAGGTAACGAGTCATCCCGATAATCGAATTTCCTACTCGGTGACGACCAAGTACTTAATTCATTTTATGCGGTTGACGACACCATCGTCCTTTATTAAAAGACATAACCAAAAGCCGGATTACTTTCGTTGCGCTGCGAACTAATCAATTATGTCTAAAAGCCGTGACCGCATCACCACGCAAGCACGCAAGCAAAAAATCAATACTTAAAACATCTTTGAGTATCTAGCATAAAAGCACAAATCCTAAAGCATACGGATAAAAACCTTCCCAGGCAATGTTATTACAACAAAAAGGCCGCAGCCAAAAAGTCTTAAAACAAATAAAAATGGGGCCTAAGCAGACTTGGCCCCAGAAGTAGAGGGTCCCGCACCCGGATCCGCACCACCACCATCTCGACGAGAAGGAGATCCCGGCAGCACCAGCCGTTTAAGGCTACAAAAGCAGAGCAAACACATAAGCAAAATAACATTACGCAAAGCACGACATACAAAAAGAGAAGCAAAAATCTCACCTGTTAGGCGGAGCGAAGTCATCATCATCGATAACAACTTCGTCGATCGCATCCCCATCCGCGATGCTCTTCGCCAGCTTAGCCGCGAGCTTCTCCTCCACCGCGTCGAAGTTCAGATCCACTCCCCGAATCTTCTTCACAAAGTTGAGGAGAGCTTCGTCGACTTGCCTCCTCCCCACAGCGGCTTCAACCATGTCCCGCTGCGCGACGAACTCCGACAAGCGATGGAGACGAGGAGCATACCAGTCATTCACCGAGTCGAAGACCTGAGTCACAGCCGCCTCGACCGATTCTCGACGAGACCGTCGGAGACGCTCCATCTCAGCAGCAGAAGCCTCTGCATCCCGACGCGCCTTCTCCTCCAGATCACTCACTTGAGCCCTCAGCTTGTCTGCTACCTCCTGGAGTCCGAGAGTCTTCACTATCTCCCTGTTCAGCGCCGCGACCTTCGACTCAAGCACCAGTTTATCCTGCTGCAATCAGCCACCATTGTATCGACATCCTTGGCCATCTCCCGCTCTCGCCGCAACACAAAGGCTTCGTCCTTAGCTGCCCGAAGCGCCGTCTCGTACTTCTGGACCAACGCGGTGAACTTCCCGCCAGACATAATATGATGTTGAGCAGCTTCGTCGAAATCGGTCCTAAAGGTGAGCTCCTCACGCGGAATCCCCAAGCCGGGATGAACTTTAGACATCCAAGTCGCCCCTCCGCAAGCATCCTGGTCCTCCATAAGAGGACTCCCGCCATTCCACCACGTCTTGAACGCGTGAGGATTATAGCCCTCAGGACCATCCTTTGGAGGTTCGAGCCAGGAGCAAAACCACCCGCCTCCGAGTGACGAGACACCGCCTCATCATTCTCACCTGGACGCCGAGATGATTCCCCTCCTTCGAAACCACCACGATCACGCCGGTCAGAGGAGGGAACGCCGCCACCAGGGGTGAGGAACTCGTCCCCCTTAGAAGGCGAACCACCACGCGCCGGAGTCCTCAAACCATCATCGTGATGAGAAGCACTCTCATCGTGATGGGAAGACTCGTCATGGTCCGAGGAAGGAGGAGAGTCAAGCTCGATCACTTGCTCCGGAACGCCCTCAGGAACAGAAGTCGAGGCTTTCCTCGTCGAAGCCCTGCAAAGAACGTCCACGATTAACATCGGAATTCCTATCTCCTGAAGATCCATCAATAGGCGACTTACCTCGTACGCGACGCAATGGAAGAGCTCCGAAGGGGAGAAGGAGGAGAATCCCTCAGTCTGGGGGACTCGACCCTTTCTTTTTGGGCCGGCTCGGAAGCAACGACAACGTCGTCAATAGGCACGGCCGCTCTCTTCCTAAGACCCATCGATTTCTTCTTAGAACGGGATGGCTTCGCTGCTGCAAAACAAAGCAAAACGTTAAGATACCCGAAGATAGAAACCAAGCAAAAAAAAAGGAGAAGCAAACGCTTACTAGATATCGGAGTCGCAGGGATGGCAGATTTGTTTTTCCCTCCCTCTTATCTTTCCTCTCTTGCTTTTCTTCTCAAGCGCCGCCACTACCTCAGGCCACAATCGATGGCTGAAGCTCCTTCAGCAGCCTAAACTTCTCCTTGAGTTCGCCGTTCGGTCTCGCTCGCCTGGACGGTCCTGCGAAGACAACAAACAACATCAGAAAACGCAAACTCAGTGAGCATAGATAGCAATTCTAATCAAGAATTCTACCCGGTGATTTAACCCATTCTGTCCTAATCTGATCAGCTTTGATCTTCCCGACTGAGGCTCGGTTTATCTTCACAAAGAAGAAATATTTCTTCCACCAATGAATCTTGTTTCGGTAATCCCCGAAAACAATATCATACTTCATCGTGGTATGAAACCGCTTGAAGTTTCCCTCTCGCGACGAAGCCCGGAGATCAGTAACGTGCTCAAATAAGAGACGGTCGAATACAACTCCGGCGGCTCTAGCCAGGGCCTCGGTAAAAACAATGTGGCGAACCACGCCGTGGGTCAGTTGACTCGTAGGAACGCCACGATCAGCCGCAAATTGCAAAAATAGAGGAGACAGAGGGAAGTTCATCCCAAACTCGGTGAACATACACTCGTAAACGCACATCCACCCAGCCGGAGCATCGTAGGGCCTTTCGAGATGGCCAGGGATACGAAACTCCACGGAGTCAGGAACTCAGCCTCCGCTATGAGGTCTCGAAGGATCTCCTCCGTCATCCACGACCTCCCATCGTGGATTAGGCCCGTAGGCGGCGTACGACTCGGCATCTTGATTACATCCGGGATGCCCTCGAGTCTCGCTTGGCTGACGGCCCCGCTCTTCGTCTTCTCAGAGTCGGTTTCGTCGCCGGAATCATGCTCTTCCCCCTCCCTCTGTCTCTCAGTCTCTTCCCGACGCTCGGCTTCGGCGGCGACTCTCGCCGCTTCCTCCATCTCGCCATCTCGACCACCTTCTCGGCCTCAGCAGCGGCCGTCGCTTCATCCACCGCCGTCTTCCTGCGACGCTCCGCCGCATCCGCTTGGATGGCTCCACCAAGAGCCTCTCCGGACGAGCGGAGGATCGCGTCGACGCGCAATCGAAGCAATCGTCTCATCGCCGTCATCCATGGCGATGCCCTTTCCCTTTCTGTCTTTTGGATTCATCTCAATTGAATGAAGGATCGGAAAAACTCGACGACCGAGACGAAATATTTGACGAATCGAAAACCCTAAAACCCGAATCGGCGGATGAGGACGAAATCGGAGCACAACCTAACTAGATCCAAGCAATTCGTATTCCCTAGTCCTAAATCCCGGAGAATCGATTCGAGAAATCAATCGAGGCAAGATTTGAAGTCGGTTGCGGAAGTTACCTTTGATTCGTCGGGACGGTTGAGTGAGAAGAAGAAAAGAAGCAAAAATGAATAAAGGAAATTCGAACGGTCTCTTAATAGAGATCGCGCGACTTCCAAGGGACACAACTGCCCTTATGAATTTTTTATTCATTTCTTTCCCGCTCAATGGAAAAGCATTAATGGGCTTGGGCCTCGCGCGATTTAATCGACTATCGGACTCAGCCCACGCAATTGCAAACAGGTCCGCTTGGGCAGTGACGTGGCAAAATCGCCCAGTCACAGCTGAAAACCGAACCCGTCATAACATTCGAACCAAGAAAGCATTTTTGGTCGCGGCAAAAATCATTCGAAGCACATTACTCGTGAATTAGATGACGTCAACGTACTCTTTTTCCTTTTTATGGTTTTTGTCCCAATTGGGTTTTTCCGTACCAAGGTTTTAATGAGGCGGCACGAATCTACATTCAGCATGCACCTAGGCACTAAGATCCGATTGAAGTGATGTATTTTACTAATGATTCTCAAGCTCGTCCTCTATTCATGAAGCTCGCCGAGATCAAACTACATTTGACCTGCCGAGCTGGCGGGGGGACTTATTGTTAGAGGAGAAATTAGCACATTTCCCTGAGCCCGTCATCATTAGTAAAGTACAAAGCCCAATCCGATTTTAGGCCTAACATCTTCAAGAAAAAGGCAAGACTTGAAGAGAAAGGCACAATCCATGGAGAAATGTAAATAAATCTTCATGCCGACTTAAAGAATGGAGAAAGATCCAAAAACAAGAGGGATTTTCCATATCGCAAAAGAGGAAGTTTTCCATCTCGCCTGAAGGAGAATATTCATCATTCGGCCGACTTATCAACACTATATATTGAAGACCCCCCCATTGGGGAGAGGATCCGAAATCATCTAGAATCACTAGGCTTTCACATTAGCTTTTACTCTATCCTCTTGTTCACCATCATAATCTCGCTAGGCTTGTTAGCGAGATTGCTTCTTGTAATCTTCTTGATAATCTAAGAGTCGAATTAAGCGTTCCAGTTTCCTAAACTCACATCTAAGATAGCCCGTCTTAACGAGTGCTATCTCGGATTCAATACACGAAGTAATTCTTGTGTAATCCTAGTCCATTTTTTTATTATGTATAGAAATATATACAAATTTATGGTAGGCGACACATTCAATTAATTTGTCTTGGTGGTTAATCCAATTATAGGGAGACTAGCGAAGTATTACATTTGTTTATAAATGACATGTTCGATATAATGAAATTATATTCTAAAAATTATTGTTATTACCGTCAGATCACATGTTCAATAATTCACTGTGCAGAAATTAAATTTTTTTTTGTTTTTTTACGACTTAAATCTAGTTATTTACAGTACAGTTTACAATCGTTTATTTATATCTTTGGGTGCAAGTGTAACAAAACTGATATCTTCTAAACATCATAGCTAGTGATTATTCTTTTGATGGACATAAATGACGAGAAACCGAGAACACAACTGATAAGTTAGGCTATCACGATAATGTTGTTATTTAAAAATAATGAAACTAGGGACATGTATCGATGAGTAAGATGTACACCTTTTTGTGTCTAATGTATATTAAAACAAAATTTATGTCTACAAAATTTAGGTTAGTTTTACCACCAAAGTTTATGTTGTTATAGTGAACTTAAACTGTTGTAGAGAAAATATTGAATTGGTAGAAATTGTTACCGACTCTGCGGTTTTGCAAACTACAAATGATGGGTCCAAGCCTTGTTTGGAATTTTGTTATTATCACTTGTAAACATTAGCACAATAACCAATCATAAGCATTTTCCACATGGAAGCTGGTCTCAATCATGGCTGAATTTTGGATTATTACATAAAATCATTAAAATGTGTATACTATATATAGTGAGATACACACATATCTTTTATAAATTATATAATTCAATTAAACTTATAAGTTAAACATTGGTGAAGTATGAATACATCACATACGTAGCCTGCACATTTCGTAAGTACAATTTTCTGTAGCCTATAATTTGGCATGCCATTTTGCTTTATACCCAAAATTATATACTTGTATATCATTCGAATTGAGTGAAATTCGGTAAGTTCCTTGATAAACATGTACATCTACATATACATATACATACCTTAGTTATTTATGTTTTGGCTGAAGATTACATATTTTAAATGCTGGCACTCAACTAAAAGTAGGATTTTATGGTATAGAGTATTTGTTTATGTTAAAAACCAACTTTTCCTTTCAACTCTTGTATTTTCTTTAAATAGTCTAACCGTCTGACCCATCAATAAAACATCTATCGTATTAATCATTGAACCATTAATTGGTCATAATCATTACTAATCATAATAAAGAAAATTGGGTTTAAGAAAAAAGACAAAGAAAAAGAGAGTTGTTAATGTATAGAGAAGACAAGTAGGTACGTCTTTATTGCAGACAATAGGCAAGCTAACCAACTCAAGTCTCAAGCTTCAAATAAGGAAAAAGGAAGAATCAAATTGGGGATTGGGTTCAAATGTTGATTCAAAATGTTTGGGGTTAGATGTCAGTGGCTTGCTCGTAGGCATCCCGAATCCCACATCTAATCCAAAAATAAACACAATGGAATTGTTATTAGAAAGTAACTTAGGGTCTGACTGGTTTAACCGCTGCGGTTGCGGGTGTGGGAGTTTGCGGAAGCGGGCGGTTGTGATTAGTAGCGTTATTAAGCGGTTTGTACGACTGGCATAACAATTGAAAATGGATGCGTTTGCGGGTTACTTATGACTGGTTCACTTGCGGATGCAATAGCGGTTAAACAATAAATTAATAATATAAACACATTATATAATTATAAAAATATCAAAAATATATTATAATGAAAATTTTAAATTTATGGTTCAACATAATTAAAAATATTTTTTTATAAAGAATAATATGTGTATAATACTTACGTCTATCTTTTAATTTCTATAATTTAAATAAAAATGTGATTTTATTTTCAAAATATATATTTAATGTGAAAATTAAATTTATTTTACAATTTTATTTATTAGATATATATGTATTAGTATGAAAAGAATATTTATGAAGAGAATTTTGATTTGTAGAACTTATAAATATATAAGTATTATATGATTTTAATGAATATTGACTAAAAGTACTAATTTTTTATTTATATTGTGATTTTATTATCCAAATCTTATTTTTTAATAAATATTATTATTTATTTTCGGATTTTATATAAGTTTGTGTTTTTTTTTTTTTTAATTATCCACCCGCAACCGCAAACGCTTGCGGAAAGGAGCTTTTGATTTTCAGCGATATAGAGCGGTACAGAGTGGTATAGAGCGATTCAAAGCGGTTGTCGTGATTGTTATAAACCGCCGAAAACCGCTACGAACCGCAAACGCTGCGTTTGCGGGTGGTAGCGGGAAAACCAATCAGACTCTTAAAATCCGGAAATCTATGTTTGTTGAATATAAAATTTAAATATTGGCTTAGGTACTTCAAATGTGTCTTTACGAATTGGGTGGTGGGTTCATGGTGGGAAGACATTTAAATTGGGCCAAATCCATTAAAAGCGAAACGACAGCGGATTAGTCTAGTATGCCTGATCCGAATGGAATATAAAATGTGCTATCTGTTGTAGTCTTATAATTCAGGAGGTAATCCGCGCTTTGCGCGGAAATTTATATTATTATGTTAATTTTTTATTTTTTTCGCAAATTTAGTTTATTTTTATTGTTTATTATTGTTTCAAAAATATTACACATATTAATTAAAAATAATTAGGATTAGGCAAAATTAACGTATTGTCTTGTCCCATTGTTATGTCCATTCTTTCTCGTCTCATCCATCCAGTCTGTCCCGTCCCGTCCCGTCCTATCGCATTATATTTCTTTCCATTTTGTTATGTCCCATCCTGTTCCTTCCGTTTCTTCTCGTCCCGTTATCTAAATATAATTAAGGATAGACAAAATTGTCGTATAGTCCCATCCCGTCCCATTTCATTCTTTTTCATCTTGTCATGTTCTTTCCCCGTCTCGTTCCGTCCTGTCCGCCCTATCGAGTCCCATCATATCCTCTTATATATTTTTTTTTCGGTTTTGTCTTGTCTCTGTCCGGTCCCTAAATATAATTAAGGGTAGGTGAAATTACTGTCCCGTCCCTTCTCGTCCCATTATATCCCTTTCATCCGGTCCCGTCCAATCCCATCTCATTCTGTTTTTTCATCTCGTTATGTCTAATTTGTCTGTCTCGTCTCGTCCAG